TCTAACTTCTCAGAATTAATTAAATAATGCCTTAGATAGGCATTATTTTGCCTCTTCCGGATCCTAATTAACTAATATTCTTTCTTTCTTATCTTTTACTTTCTATTCTATAAAGGGCTCTATAGCCGCTCTTTCTTTCTCACTTAATAAATTAGCCCTCGTTCTCTATAGGTTATTCTTGGGAATATCTTTCTCTCGGATTCCAAAAAACTTCTTATCTAAATATTTCCAAAATACTATATTAAATACCTAGCTTTTTTTTATAGTATAATTAAGCCAGAATTAGCCAGTCTCCCAACTTTCACGCATATATATAAATAAGAAGAATAGTAATATTTTAAAGCTAATATCTTTTTTAGCTTTCTCTATAGCTAATAACTAAGTCTATAGCCGCATGTTATAAACCTTAGTCCAGTTATCCATATCCGGTTTTCACGACTCTAGTACTTCGAGAAGTAATTATTACGGGTAATTAAGTATGAATTATATAGGTCTAGTATAACCCTAAGAGATTTTCATATGTAACTAGAGATTATAGCAACTCAGATAGGTAGCAGAAAGCTCAAATAAATACTAGTTATATATTAATTAAAATCGCTTAATATCTAATAGGCTCTAGCTATACTTCGCAATACTATATAATACTATTAATATAATCCCTACTAATAATATTATAATTCTATATTCTTTATTAATTAGTATCTTACTAAGGCGCTTGGCTATTAAGTATAGTAGATACTATACTTAAGGTATTAACTAGTTAATAGAGGTTACTAAAAGATTAATATATTACTTTTATTATAATTACTTTTTGAGTTTTATAAAGTAATATACCTAAATAGTTCCTTAAGTCCGGTAAGAAAGAGCAATATAAATCTCTTTCTATAAGGCACTATTTTCTTTTATCTCAAGTACCTTTATATTCTTTTCTACTATTTATAAAGCCCGTTTTATTTAAGGCTATAATACTATTAGATATATCTTAGAATATATAGTATCCCGAGAGATTATAACCTTTATAGTTATTTCCTTACTAGAATAGATATCTAATACTTCGGGATTAATTAGTAGGTTAAGGTACTTCGAGATTAATAGTAATTTAAACTCAAGATTATATATTATATTATCCCTAATTCTAATACGTTTAAGGAAGCCTGAGAAGGGCTACTTCTAATACTTAGTAACTAGTATTACCTCTAATACTATAGACAAACTCCAAGTTTGCGAGGCATAGTACTACTCATTATTAATTAAGGTCAAGGGCATATCCGTAACTAACCTGAGGCTACGCGCTATTAATCTTGAGCTTAGTAGTTAAGGGCGACCTAAAGGGACAAGACTATTAAAAATAGAGAGGCATAGTTATAGCAGGCACTAAGCGTGGCTTTTATTACTTTACAGGTTATAGGTCCTTATTACTTATATTAGAGATATTATTTATGTTTATATAATAGTGGGTTTTGCTACTAATCTTTATATATATATCCTAGTGCCTCCGCTTCTCTCCCTATTTCCCTGACTCAGGCTCCCCGCCCGGTACCGGGCTAGATAGAGCAGAGGAACTAGGCTATTAAGAGCCTCGTAAAGTACGGCAGTACTTGTCGTAAATCGGAGTTACTAACTGCTTAAGATAGACCTCAGACTATACTTGGCTCAAGAAATAGGGAGGAGATACTATTTGAGACATATTTTATTAGTAATATATTCCTTAACTTTTTCCAAACTAGAATTCTCTTTAATTAGCTACTTACCTTTAAGCTTAGAGAGTATTATAGAGCCAAGCGAGATCTTTAATTAATCTTTAGTAATCTAGCTACGGGATTTACTAGTACTCGAAATTATTCTTGCCTCTACTATAGCTATTATAGCGCATGCCGTAAACTCAAATACTATCCCTTTCTACTAGTAGAACTAAGTCTTGAGAAGGTTATTCGCAAGGTAGCTATAGTATTAAAATTCGCATGTTATTTTTATTAACCCAAGAATCTGACCTATTTAGATAACTCCCTCTCACATAAATAAAAACGGTACTTATTAGGAATCTGGGGTTATGTAACTAGTAGAGCCTTAGTGGCTTCCTTATCTTTAGGGTCATCCGCGTTAACGTAACTGACCAGGTCCAGCTAATAACCTTTACCTATAGCCGGCTGCCCGAGCTCTTCCTTCTATATTACAAGCTCCTATTACTCCTATATTACTATGCCTCCCCCTTCTACTACTACCTTAGTCTTCCGCCGCTTTCACTCCTTAATATCCTGAGCTATACTATATCAAGAAGCATCTTATAGCTCTTCTGGTCTGCTACTAGTAGTTTCGCTATATCCTCGACTCTAAATCTCGTTTTATAGTGTTTTTACCGAGCGTGAACTTAGGGAGAAAGGTATACCGGCCAATAATAACTTCACTTATTATTTTCCCAAAGCCAACCCTAGTTCCCTCTCTAATTTAGCTATATTCTCCTTAGTCTATCCATTATTACTGCTATTAGAAAGCTTAGAGAAAGAGCAGAGCGCAGGATCCACTAACGCGCTCCGAGTAATACTGCTAATACCTTACTAGTTAGTCTAATCTTCCAGTAGCTTAGAGGATTAGGGGAGGGTCTAGGGTTAGGCTTGTGCCGGAGTAGAAGGCACGCCGTGCGGCTCAGAGGCGAGTTCTGAGGTTACGAAGGTATTATATAGAGTCACGTCCTGTTTAATATACCCAGTATTAATATTACCAGAAGCGCCTTTAGCCTTATCCCTAGTACCTGCATTATCTAAGTTATTATTATCGAGAGTTACTAGTTAATCTGCATATAATTAGCAGACCGTTTCTGAGTATAAGGGACGGCCAGTATAGCTGCCTCGACTACTACCCTAATATCCACCTGACCCTGGTTATATTCGGTTGCCTTATAGTCCGGCCTAGTAAAGAGCTAACTATTCCAGATACTAAGGAGTAGATCCGGTATTTAAGGCCTTAGTTAAGACTTTTGGATACAGAGTTGCCCGAGACTACTTTTCGAGAAATAAAAGATTATTATCTAATTCATTATTATTATTAGCAGGAGCGCACAGAACGAATTCACTTTTAGTATAGCTTATTCACGTACCTTTAGCTCTTGCTGCCATATTTCTCTCTGCTTCAATTTAATATCCAGAACGGGAAAAGGTAGCTATAGGCCTATATATTCTCTAGCTACCGCTAGTATTAAGTAAAGGAATTAAATAGCTAGGTTCAGAAAACTAGAGAGTATTTCTATTATAAAGTGGTTAGTTTAATAGGAGAAATGCAAATTAAATAAATTACGTACTCTTAAAGGCAGCTATTATAAAACGAAGTGAGCAGAAGGGGAGGCCAGTTTGGGCGTATCTGGGATATCTAGCGAGGGGAATTGAGTAACTTAAGTAGAAATCCGTGAGCGCCTATTTCTCGGAATTAGACTAGTCTCGTTCACATATTAGTTTACCGCTCGCAACTGCCGTATACTTTCCTGAAATTAACCTGATCTTGCGCATAAAATCTCAGCCACTCTAGGCTCCTGCTAGAACTCGTTTATTATGTAATCCCAGTATCCCTTGGCTTTACTAATAATCGAGAAATTGGCCTGTAATTAGTCTAATCTTGCTCAATATCTAATCCACGACCAATCCCGTAGAGCTTGCGGTTATCTCTGCGGAGCTGAGCCCAAATCGACCTTCCCTTTACAGAATTGAGACTCCGCGGCATAGATTATGCCGTGCCAATTCTAGCGGCGATTGCAGTTCTGCAAGGGCAGTACCCTGGAGCCGAACAATCCTCAGAATAGCCTTTAATTACCAGATCCATTATTCCAATATGCAACGACCGCGGATTGAGCTCCTCCCGAGATCGTATAACGTGCCTCTGTGCCATCTTCCGCCTCAGCCTGCCTGCTCGTAACCCATTCTCCCACTACTAGCGTTTCGTATTCGGTCTATAGGATACTTAGCAGAAGCTTCGATAATACTATTATCATGCAGATTATTACCTGCTACAGCCACATTAGACAGAAATCAGTCCTACTCGTTACAGATTAATCTAGATCAAGGCATTAGCGCATGTTATCGTCTCTACCGGCTCAAGGGAGCTCACCGAAATCCTTCTCGTTACAGATTAGTCCCAGATCCAGGCATATAGCGCAGATCGTCTTCTCTGCGGTGCAAAGGAGCTTACCGAGATCCTTCCCTCGACGCGTAATACCACGGCGTAGCCAGGCAGAAGCTGGCTATATTATCGTGAGGCATTACTTCCATTGGCCAGGTCATATTACATGAAAGGAATACTACGAAGGAGCATTGCCGTAAGGATCGTGATAGTATAACGGCGAAAAGAGGGAGGTAAGCTAAGCTCATGCTCGTATCTCAGTTAATACGATGCCCTCTAGAGGAATAATCGCCGTCGCGACAATCAAGAGGATCGAATCCAGAGTAGCAGATCGAGGGTTCTGGCTTTAAACTGGCCGTGCCCTCAAGGCTTTTAGCTACGGCAGGCCCAGCAAACCAGCTATCGTAACCCTCGATACAACTGCCGTACCGCGGCTTCTTGCGCGGTCTTGCATGAATAATACCTTGCTTAGAGAAAGTATCTGGTAGCGTTATATAATGGGTAGCATGCTTATGAGAAGCGCCAAGCGTGGACTCCCAGAATTTGTGTTATCGTCCTTTGGGCCATTCGAAACCGTACAGAATCGTTAATCGACTGCTATTAGGGAGCAGTGTTATGTGTGTTTGAGTACGACTTCTTGTGGTAGAGAGGAGTTAAACGAGTACTTAATAGATCGGTATGTGTTTGCATACGATGAAGTTGAATTTGCGAAGTTCGGTAAGTAAGGCTCCGCCAGTCGTTTGGCGCGGCTCTTTCGAACAGGGATCCAGAACTGGCCCCAAAAGCATCCCTGACTTACTTTTTCCAATTTTAGCCGGCGGCAGTCGTAGCCGAGGAGCCCAAACAAGCCCCTGTCCACTCAGCATGGCTCACCTCCTTGGACTCACTGCTCAGCCTGGCTCACCCACAGCTCAGGCTATAGCAGTAACGGCTCAGGTCCAAAGACGGAAATGGAAATTGCTCATGTCGAGATTCCGATATCGAATGAGCTGTTTCATCACTGCATGTTCGCATCTTTTACGTAAGCCTCATGACCCGCCGACAGTTCTAACTTCGAGAAGCTAATAGAGCCACAGCGCAGCTCTCGTATGTGGAGGAGCACTGAGAAAAGTCTCCGTCGGTCGATTCTTGGTCTTCATAACTATATGGTCTATTCTAGTCTATGATGTGGTCGCGCGGTGGTCGTGGCACCCCGATGGTTGGTCGAAAAAACTCGGTTCGATGGACTTTGCAGGCGGAACTGCAGTTCACATAACTTCGGGGACAACAGTTGCAGCAATCTCTGCCTTCTATGCCTTCGAAACACGAGGCTTCCTGCAATGTATGCAACGCTTCAAACACATAGTTGCGGGGCTCGTGAATTCCGCATTATGCTGCTGCAAGTCCTCCAGAAAGGAACACAACACTCGCGCACAAGGAGCCGCATACGAAATGAGAAATGGCGAAGAAGGAACTAACGGAAATGCCGATATGGCAGCTGGGCAGGATCATGAGACAGAAGCTCCAGCAGCATCGTTAGAAGTCGAGGATGACGCACCTCATAACATCAATAATGTTGTTCTCGGCACAGCGCTTCTATGGATTGGATGGTTTGGTTTCAATGGCGGCTCCGCGCTGGGAGGCAATCTGCGTGCGGTATTGGCAATCACCTCAACACACATAGCAGCTTGCTCGGGAGGAAGTGCCAACATCCTTCTTTTCTGGTTGTTCAATAACCTCGCTCAAAAATATCCTCGCGGCCCTGTCTCTCGGAAACTCTCCATTATGTGGTTCTGCGACGGGGCCATTATAGCGCTTGTGGCAATTACTCCTGCGGCTGGATATGTGCGTCTCCGCTGAAGTCTTGCAATCAAGAAACTGCTAACAGAGCCAGGTCCCCGTTTGGAGCTCCCCAATCTTTGGCTTAGTTTCCTGCATCTTTGTTTATTTGCTGAGGAGACCAGCAAGAGTTGTCTTGAGGGATGATATATTAGACGTTTTTCCTATCCATGCCGGAGGGGGATGGATTGGAATGCTACTAACAGGCTGCTTTGCCGAGTAATTACTCTGTACCCACGGATAGGATTGATAGGCGGCTTACAATACTAGGCAATCAGTTGTTGGGCTGGATGGGTATTCGGCCATACCAGACAGATCTATTGCAGAGCGACTTCGGTAAGTCCCTCCGGATAAAATTAAAGGGTGCGATACTGAGGTTGTAATCATGCAGTTACCAAATGCTGGATGCTTTCGCCGGACTACTCTACACCTTTTTCGTGACAATGGCTATCTTATATGGACTCAAAATTCTTCGCAGCATATTACGCTGTCGTTGGGAACCCGTATTCGAGAGTAACAGGCCAGTTCAAGACAAGATTGAAGCTACTGTCCAGTATATGTGGCGGCCCAAAGATGGGAATATAGTTTAATATCTTTTTGAGTGCCAAAATATGCTTCGTTTAGACCCCTCAGACAACAGCCCAAGGTTTTAATTATATTATACTGGACGTGTACCTATCTTGACCCTCCTCGTAAGCTTCATAAAGGTCTTCGTCTATCAGAGATTTCTCTGCTTCCTCTCTTCTACCAAACATTGAATGAGGATCAAATGTGAGATCCCAGACAGATGATCCCTCTCGCTAAAATTGACCCTCTTGCTCCGTATATCTTAGACCAAAACCGCCTAGTAGAACCCTGATGTCCCCCGTCGCAAGTGTAGTGAAAAATTGCGCCGGGTCTTTCACCTTCCAAAAGTACGGTCGATATCATCACCAGTGCTTGGAGTAAAGGCGAGGGTGTATTCTTTTCCCTTAATTGGATTGCAAAATTTGTTTCTGTCGGTAATGATGTCTCTAATATTCTTTCCTTGTTGTGTCTGACGGAACACAGAATCAGAATTCCGCTCAACTGAATACGTCCATAAACAGATTAACTCATTTCGTTCTCGTTCATAAAATAAATGCAAAAATACAGGATTTCTTTCGAGAAAACTATAAGATTAAGAAATTTAAGCTTAAATATTATATTTCTAATTAATTTTATTTAAATTTATATATTTAATTTAACTTTATAATTCTTATTCATATATCTAGTACTATTAATTTAAGCTTAACTAGCTATAATTACAAGAAAAAAAATACTTGAAATAAATTAAATAACTTGGTTTTTAAGAGCTTTTAATAAAGAAAATAAAAATATTATAGTTTTATTTTTATAAAAATAAGAAAATAAAATCTAAAAAACTAAACTAGAGCTATTTTATTTTAGCCTCTTAATTCTTAATTCTTAATAGTAAATCTCTTAATATAGTTCAAATTTTATAAGATATTAAATAAGTATCTATTTTATCTAATTATTTACTTTTAATTAGCTTAATATTATTTTTCTAAAAATATCTTTTATAATTAATATAAAAGCAATATTATAAAATTAGCTATTATTAAAGCTTTAAATAATAAATTTTATTTTAATAAAAAGAATTAGAACCTTAATTATAATAAGCTAGTATTTTAAAAACTTAAAAAAAAGAACTTTTAGCTAAATTATTTATAAGTCTAAAATAAAAAGCAAGTAATATTTCTCTAATAATATATTTAATTATTATTAAAATAGAATCTTGTAATATATTAAAATTATAACTTTAATAAAACTATTAAAAAAATTTATTTATATAATATATTATATATAAGTAATTCAAGAGGCTAAATATTAAAAACTATTAAAGGTTATTAAGAATTAAATAAAAGTATTTGAAAATAAAATAAAAAAGAATTTTATTTTTCTAATTATATAAATTTATATTTCAAGTTTTTAATATTATTTATTTCTTATTATAAAAATTTTTTTATAAAAAAAATACTTTATATTATAATAGTAATATATAAAGAATTAATAGGCTTTTATAATATAAAGTTATAATATACGAGTGAGACCTGAAATTAGTAATTTAAAGTTAGTTAATTTCTAAGAGCTAAGAAAAAGAAAGAAGTAATATAAGCGAATTATAAACTATATAAATATTCGGAGGCCATGTAATAAAATTCCTATTATAATAATTATTTTACTTTTTTATAGCCTTGCTTTTTATTATTATTATTTTATAACTTTATAATTATATATTATTACTTATATATTAACTTTATAATTTCTTTTTATTATATTTAACTTTTATTATTTTATAGCCTTATCGTCTTAATTAATTATATTAGGTAATATAGTATTTTAGCTAGCTTTTATTATTATTTTAACTTTTAAGGGAATATTTTAAAGAACTTTGCTTATTTATATAATATACAAGTTTTCTAACTATAAGCCTAATTAGTATACTCCAGACGAAATTCTATAGCTGCTATTTTGCTCTTTAATAAGAAGGATCTAAAATTGCTCTAGCAAGAATCCTGTAAGGGAGCAGAAGCGGATTTACGAGCAAAATTCGGCGAGGAAACTGTAGCCGGGATATACTGGAGGCTAAAATAGGTACCACATTATAGTCCGCAAGCTAACTCAGGGCATGCTCAGCATGCTCAGGCTCTGCTCAGGCTTTACTCAGGCTCTTCTCAGGCTCTAATCAGGTACGCTCACCCTCGGCTCGGGTATACTCAAGCTTTGCTCAGGCTCTGCTCAGGCATGCTTGCCCTCAGCTCTGGTTAAAGCAGCAGTTGCTCACGTCCAGAGATTGAAACAGCGAAAGGGAAAATTAATCCTGAGTCTATGGGTATTCACTGTGCTACTGCAAGGTCAGTCAAATTAATTGAATTCGTCAACCTACAACCATTTCCAAAACCTCCAAAACCTGCGATTTTTCTGTCATTGGTACAGCGTTGGTCTTGATCCATATATCATGCAGACTGTTTTCCGCCAGCTTATCGAGTTTGTCGCGCCCAACGTTGACCGCCTTGAGCGTCTGAGGCATACCAAGTTCCCCAATAATGGCATATAATATATCCCCAAGGTCCAACTGCTCCGTCTCTTTCCCTTTCAAAATACCCTGAACATTTTTATCCTTGAGCAGCAGATCGGCGACAGCCTTTTGCCTCTCGTTGTTCGCCCCCTTTGAAGCATTATACTTGCACACTGCCGGCAGTAAAATGCAGCTTGTCTCGCCGTGGCCAACTCCTAGAGGACCTAATTGATGTCCAATGGCGTGGCTTCCGCCCAGTGGAACTCCGCTGGAGACGGCGCTCATCGCCTCGACAACGCCGAGCTGGCAAAGATGGCGAGCTTCAATATCAGACGGGTCGTGCTTGCACCTTAGCAGTCCAGGAACAAGCTTGACCAAGCCCTTCCTAGCCTCCTCATCACCCTTGTCGTTGCTCATTAATGAACACAACGTCTCTACACAATGGTCGACTGCGCGGATGCCTGAGCTCAGCCAAAGCCATTGCGGCGTAAGCAGGCAAAGCTCTGGATCTTGAATCGTCAGCGTGGGATTGACTTTTGGTTCAAAGGTTCGCTTGGCATGCGAGACGGTCTCGGTGGCTCCAGCGATATGCTGATACTCGCCACCAGAAAGGGAGGTGGGAATGCAGATGAGAGGAATCGTTGGCAGCTTTGCGTCTTGTCGTTGCTTCGGGTTGTGCGAGTGGCCGCCCCAGAGCGTGTTAACTTCCTCATCTGTGAAAGCGTCGTTCGCAAGCGCAAATCGGACCAATTTTCCAGCATCGGTGACACTACCACCGCCTAAGGTGATGATACAATCAATTCCGTCATCAAGCTCTTTGATTTTGGAGATCATCTCCAGACACTCGGATATAGGGGTGTGGGCGCCAATTCCAATGCGGATTCCAACGAGATTCTTTCCCAGGGTTTTCTTCAGCTTCTCGAGATTATCGCTTTGCGTGGCCAGAGATTTGGATGTGAGGACGTAGATTCGAGATGACTTCAAGCGCTCGACCTCCTTCGCACAGGCGTCCGAGAATCGTAGGCCGTAACTCAGCATTGGCAAAGCTTGGCCATCGAATGCTTGACGATATGTCTCCCCGGACGCAAAGAAATCTGCCATCTTGGAGTGCTCAGCTTCTTGATGGACATGCAATACAGAAAAGGGGCTGCGACAATGTATAGGTAGATAGATTGGGGATCTCTTGGCGGCCGAATGAGATATGTTCTTCGTGGTAAGTGAAGATCTTCAGGGTTACCCCAGGACAGTCTCACAGGAGCGACAAAAAGAGGATCGGAGATGTGTCGCTCACAGGCAAATGGCTACGGCATTCCAGGTATATAGACTACAAGCAATGCGTTATGGATGATTTGGGAAGATTTAGGGAGAAGTGGGTTGACGAGAGTAACAGGTGGGGTGCGGGGCTAAAGAGGGGCTGGGGTGAGGGGCTGCTGTTCAGGGATGCAGGTACCGTCCCGAACGCTCCTAGCAAGGTCCTAGCAAGGACCTAGACTTTCAATCAGAACGTTTCGAAACTTCAAGACAAGCACTTATTCAATTCGAAAGCGTGATGAATAAACGTAATTAATTAAAATGCGTCAAATACTACGACGAATTTAAATTAAATTATTTGGATCAATCTGAAACTTGATTATATGAAGCCTTCTCATTGTAACACGCCATGTGCTCCCTGAGGAGACAATGCGCGAACCGACGAATGTCACAGGAGTGGCCATCAAGCCATGTCTAATCGAGATCTGGTATTGGAAGCCCGTTTTGCAACTTCATCTTCCTGTTCAACTTCTTCGCGGCATCCATCGCTTTCTTCTCCCTCATAGCTCCAGCTTCTTCGTTGGTAGCAAGGACAAAGTCATACTTCAAGAGTGCTGATCCTTTTTTGACATCGTAATTCGCTGCAATCTCATCATCTACCTCCCCCAGATCAACAATCAAGGACTCTTTCACGCCAAAGACCGGATCGGACGTCTCGAATGGATCGCCGCGTGGGTATAGAGCACTTTTGACCCGTGTCAGTAAGCTCTCTTGTCCGACTACAGTCTTGTTGGTATGTTTGTCTGGCCGTAAAAAACTTACGTCGTTAATTTATCATAGCCTTCTTTGTATAGCATGAAGTGGATATGACCTGGCCGATTTGGATGGCGATTCAGGAACCTCAACATGGCACCCACCGGCCCATCATCTGGAATTGGATATGGTACGGGCACAATAGCATTGAAGAACAGCATTCCTTGGCTATCGGTATGGAGAACTGCCCTTCCGTCAGGGTCCTGCCTATTGGGATTCTGCACATCGTAGAAGCCATGTGAGTCACCCTCCCAAACATCGGCTTGGACATTGGCGATAGGTTTACCCTGGGTATCTTTGACAGTGCAAAGCACAAACAACCGAGTCGCATCAGGATCTTCATGAAGTGTGTATCCTAGATTCGTATCTGGTGCATCATGCGTGTGGAATGGGCCAAGTACCGTGCCCTCTGTCACCGTATCGATCCGAGGATGGTCAATGGAATCGACGAGTATCGAGAGGCCGAGAGTGTCGGACAGCAGGATCATCTCATGTCTTAAGTCGTCACTAATCTGGCCGACCTTGGTGAGAAACTCGATGCCAAGCATCCATTCTTCTGAAGACAGTCGCACTTCGCGGGCAAAGTCATGTAGGTGATGGACTAGGCGCTCGAAGATGTATTTCCCCCGAGCATGGGAACACTGGTTATTGATGGTGACGACGTTGTCGGTGATATTGTCCGCCGTCAGGTCCTTCATCGGCGGGATTTCATGTGTTAATGGCACTATTCGTTCCATGTCTACAGATTCAGGTCGATCGGTAAGGAGTGGAATTTTGCGTTGTTTTGTCTTGAGGATTAGGATCTTGTTGCACTGCACAAACAGACACGTGAGTCTCCAGAATGTAAAACCTAAGTGACAACAAATAATTGTTTCACGAGGCCATGAATTAAGCAAAATTCACGGGGCCCCGCCTGCTTACGAGGCTACAGTACTATCCCCCCCCTGGTCCAAAGCGCCATCACGAGATTGGTAACGCCACCCCAAAACCTCGTTTATATCCCCAACATAGGAAATCTCAGGTGCTTTGGAGAATCTCTATTCGCTATCGACCCTTGATAGGGCCCGTGCAGGCGTGGTGTTATAAATACCGTGATGGCGCTTTGGACCAGGGGGGGGATAGTAATGTTACTGTAAGCATTTTGCCTCGTCGGCCGATCTCACCCCACTTCAAAAATCAGGGGTGGAGCCGGCCACGCCGGCATTGGCGGCGTCAGGGGCTAACGAAATAAGCGAGAGTCCCACATGTGTACCCCACCAAATACAACAGAGCATCGTTTTCTTCCAAGAAAACATGGGACGAGATTCCATGAAAATCTTGTTTTTAATTAATGGGTCTCGATCATCCCTGCTCCAAGCAAGAGTGCTTTACAAAGATCCATGCCACATGGTTGTTGGTTCCTAGATTGCGGTATCTTTTCAATCCTTGGCGACTGCTCGGAAACGGAACTGAAATCACGCCCTACTTAAGTTGAAACCACTTCTTTGCTGACTTTGAGGGCTTTGATTCTCTAAGCCAAAGTGGTCAACAACTGCTTCGGCCACTAAGGTTGACCTGTGTGAACTCTTGTAATTTGTGACACAGGGTATTCTCAACAGTGCTGATATCAAGTTTTTACCATACCTTAGAAATTGTGGTCATGGAAAACGGATGGGTTTCAAATGGGGAGACAGTTTTGCACCTCACCTCAGGGGAGGTAAATAATTTCGCGAGATGCTCAGATGGCCACCTATCGACGAAAATCATCGAATAATGAGGTACACACATCGCAAGAGACGGGGTCTCCACTGACCAATCTCTGATGGTGGAGCGTCTGCAGGACTAGCTCCAGCAGACAGGCCAGCTGAATAGAGAGCTGAGCCTGGACCATAGCAGACCTAGCTGAATTTCCATTACCGCACCGCCCTTCCCACTGTGGCTTGCTGAAATCCATCAAGTGTTGGGGTTGGCACCAACAACTAACATTCCTCTTCTCCTTGCCTCATATTCAATCAGGTCCAATACAGACGGACCTCTCGTATTTTGTTTCTGTTTCCGAACAATGACCTGGAAGTATGTGAAAGTGTAGCTAATAGCCGTCTTTATTGTGATAGGAGATTTCTCGAGCTAGACTGTAACTCAGCTGTGCCTTCACCTTAACGTTCCCACCCTCACTTTCCATGCAGTGCCAAGCACCACCACAAGGAAATATATAAGGCTGTTATTGAGATCATATCATTTCTCCTCAAGGTTTTTGCTTCCCTGAGGCTCATCACTCAACATGGCTGCACCACCTCAAGTCACGCTTGCGAATCTATCCGGGAACTGGGTTCTTGTATGTCCCTGCCTAGATGATTCAGAACTGCACATACTGACATCTACAGAATCGCAAGCTAGCCGATGACCCTGATCCAATGTTAGAGCTTCAAGGAGTTCCATGGTTGAAGCGCAAAATCATCTTGCTCGCCACGGTGACCTTATCAGTCAAAGAATACGTGGACGACAAGAAAGTAACTCATATCGATCTTGATCAAACGACCACGACAGGCATTCAAGGCATCACGGAGCTGCGTATCCTCGACTGGAGCGAGACAAGCCACGAAGACCATATTTTTGGAACTCTGAAGAGCCGCAATCGCTGGGTGGCAGATCTCCAGGCCTGTGAGAGTGGGGATGGTAGACCTCTGCACTCTTTCTTGACGGATGGTTGGTTGGAAGAGAAGGTTGGCCCGAATGGCGAGGGCTCGGTCTATAATTGGGTCGTCAATGAGGAGCGTGGTTGGACTGCGGAGCAGATTTGAGGATTTACCATCATTAATATCCAGCGATACAAGACGAGGAAGATTCTCGTTACAAAGGGAAAAATTGACTTGCCTCTCACTCTTGCTTATGAATGGAGAGGAAAGCCTGAGGCTTAGAGCTGTTGAATGTGGTCTTGAGCTTTGACATCCACTTGTCTTTGTAGTTCGCTAGTGCTTAATATTTGACTTTCATCACGTGTTCCTAATAGGCTATTAAATGTCATTTAGTCAATCGATTGCGCGACGTTTTATACACTTGAAATTTTTAATCTATTAATTAATTAAAAATTGATTCGATTTGCCATTCATAAACAACAATTTCAGGACAATTCATGCGACTTCATCATAAAGTCCAGCGTGAAGACCACCAGTGATCAATAGCTCGCCACCTGTCATATATGCACTAGAATCACTGAGCAGGTAAACAGCAGCTCCTTTCAGGTCTGTTCTATCACCCATCCTCTTCATCGGTGGGTCGTCCACAAATATCTTAGCCAGCCCCGGCCGTGTGTCTGAAATCGCCAAAGTCATATCCGTCATTATGTATCTTTTCAGTTTGTCAGTAAATTCACATTTTGTGGAATGACAGCCTACCCAGGGGATATGTAGTTGACACGTATGCTTTTCTCCGCAAGCTCAACAGCTAAAGCTTTAGCCATTGATGCTACGGCTCCTTTGCTGGTACAGTAATCGCTGAGAAATTGGCCTTTACTGGCCCGATGCGCGGCAATTGATGCAATCAAGACAATAGAACCTTTGCTCGCACTTGGTGCTGCTGATGACTGTTTTGCTTGCTTGTCCATTTGCCTGGCTGCTAGTTGTGTTGTGAAGAAGGTGCCTGCAATGTTGATATCAAAGCAGCGCTTAACGCTCGCTGGAGACCGTTCTAAAAATGGCTGATCCGGACAGATCCCGGCAGCAGTTATACTACATCCGGAGTCAGCAATCATCTCCTACTTTATGGTGACTTTCATAGAAAAGCTAATGTCAGACCAGCCATCTATTCTCCCATATTCAGCGATGATCTCGTTGAAAGTCTTTTCCAGTCTCTCATAATTCGTAACATCTGAACTTTGAAAGTTTAGCACGAATAGATCCCTCAATTTAGAGACTCTTATTGTTAGCTTACACATATAATTTCATTTTCGGGCACATCTTCTGAAGAATCTGAAAGTGCCCGTGAGGTTGGCCATTTGCATCGATCATGACGGGCACCCCGCCCGCCTCAGCAACGGCGAACCCAAGAGCGAGACCAATCCCGCGAGCACCCCCTGTAATCACAACCACACGCTCCTTTAACGAGAAGAGGTCAAAAACATTTGCGTTGAGATACGCATCGTTTGAGCGGTTTAGTGTTGCTACGGAGCTGGCCATGTTAAGTGGGATGGGAATGATTGGTCAATCAGTCTTCTCGGAGTATGAAAAGTGATTAAAGAGCTCTATCAAATGTCGGAATTATAAATCAGTGTGGTCTGCTTGTGGGAATAATGAACTTTTGGGGAATCTTAAAGCCGGCTGGAAACCATATTCCGGGGTCGATTTCTGTGGTCATATGAAAGCATGGATGGGGGTTGCACGACCCGCTATCTCAGCCCTGGTGGTCTTCTGGTTCCATTCGGAAATAGGATTGCGGGATTGCGGAAATGTGGGAACTTAGGGCCGATCACTCGGTTCCTTCACAAATAACCGACCGGTATCTTATACTGGGTACGGAGTTAGAGGATATCTTTCAAAGCCGCAGTGAGAGAGAGTTCTACGCACATTGCATGCAAGTGTGTGGGCCACTTGAAGCTTTGCTCTCGTATTTGGAATGCCTCTCGTGCTAAATCTGGAGCAAAGTTCAAAGTTATAGAAGCCGTTTCTGCTTCGCTTGCTCTGCTCGGCTATTCTAGGGGTAAAAGGGGCTTGGACACGTGACCATCCAAGAACAAAGTGGATTGGAAAATTCACAGGATGAACTGCCGCAGTGGTAGTGTTCTCAGATTCTAAGGTATGATAAAATAATTCACATAGTCAGGCATTCCGTCTTTCTATGGTGGATAACACCACCCACAAGAGATCCCTTTCACGTAGTTTTTCCTTCTGTCTGCGAGTACGCCAAGGTGCAGATCTAAATTTTCTCTACCATATCGAGTTGAGCCGTTTCTTCCATCTTGCTATTAGCCAGAGAATTGTTGGCACTATTCCCTTGCTGATGAGCATCCTCTAGCGAAAGTCTATCCTGTTTCAAGAAAAGATAGTCTATCTCTTCAAGTGAAAGCCCCTTAGTCTCGGGGAAGAGGAGGTAGATCATGGGCACGAAAGCAAAGTTCTTTTAAGTCAGATATATTTACTTGAAAATGGGGGGAGATTCAATCACTCACACAAGCCATGAACACAAGGTATGCCTTCCAGGTGATGTTTGCGATCATTGTGGGAGTGACCATGACAATGACGAAAACCTATTCCATAATTAGCTTGCCGAACAAACTGTTTACTTCGGAAAGAATTTTACCCAGAGCCAATTGTTCATCACGGCTAACGATGTCCCTTGCGCCCTGACTCTCAAGGGTAGAATCTCAGCACTGTAGCACCAGGGAATAGCATTTAAGCTCGCACCGAAGCACAGCATGAACTGTTAAATCACGTCAGCTTGGTGATGCACATTCGAAAATAGTCCACTTACAGTAAGGAAGAAAGCAATCGACGCTTGGGAGGTGGTGTGCGCCTTAGCTGTGCCATTGAACGAGAGCAGAATCGCAACCATCATCATCGACAGTCCCATTCCGAAAGCGCCAAACATCATGGGCTTCTTCCTTCCCCATTTATCCGAGCCGAGTGCGGGGACCAAGGAGCCAACAACAAAGGCAAGGTTGATGCAACCACCGACTACGAGAGCTGTATTTCTTGCGAGGCCAACATTTGTCTCTAGCACTGTAGGAGCGTAGAAGACGATGACATTGATACCCGCCCACTATGGATATATCAGCATGTCACTGAAGGCATGTCCCCATTCAGATGGACTAACCTGGTTCATAAATAGCACAAGGCATGCCAAAAACACTCTCCATCCAGTTTGCAGAGGATCGCGGTGGAAGAGTTTGGACCACATGAACGGTGCCGAGCTCTCGATGGCAACAGCGTTCAGGATAGCCTCCTTCTCTGCAACAATAAACGGGTCTGTGTTAGGCGCATTGAAAACTTTGCTCATGACTTCCACCGCTTCGTCAACTCGGCCTTGCTGGATGAGCCAACGTGGTGTTTCTGGGAGGCCGAAGATCAAAATTATGATTACAAACGCGAAGATTATCTGGCAAGCAATGGGGAAGCGCCATGCAAGGGGACCATCGACAAAGCTCATGCCGTAATCGAAAAAGTATGCTATGGTGACACCAAGACCAGTGAATAGTACCTGATGGTTGTCAGCACAGTACCAGGCCCGTTTGATCCCGTGAATACGTACTTCTGTAGTAACTAAACGTCCTCTTCTATCAGCCTTGCAAAGTTCCGCCTGACTGAGTTATTTGTCAGCTTCATACTAATTACCTTGAAAATATCCAACGAGGAATGGAAACATACTAGGTTGGTACCGTTGAAGTGTCAATTCCAACTCCCATGCCAGTTATGATTCTTCCGATCATCAGTTGCGCAACTGAGAACGCTGAAGTCTGCAGTATGGCGCCGGCGATAATACACCCCATCGCAATCCATATCGCTTGTCGTCGTCCAAATTGGGCTCCATAGAAGAAATTCAAGGCACAGCCTAGCAAGCAGCCGATGTTGTAGATAGAAACTGTTCCAAATTATGTTAGCTCTGATATCGCCGTGAAGTTTGATGCTTAAAAAATGGCGCTTGCCGATTATGCCCAAAAAGCCAGTTCCTGGATGTCCGAAAGTGTCCAGGAAATCAGGGTTAGTGATAAGTCCTAGTAAGAGTGTTAGTTTTCACAATGCTATGAAGTGCTTGAGTTTGCACGAGGCTACGAGCTTACCGCCGAAAACCCCTTGATCATAACCGAACCTAAAACGGGAAAAAAGCATTAGCAATTGTATAACGAATGGGAGAAGCCGGTGATTCATACAGGAGAAACGCCTGCAGACAGGTGCAAGTTATTGCAAACTGGGTTGGCTTTCCAGGTTTGAACCAAGTGGTAGCCATCTTGACGAGTCTGAGCTGTAGGAATAATGCCTAATAGGATTTGGATTGAGCAAAGGAAAAGTTTGGGTGAATTCAAAGGAGGCAATTGCGCGATGCTTTAAAACCTGGGGTTGTGGGGTTGTGGGGTAATGTACTAGCCTGTGCTAAGTGTACTCAGCTACGTATCTGATACAACAAAGCAGGTTTGTTGCTGATCCTCTCGGTTACTCGTGTAATGACAGCGGAAGAGTGGACGGTGCATCCGATAACTGTTCCGTACTACCCGGATATAACCGAATTGTCAAATGACTCCACGCAGCCGGAAAGGCACGTTTGTTTAATTAATTGCAAGACTTAGCTTTCTTAGTAATTGATACCCCTCAACTCCAAAGGAATAGCCTGCAGCTGAGACTGGTGCAGTTACCCCGGCTGGCGGTCTCACATCACTCATGATAGCCATCTTGCCTACGCGTTATATCTGTGTTATGGAGCCGGTGCAGTACAAACTACACTTAGCCAAGAGGTAAATGCTCGAGAAGTCTAGAAACTTGATACTATAAATGCCTAAAGGTTACTTCAGTAGTGTCCAATGTCGTCTTTTCTTTCCATTTGTCTCCCCGATATGCCTCTTCACCTTACTCACAATCCCATCGTCGTCAATTCCGAACCTAGCAAAATTCTCTCTTCCAAGACCTGAATAACCAAATGAATCCATCGCAATAGAGGCTGTGCAAAACCTTGCCCACATACTAGCCACATAGGCTTCGACCGAGATGATATGAGGAGAATTTGACAGAACCGAGTCTTGGTATCAGGCTCGGCAAAAATACCTAAATTTCCGGTATCGATAGGTATCGATGCCAGAATCGTAAGGTATCGATAGTATCGATAGTAGTATCGATTCCCTGAACCTAATTTTCCCCTTTAATCACAATTAACTTTCGAACTACTGCCATTATAAGAAAATTTTTGGTAACACAAATATTCTCCTTAATTTAGGCTTTCTATCTAGCTACTTATCTTATACTTTAGGCTAAAACTAATCTCAATGCGGCCATTTTAAGTAAAAATGAGCTTTTGAGATTTTCGTGAGGCTCGCTTATATATTTAGTGCCTTGATAAGAAATACGAATACGGGGCTTAATTCTCCGAATACGAGAGATATTTTAAATTTAAGATATTATTAAATTTTATTAATAATAGTAAATAAATTTTTTAATAGAAAGACTAGAAATTAAAGGAATTATATATGAATGCATTCTTATATAAATAAAATAATAAAATAGAGAGATAATTTTTAGGGGTAAGAATCGATAAGGTATCGATACGTATCGATTCTTACGATACCTGAAAAATACCTAATACTATCGATACCGGTATCGATGCCTCAGGTATTTTTGCCGAGCCTGCTTGGTATTCTTGCGGTTGTCGCTCGAAAAGCTTCATGCAAGGCATACTCACAACTCTGGTGGGGATGCCCTCCGAGTCCAGTCTCTGGGCTGCAGGGTAGGCGAATTGAAGTTCAGAGCCGCAAGAGATCAATGTAACCGTCGCATTTTCCTTCTCCAAAATGACATAGCCGCCACGTTGAACTTGAAGCCGGCTAGTCTTTGGGATAGCCGTCACTGCAGGATCTCGGGCCAGAGAGATGATGCTTGGCGTTTCCTTGGCTCCAAGAGCTGTGAGCCAAGCTCCGAGGACCTCCTCAGCGTCTGCAGGTCGGATATAAAGAAGATTAGGCATTGCTCGGTACAACGAGTCTAGCTCAACTGGTTGATGGGTCTGTCCGTTCTGACCTTCGCCGATAGAGTCGTGAGTGGCGACATGGATGACTTGAAGGTTACTGAGAGCTCCCATACGAACCCCTGGTGCTGCGTAGAGGTAGAACATGAAGAAAGTGGCAGTAATCGGAAGAATTCCTCCAGGAGAGTATGCGGCGAGTCCATTGGAGATTGACGCCATCGCGTGTTCCCTGATCCCATACCGGATGACCCTCCCTTCCGGATGGAGACTGTCCAAGATCCGAGTTGACTGATCTCCCATCTGATTGGAGTTCCACAGGTCCGCTCCTCCGGCGATGATGTTGGGTACCATGGAGATCAACTCGTTGAAAACTGTTCCATTGAACTGTCGTGTTGGTTGTAGTTCTGATGGAATGCTCAAGGAGGTCAAAGTACGTTCAAAATCTTTTTTGCCTTCCATGCGCTCCTTGAATAGTTTAGCTTCCTTGGGGTAAGCAATGCTGTATATCTCAAGCTTCAAGTTCCAGTTGTCTTCCCACTTCTTCCCCTCCTCAACTGTGGATCTGAAATATTCCAATGCATTCTGGGAGAGCTGGTGTGTTGAAGTCACACCAGGGGCAAGATGTTTAGCCGCATCGTCATCTGAATAAGTGCCGTGATGGGATTTGAAAGTCCCAGCAGTCGTGGTACCATAACCAATCGTCGTCCGAATATTGATGAAGGTGGGTCTGTCTTTCTCCAACTTTGCAGCCTCCAAAGCAGCAATGATATTTTCAACGGAAGTGTCTCCATCGAAAACATCGATGACGTGCCATCCCATAGCCCTGACTTTTGCGTTGGTATCCTCTGTCACAATCCAATTCAATGGTCCGTCACAGGTTACATCGTTGTTATCATAACACAAGGTAAGATTGCTGAGACCAAGACGCCCAGCAATTGCCATAGCTTCCAAAGCCACGCCTTCTTGAATGCACCCATCTCCCGTAGTGCAATAGATTCGAGATGCAACTAACTGGTGGTCCTCTTTGTTGAATGTCGCCGCGTAGTGTTTCGATGCAATTGCCAGACCAACTGCATTTGCAATACCCTGCCCCAAAGGACCAGTCGTGACCTCCACGCCTGGCACCTCTCTTTCAGGGTGACCGTGGCAAATTGTTGATTTCCATTTTCCGGTGGTTTTGTCTACCGCTTTGGCATCCGCGTACATTTTTATCTCATCAACGGTCATGTCTTTATACCCAGTAATGTGTAACATAGCGTATAGAAGCATCGCAGCATGTCCATTCGAAAGAACAAATCTATCTCGATCGAACCAGTTGGGATTTGAGGGATTGTATCTCATGGTGTGCCTCCAGAGAGCAACCGCCAAAGGGGCCATACCGATGGCTACATTGAGTTAGTATGTAATATTACTGAAGTTTAGGAGAAAGTTGGGGAGTCGAGGAGTTGAGCTCCCGAGATGCTCCCAAGCTCTTAAAGATAAACTCACCTGAGCCTCCATGACCACCACCATTCTGTCGACAAATATCAATCACAAATTTCCTGATCTCATTCACTGCATGCTGGTCATCGTAAGGAGACAAAGCGCCGTTGGCCAGCTTGGTTCCACTAGTGTGTCCGTTCATATGCCCGTTCATGTTTGTGTGTGCGTCTGCCGGCTTTTCCTAAAGTTGAGAATTCCCCTTTGAAAATTGGAGAGACATGGCTCGAAATTGCGCAGTATCTCCATGGAAGTGCCATATTTCTTTACTTACAATCCAGAGCTCTTTCGGAAATGCGGAGCATCACGGCTTGTGAGATTATCGGCATGTAGCCTGGAAGAACATCGGCTACATTAGCGAGCCCCTTATCCCCGCATCCGCTTCGGGATATAAATCCATATAACCGGTGATCAACACGGGTCAAAATTCTTGACTGAGATCAACGGTATTAGCGTCAAGAAATAGAGTTCTAATCAGAGCTGTGGGATCTTCGCGTCAATTCCTTTATCAAAAAGTACTCATGGTTCTCATTCGGTTTGTTCATTCTCAAATTCTTCTTGCCCCAATTCCTGCAGCCTTTTCCCTTCTGCGATTTCTGTGCTACGCAAACATGTCTTCGCGTTCAGAACCAGAGCCTCGTGCTATCATTGTTGGGTGTGGCGTCGCCGGGATAGCCCTTTCGGCAAGGCTAAAGACACAGCTTGGTTTCAATAATTTTGTGGTTTTCGAGCGCGAGCAATCAATCGGTGGAACCTGGTATCTCAACACTTACCCTGGGGTTGGCTGCGATGTCGACTCTCACCTTTATTCCTTTTCCTTTAACTTAAATCCTGATTGGTCCAAGCGATTTGCAGAACAGGGAGAGATCTTAAGTTATTTGAATGATACAGTTGATAAGTTCGGCGTTCGCCCTCATGTTACTACAGGTGTCGAGGTCATTGGTGCAACCTGGAACGAAAAGAAATGGGTGTGGCAAGTCGAACTTCGAACTCTAGAGACTGGCCATACATTTATAAGAGAGGCAGAGATATTGGTATCCTGCGTCGGGACAATATCGATACCAGCCGACATCAACATTCCAAACCACGAGAACTTCAACGGCACAATATGGCACTCGGCTCGATGGAACCACAATTACGACCTGAAGGGGAAAACTGTAGCAGTCATTGGGAATGGGTGTTCTGCAGCTCAATTGGTGCCTCACGTCGTGAAGGAGGCTGCAAAAGTGTATCAATTCCAGAGATCCGCCCAATGGATCAATGGCCGGCCCAACTCAGATTTCTCCTCTCTGCAGAAGTTCTGCTTCCGCTATGTTCCTCTCTACAACAAGCTTTACCGTTTCTGGTTATGGAAGAAGACAGATGGTCTGCATACTCTTTATCAGTCAGAGACGCAGGCCTCGGTCAGAGCTCGCTCCGAGGCGACACAAGTTGCAAAAGATTATATGAAACGCATGGCTCCGGCCAAGTACCACGATATCCTTATTCCAAAATTCCCTTTGGGGTGTAAGCGCCGCATCTTCGACCCTGGATACCTGGAAGTTCTCCACAGCGAGAATATGGAGCTCACCACAGAGCCCATTGTCGAGTTCACGGAGACGGGGGTCCGAACTTCCCAGCGAGACATCGATATCGATGCTGCAATCATGAGCACGGGCTTCAAGATTCAGGAATTTTTGTCTCCAATTACGATCACGGGCAGGCAAAATATCACCCTCAATGAGCACTGGAACAACACACAAGGTGCTCAAGCCTACAAAGCCACCTTCGTGAGCGGGTTTCCAAATTTCGGGATTGTGTTTGGTCCGAACGCCTTCCCGGCTCACAACTCGGTTATCTACACCAACGAAGTCCAGGTTGAATTCCTCATCAAGTCCATGTTCAGACCAATTCTGCGAGGCGATTTTGCTGTCATTGATGTCAAACAAGCTGCAGAAAACGTGGATGTGAATCAGGTGCAGTCGAAACTGAAGAGCATGGTTTGGAGCAGCGGCTGCGCGAATTGGAATCTGGATAAATCTGGTAGAAATACTACGAACTACCCGGAAGAAACTTGGAGGTTTTGGTACTCATTGTACTGGCCAGTCTGGAAGGATTTCAACATCTATGGGGACAAGGGATCGAGACCATGGCATCCGGTCTGGAAGGTTTTCGGTGGTGTGACGGCAGCAGGGATTGTTGCTCAGGTATTACTTGCAAGCGGGAAATTTGGGCCAGCAGGCCTGGAGAAGGCGATGGAGTTGGTGAAAGGGATTCGTTGAGTGGATGAGACGCAGCCTGTGCCTTGGAAGCTGTCATTACAGTCACGATGTATTTAATTTCCTATTCGCATCTTTAGAACAGCACACATAAAATACATTGACAAGAACCTCATCCAACAGTAATCTCCTTGAACATTTTGCTGTGTAGGACATTTGCCTTCGCATGTGTTTTCCCCTTCTCCAAACCTAACCCGCTCCTCCTCTTTTCTCCACTTATGCAAGGATCACATGAAATGAGCTACAGTAGAGTGGGACCTCCAAAAACTCAGAACTGATTATCTAGATATAATTCAGACACACCAGCTAAGAGAGTCTGCGTGGTTATGTGAAGAGTGAGTAATGAGAAAAAGCCGAATTTCGGTTATATGCACTCCTGGGCGACGACACGTCCCAACCCCAGAACTCCGGGAAAGTTGAGGGGCGTTAGTCATGCTTAGAACTACTTGCCAGAGTTACTTCGCCACACCAAGCACAGGAGGTGGTCGGGAAAGCCAGTCCGAGACTCATACCCTTACCAGGGATGAAGTCCCAATGTTCGCTTATTCTGGATACCCTTGGAACACTTTGAGTTCTCAATAGATTGTTATGAGATGTGTATCTTTTGCTTGATAATTTGAGACATCTAAAGGCAACTATTCATATAGAAAGGCAATTTTAAATTAAAATATGGCTGTAATGCGAATATCTTGAAGTGTTTGGAGTGTTGTCGTAGTAAGCGAGCGCCCGAGGATGGAATATAGCCAGGCGCAGAGCTCAAGGGTAACTCGGGCTGTACCAACAAAAATATGGAACTAAATCCCGTTCACGGATTAGGTTACATCAGAATTCTTTTTATAGGAAAGTGGCCACTTTTTGATGCTCATTTTCTTTCCACAGATTTTCATTCGTATCTACTCAAGAGACATTCAAAACATCTTATTGGGCCGCCACGTCCGACCTCAACAACAGACGAATTGTCTTCATCATGGGATCTTTGGTGAAGACACATAAAGGAGCCGTCCTCTACGGAGCGCAAGATCTCCGCATTGAAGACTGCATCACCACGACCCCAGAAGACCACCAAGTCCAGATCCGTGTCCGCGCCACAGGAATCTGCGGCACCGATATGCACTATTTCCAAAACGGCCGCAACGGAATCTATGTTGTGAAAGAACCTTTGATCCTGGGTCATGAAGCAGCAGGCGAAATCTCCGCCGTCGGGAAGAATGTCACTGAATTCAAGATCGGTGACAGAGTATTGATGGAACCGCAAAGACCTTGTGAGAAATGTGTTGTTTGCCGCCGAGGACGGTATAACCTTTGTGATCGGATGAAGTTCAGTGGCTCTGCGAGCTGCTATCCCGTGGTCCAAGGCTCGTTGCAACAGTTCTACAATCATGCGGCTAGCTTCGTATATCGACTACCGGATAATGTATCATTTGTTGAAGGTGCTCTCGTTGAGCCTCTTGCTGTTGCGTTGCATGCTGTAAGACGGTCAGGTGTTGAAACTGGACAGTCTGTTCTCATTCTTGGGGCTGGTGCTGTTGGGCTGTTGTGTGCAGGTGCAGCAAAGATTGCGGGGGCTTCGAGTGTCAACATCGTTGACATCGATGAGGGGAAGCTGAATTTTGCTTTGGGTAAAGGGACAAAGGATGGAAAGGGGGCTGCCGACAAGGCGTATCGGATACCCCTTTCGCCCAACGAAGGTGAATCGAGGACGGACTTCGCTGCTCGAATAGCAGATGAGACCCTCGCGCAACCCGGCTTTGGACTCGTGGATGTGGTTTTCGAATGCACTGGCGCAGACACTTGCATGAATATTGCCATTCAGTGTGCGACTAAGGGCGGTAAGGTAGTGATGGTGGGCCTCGGGACGCCGGTCCAGAGCCTGAATATTGGATTAGCGGGGGTGCATGAGGTGGATCTTCTGGGAATTTGGAGATACGCAAATACCTTTCCCACGGCCATTGAACTGTTGAGGACTGGGCAGATAGATTTAAAGCCTATGATCACACATACCTTTGATTTGGAGAAAGCGGCGGACTCTTTGAAGTTTACGCTTTCGCGCCCAGACAATCTGGTGAAGTGTGTCATTACTTGTAAATAGGTTTCATACATCTTGTTCCCTGATTCCTTATTAAATTTATCAGAGGAGCGGTTTTTCATTACTAGGGCTTCGTGCTTGCCGTCACTTCACCCCTGTTCAGGGAAGACGTATTTTAGATAGATGGAACGCATTGGGATCTTTGTATGGTCTCGGATATCAAACTTCAAGGTATTAGAGATAAGTCTCCCCTCTTTCAGCAACTCAATCTACCCCATTTGGGCAATCTGCACCACCTCGACTGAACTTCTTCGATATCTCTCATCACCCCCTTATCAATGTCGATATCGTACCATGGCTTTCGACTCCTTCACTTTTGAACTTCGATCTCACAGGCGATCTTAAAAGCCCCCGCAACACTAAAGCCCACAGTAGCCCAGATAAGCCAGTGCCCAATCATGTAGACAAGTAGAAAGAGAGCCCCATCCATGCTTGAACCACAACCCCGGGACTGATTTTCATAGCCCCTATCATTTTGCCGGCTAGCTCCGTGATCTTGCCTGACGCGATGGTAAAGAATATTGCTGCTGGGATGCTCGCCAGGAACCCGATGCATAATGAGAGGAGGGGTGGTGTGCTCGTGACTAGTAGGACGACCACTCCATATCGTAACGAAATAATAGATTTACCAGCCAAGGCGATCCTAGTCAGGAGTAGCACTAGCTGTGCCTTACTGTCTGTTAAGTTTACCGTACGAGGAGCCTACCTGCAGCAGCTGTACGGCATTTCTGCCTAGCACTTGAGCTAGTGCAGAGGTGTAGTCGGCTTCCTGATGTACACATATAATGGTGCTTTGGTTCTCGCCACTACGGAACAGATTTGTTTTCCGCATTCTAGAGCAGACAGATAGGTAATTCATTTCATACCAGAGTACGGTGCCAGTGGTAATAGATGGGTGGTTGGAGAAAGCGCTGCGCATGGAGGAGGTATTGAACTATTCAAATTATAAGCAATGGAAAGTACTGAACGATTCAGTACTTGGACGATTCTACAGTTAGAATTGCAGATTGTTCAATTGAATTTGTTGAATTGCCAGCAGATAATGCTAGGATGGGAAGGACGAAGGAGACGATTATCAGGACCTCGATCCTGATTAGCAGCGGGACCTGGGATATAGAGGGTCCTGTCATCCGCATTGTGAATGATAAGGCTTCCGGTGGGTTTCAAAGTCCTTGACAGAAAGGTAGGTGCGATATATAGGAGATTTAAATGTGAAGCGGGGTAATTCACTCCGCGTTGTTGCGTTCAACTATCATATCATATTATATCGCGCAAATGGCGTTAGTGTAAACCTTGCAACGCCTCCCTCACCAGACATAACCAGGGGTTCCTTCTTTGATCTTACTGAGCAGATGTTAACATTCTCGACACATTAAGTCAAGTCCTAATAGTCAAACAACACGTGACCGGCGAACATTAGTAGCACAAGTTCTCATTGCATAGAGAACAGTGTTCCTCATGCAACTCAGGTAGAGTAATCATTGACTTCTTTGTAGACTAAGCGCGAACATACACGACGATTCTTTATACGAAGTGTTTGGATAGTTATCCCATCCAGCTGGGGAGGATGATTTGCGTATATGATAATATGACCCACCCCCAACACTTCAAAAATATGAGCTTTTGGTTGAAACAACCCCCATTGTTCTCAATTATGACTACATAACTCATAGCGTTTCTCGCATTTATGTAGGCTTTTGATGTCATAAACTGGGTCTTGGGTCAAAAAAATCGAAGTGTTGTGGGCGAAATAAGCGATCAATCCCGCTAGAAAAATAGGGGTGAGTAGTCATCGGACGAAAAATGCCATTTCTAAACTATGTACTTCTAGATATTCATACATCTGGATCAGGCTGGATCAAAATTTTAACATGCTGCGCTTTGTTATTAATGAGTTCCATAAATCCTCCTTGCAACACATCACTCAGAGGCACCACCGAAGTAATCAGCTGCTCCGCCGGAATTTTGCCCTCGGCAAGCACCTTCAGCACGGCATGGAAATCCTCATTCGTGTAACTTATGCCTGCCTTGATAGACTTTTCCTGCTGCGCCAAAAGGTTCAAGTTAAGCAGCAATGGCCTCTCATGGATTGCAACGTTGAAAATGATGCCCCTTGGTTTAGCAGCTGCGATGGCAGCATCGAGAGTTGACTGCATCCCAGTAGCATCAAAGGAAACGTCCACTCCATCACCACCAGTAAGATCTCGACAGGCAGCAACAACAGGATCGGTAACTTCGTCCTCCCTGTCTCCTGTCAATGGTTCGAGGGGGTTGACCACTGCATCTGCTCCGAATTTCTTCGCTTGGTCAATTCGTGCTTCCGTAACTTCGCTGATGATTGTCTTTGCCACTCCCCAGACTTTAAGGAGGCACAAAATCGCGAGTCCAATAGGCCCCGCGCCCAATATGAGTGCTGTCTGGCCTTGTTTGAATCCCGAGACGCGGATACAGTGCCAGGCGACTGCCAAAGGTTCAGATAAAGCCCCCACCTTCAGAGAGACTGAGTCCGGGAGTGGAATACAACTGGTTGCTTTGACGACTGATTGTTCACAAAATCCGCCTCCTTCAGCACTCAGCCCGTAGGTAACGGAACGTTTGCAGATATTGTAGCAACCCGTCTTACAAGGGCTACAGGGTTTCATTCCCAAGTGTCGCTCGTCCAGGGCGGGGTTGACGATGACTCGCTGGCCATACTTGAGACTCTTCACGCTTTGGCCAAGCTCAATGACGGTCCCGGAAAACTCGTGCCCAAGAGTCACGGGAAGCTCAATTCCTGTGACTTTATTTTTCATCCCAGGTTGAGGAGCAAAAATAGGGCCGCCAAGATATTCGTGGATGTCTGTGCCACAGATGCCGCAGAAGGCGATCTGCAATCTGACTTCGTCGTGGCCACACTTTCTACCACTTATTAGCAGGTTGTTCTTGCGCTTTTCAAAGCTTTGGAAGTTATTTACTGCGGGGCAACATCGTCGAGTTGGTTGTTCTTCCGGCCATGGAGCCGCAGAGCCTTCAAGTTTGCGCATTCCGGCGCAGTTTCAACTGCCATCTCTGAATTCCTGAGTCAATGGAGGAGCAATATAAAATGGCAGAAAGTGCTTGCGGTTTTGCAGTGATATGTGGTGATGATATGAGCTGATCCCGACCTTGTTAAACAAGCAATTATTGGTCTGAAATTTATGACTTGCTACTATGGATTGACAGTAGCATGGGTGGAGAACATTTGAGCTACGCGATTCCGCCAACTGAGAAGGTATATAGATTTATGCGTTCACATGCAGATCGAGGAAGTCTAGCTCCAGAGCTCGGTTATATGCTTCCCTGTCCTGGCCCCTATCTTGGCAGCTGAGCGCTAGCTGCCTACTACTGCCACTAAATCTCCAACCCACCCTTTGGAAGCTCCAGAGCATTGGTATTGAAAGTGATGTCACGGGACGTCAGCTTACCAATTTCTCCATTTCTGCACGTCAGCTGATTTGTCATGCGCATTACCTGACAAATCAAGCTACCATGTATATATATGCCCCCAAGTCCTTGATTTGGAGGGCCAGCTGCTATTGTCAATAAATCTCCATTCCAACAATTGGCACGCCCCGCAGACCCCAATTTCCGAGAACCAAATTCCATTTCTCGGCTTCCTACCCTGTTTTGTAATCTTTCTATCTCCAGCTCTTCATGTCATGACGAAAGGACGCCTGGCGTACGTATCTCAACGATTTTGAGCTCCTCGTAACATTGATTGCTGACGTTGGTGGACATTGTTAGTTTCATCGCCTTAAGAGTCAGATATGCCAGAGCCTACCACCGAGGCTCAACCCCAGCCGCAGGGGCAATCTCAATCAGAATCCCAGTCTAAGAGGACGAAACGATTTCGGGCTGCAAAAGCATGTCGCCGCTGCAATGAGAAGCGTGTCAAATGTGATGCGATCGAGCGTGGAATTCCATGCACCAGATGCGAACAGGGCAAGAGGAATGATTGCGCCCTGATACAATCACGGCGGGGGATTTATCAGAGGAAGAAGAACCGAAATGATTCTCAAACAAAGACGTCAGGCTCGGAAAAGGAAGGGGATAAGGAAGTCGTTCCTTGTGCCTCAAGTCCTCCTTCCCAAAGAGCAGCTGCCTCACATGACAACAACACTGTCCATGTGCAGACTCAGGATCAACAAGAAAATACGAACTCAAGCCGGAATTCCCCCAATCATCTTTCCGAAGATGAGATGCACTCATTTGATGCCCTGGAGCAAGCTCCGCCGTCAACAGCCCTAACCACGCCTGCAAGTCATGAAATTGCATCACCTGGGTCCGGAGATACCGAGATGAGCAATTCCTCGTACCGCGAGATTTCATGGACAACCATGTTCGACCATTTCTTGGAGGGCCGGAAGCATGGGGAAGCTGTCATCGACAAGTGCAGCATTACCTATCTTGGTGAATCATTCCCCCTCTCCATTGTGTTGAAAGACTTGAGGGACGGAGGAAAGCAGAAGCTTCATTATCCAGGTCCACCATGCCCGGAGAACGATGCAAGTACGGACAGCTCACAACGAAGTCGTCCCGACCACATGCTCCCAGAAGACATCGCTGTGTTGGAAGCGAAAGGCACATTTGAGGCTCCCGAAAAGAGCGTTCTTGATGCTTTGGTATCTGTCTTCCTCGATCGAGTGTTTCCTCTGTATCCGATTGTCAATCGCCACGAATTCCAACAGCAACATCTAATGAACAAAATACCTTGGATCTTGTTACACGCCATGTGTTTCATATCCGCAACTTACTGTCCGCTCTCCATCCTGCATCGAGCTGGTTTCAGCTCGAGGAAACAGGCTCGTTTCTTATTTTACAGAAAATCCAAAGCACTTTTTGATAACGGTTACGAAGTCAACAAGCTTGTCGTACTGCAAAGCGTTATTTTCCTCACATTTTGGGGAGGCGGTCCGAACAATTACTGGAATTTCTACTCTTGGATTGGCACTGGTGTGACGATCGCCGAAACTCTCGGGATTCATCGTTCGATGGCAACAACGAACATGAAACCTCAAGATAGGAGTCTCTTGAAAAGGATATGGTGGATACTTATAATTAGGGACACTTCCTGTGCTGCTCTGGTTGGCCGTCCCTTTCGGATCAACCTGGAACAATGTGACACAGATCCATTAACAGCTGAGGACTTCGAACATGATGGCAATTCTCCAGACTTCATGTCCAATCCACAACGGCCTTCATTCGCCAATTACCAGATTCAGATGTCCAAACTTTCGCTGGTACTACGAGAGATTGTCAATTCCCGCTTTTCTCCTCAAAAACCCAATACTACCAGTGCGGTGCTGCATGAAACCCTGAGCGGCTGGCGAGCCCAACTTCCTCACAACCTGCGCTGGTCCGATAACAGCACAGGCATGAATATATTTTCGTCCACCCTAGCCATCCTGTACAACCATCACCTGATTCTCACACACCTAAATCGTTCACAGGATGGGACTTCGATCAACTCGGATGATATTTCCCAGACCGCAGCACAGCGCATCTCCACTATGGCCTGCAAGATCGTCACCAAATCCGACGTCTTGTTGATGCCCCATGAGCTATTCCACGGAATATTTCTTGCAGAAGTAGTCTTCTATACTCAGATGAAGAGCGCACAAACCATGGTTAGGGAATTCAGTCGAGCTGCATTAAACAACTGCCAAATGGTACTTCACGAGTCACGAGAATCGTGGGATCCATCGCCTTGGGTCATGCAGTTGTTTGATAATCTTTTAAGAGGAGCACCAGATGCGGAGAATGCTGATATGGAGAGCCCCACCGGGATGGCTGAGTATGCCATGGGCGCCACACCTGGTTTCCTGGGTGCAGAGGAGGCGAATTTCGGATATGATCCTTGGCAGACTCACCCCATGCTTTCGAATTTGTTTGAGATGCCGTTCGATCCTGCATTGATGGGTGATGGATCAATGTTCCCCAACTTAGTTAACTTCCCGTCGGTTGGGGTTTTGCAATGAGTTCGGTTCTGTGACATGCACCGTTCAAGGAGCTTGCCTTTGTCTTAAAATGGGTTTCGTGCAAGCGGGAGTTGGCATGTCTGCCAAAAGGACTTTTGAGCAGAGCCAGGGGCATTTGGGTTGGAGTGACCCCCAATGGCACCTTACAAAACTGTTTGAACATCAATATGTAACATGAAAATGATATTTGCTCAACTCATCGCTTCTGGTAATTGCCCATAATACCATTCCCTCCCCTGCACGCAACATCACTTATCCACTCACGGCAGCCAATTACCCTCCTTATCCTCCCATCCAAAGTCCTCTTTCGTCCAGCCCATGACCAGTTGAGTGCCATCTGCCCTCTTCCCCAGAATAGCTGTGATCCAATCCACGAGATGAATCTGCTTGATGGTCTTATGTGCATTGTTCATCTTCTCCATCTCATCCTCGCTCAGATCCACGAGGCGAATGTTCTCAGCAACACGAGCATCTAAATTCGATTTCGGTATGATGGTGATGCCTCGTTGGACTGCCCATGATAAAGACACTACGCTTACTGCACAATCATGAGCAGCGGCGATGCTCTTGAAAAGTGAGTGAGTGAAGATTTCGTTTTCGACGCCGGGGTAGAATCCTCCCAGTGTACTACATGAGCATCAGCATTCTGCATCCAAGTTCAAATTTTCATCCTAACTGCAATGTTCCTCATTCTTTTCACGCTTTCCCTCGGGCCTCCCACCCCAAAATGTCCGAAACAATACACACAAGGATTTACTCACCTCCAACTCATTGTATGAATTCCCCTCTGCTTACTCCAAGGCACAAGCTTCAAATTCGGGTTAAAAGCATGCAATTCCACCTGATTAACACACGGCAAAATCTTCGCACCACCATCGATCAAAGCCTGCAATGTCTTCTGCGTAAAATTGCTAACCCCAATGCCCCTACATCTCGGCCCCACCAACCCCTCCATCACCTTCCACGTTTCCAAAAACGTCGGACTTTCATCAATCCCCAAATTCGTCTCGCTCCCATCTTTCTCTACACGAATGGCGTTCGGCCAATGCATCAAGAAGATATCGATGTATCCCAGGCCAAGAGAGGAGAGGGATTTTTCGAGTGCGGAAGCGGGGTCGTGATGCCATTCTCCCCAGAACTTTGTCACGACTGTGATTTCTGAGCGTGGGATTCCCGAGGCGAGGATCGCGGAGCCGATGATGGATTCTATGCCGTAGTATTGGGCGGTGTCGATGAGGTGGTAGCCATTTGAGAGGGCTTTCAAGAGGGAGGCGTGGAGCTCGGTGGCTTGGGAGGGGGAGGGGGATGTGGAGCCTGTGAGGGATGAGATTGGAACGTGAGAGTTGGGGGATGGCGAGGGGATGGAGATGGAGATACCTAGCCAGGTTCCTAGGCCTACGGCGGGAATTTCTTGGTCTGATGGAAATCAGTGATTTTGAGCAAGTTGGAATGATTTCGAGGCCCTACCATTGTTCAGAGTAAAGGTTTTGGTACAGATGGGGTGTTTCGGAGACATTGTGTTCAGGGTTGAGAGCGTGAAACTTTTGAAGAAGGGCGGTGTTGTATCTTTATCATAGGTGTGGCATTGTACCGTATAGACGAGGCTGCAGCCTGTCTTTCTCAGCCCGGCCTAGTTGAAATCGAATAGGAATCCGAGATGTAGATGGTTGTGTCAGATGGTTGAGTCAAGAGTGGGAGGTGGGAGTTACCGAGGATCTGTGGTGAAGATGACAAAATACAGGTGTGAAAGCCTGTCAACATGCAGTCGCGCCCATGAATTTATTTGGCTGTAGGGCCCTGGTCCTGGGTCCCAGTGCTGTGGCTGCGGCGCTTGGCAGTGATTGAAGCGGCTTCAGTGAGTGGCTTACAGGCTTTGGCCCCTGTGGCCCGCGCCGGGCTCCCTCACAAATTGTACTGTATCTCAAAATGTTCCCGACACAAAAACTTTAACTAAACTTCAAGGAAACGACATACATCTGGTTATGCCGAAGTAGTAGCTAGTCTCTTAAAGGACGTGTCCAAGATCTCCAAAATATTGCCCCACGGATCCGCGACATAAACACACTTAATTCCATCCACGAGCCTAACCATCTTCCCCACTCTTGAACCGCCTTCCTTCACCACCCGCTCAACCAATGACTCGGGATCATGGTCGGTCACGCAAACATGGAAGAAACCGCCTCGGTTATATTCAAAACTCCTCTCCGGTTGTGTGTGAGAGGGGTTCATGAATTCGAAGATCTCAAACCCGACGCCGTTGCCAGTTGACATGTAGGCGATTTTGACGTCGTTCAGCGACTGTGGGTAGATGCCGAAGATGGCTGCGTCGGGCGTTTCTGAGCGCCGAATTTCGTGGATTTTGTTGCCGATGAGCTGGAAGCCCATTACTTTCGTGTACCAGGCTACCACAGCGTCGATGTCTGCGACGGAGACTGCGACGTGGTTGATGACCCTGCTGGGGGTACTCTGGATGAACTTACGTAAGCCGTGGCTCTTTCGTAGCTAGGTTTCGTAGCTAGGTTGCGAAGGGAAAGGAGTGCGAGAACTTACAGCTTGTGCCATTGTGGCGAGCAATGCGGTTGTCGACGTTGGGTGCGAGGTCGGTGGCGAATCGCTGATATGGTGTTATTTCGTGCTAACTGTCCCAGAGATCCAAGTATATAAACAAGTATATATCTGGAAAGCTGGGGAATCAAGGGAAATGTAAGAACACCAAACGCCACTGGTTTACACCGAGCGCACACTCGCTTATATAGGGGGATCTCGGCTATTGGAAGCCCGTGCTGGGCTCCCCTTTTCCAACATCAGAGCTTAAGGATTGATGCGGGGCCCTATATTCTTCCAAACAGGCAATCGCAATTTCACTAGGATTTAGAAGCTTAAAAACAGTGAGAATCTACTTTGGAAATGAAGTTTGCGCCTCAAATGATTCAAACGGTCTCGGAAAAGCAATCCCGTGTGTGGGGATGTTGGATATGAAGCCGAGAATAAACACAGCCTTTTATAGTTTACCCCGCAACCTGACTTTTCGAGCTATTAGAAGCAGAAGAATATATTGAAGATACTACACTTCTCGTTAACTTAGAACCCTTCATTAAAATTGAACTCCTCATAACTCATAATGGACATTGCCATGCAGAAATTCCCCAATGGCATTCCTACCTTAGAGGAAGTAAAGAAATTTAACGGCGCAGACCCATATCCGGAAACGGCATGGATATGGGGCAAAGATGACGAAGTAAAAATTGGAATTCCTCTTCCTCAATTAGCAAGTCCTGATGAAGCTCACAGATTGGACGCATCAACCTCTTGACCCCAGCCCGCATCCTCTCTGCACAGAAATCGGAGATTAGAGACGGAGATACTGTGTCTCTTAATTGGCCCATGAATTTACCAACCAAGCCAGCGTTCGGACGCGCTCCTTGCCAACACCGTGTTGCAAACCATCCCGATGGACCCATGGTTTTTGACGACTGGCTGGATATGAACATCCAGTCTGGAAGCCAGTGGGATGGCTTCCGCCATTATGGACATCAAACCCAGGGAAGATTCTACAACGATCTCACGCCCGAGGAAGTGCTTTCCGGTATCAATCCTAGAACCCATCTCCTTCAAACCCCATGGCTTCGCTGAATCTTAGCTAACAAGAGACACAGGCACAAGATGTGGTATCCAAGCTGTCTCAAACCACGGGATCGTAGGTCGAGGCGTGCTGCTCGATTACTACAGCTGGTGTCAACAAACCGGCAAACCATACGATCCGTTCACTTCTCACGCTATTCAGCTCGAAGACTTACTCGCCGTTGCCAAAGCGCAGAACGTGAAGTTCCAGGTTGGTGATATTTTGCTGATTCGAAGCGGATATACGGCTGCTTATTATGAGTACGAGAAGTCTGACCCGAAGAAGTTGGATGAGGCGGGGTCTCTGCATCCGACTTTGGCGGGGGTTGCGCAAACGGAGGAGATGAAGAGTTGGTTGCATGATTCGTACGTTTCCCTCGGTTCTTTATATGTTGGGCTTTTAAGGGGAAAGGAAGGGCTAATATTAGAACAGGTATTTTGCTGCTGTGGCTGGAGACGCACCAGCCTGGGAATGTTGGCCACCGAAGCAGTGGGCTCTGGTAAGTCCTCCCCTACTGCAATATTTCAGACCTTCAAAAACTTTCAGCTAACTGTGAAGAAGCATGAGTTCCTGTTGGGTTCATAGGGAGTGCTTATTGGAGAGATGTTTGATCTTGAGGTAAGATGCTAGTCTAACTGACTGGGGATTTGATTGGCTGATAGAGTGTCTTCAGGCACTTGCGAAGCAATGTAAGGAGAAGCAGAGGTGGTCGTTCTTTTTCATGAGTACCCCTTTGAACATGCCTGGTAAGGATTCCTTGGTTTTGAGCACCTTGGGCTCGACTAATACTTGCAGGTGGAATTGCAAGCTTTGCAAATGCAATTGCTATTTATTAATTTCAGCGTCCTTGTTATGATCCTGGAGCTTGCGTTATGTATGAAGATTGATTTTATCCATCATAAAAAGACAAATGCCTCGATCTCGACCTCTTAAAGAAGAATTTCCCAGTTGAATTAAAGTTTCAATTCGAGATTCCTAGTTTCCATTTCAAGAACAACAGTTCCTTCGCATATTCTCGCTCGCATATCTACATTTGGCTTCTCCCCCCAGGCCGCGATTATCCTCATCTCCGTACACGACAAGTTATACTTTTAAGCTTGCAGGAATTCTTCATCAGTTCAACAAACACCGCCTTGTTCAAGTCCAAATTGGAAGATGGGGGACAGTATCCGATGCCTTCAAACACAAGTGGCTAATCAAAAATGGACAACGTGTGCTATAAACAGGTAGCGGCTCTTATCGGAGTTGCAGGTTCACTTCGACTTAAGGTTGGAGTTGGAAATAGAGGATTTCAATTTCCCAGAACCTCAAGGATATGTAATGGGTTTGGATTTGAAGTATATGCTAAACGGCAGCAACATCTGGACAGGGAGTATTTGAAATGCTCAACTCGACGTGGGACATTGAAACTTCATTGCCCGAGAGGGACTTTATTTCGAAGACACAAAATGTTACTAAAGGAATCTCATTTGAATGATGTTTAATTTGAGCTAGACAGCTAGTCTATGTTTCGAAGGCACACTCCGTATAGACAGCGCTGATATGGCAGAGAAATGAAGATCGCAAACGTGAGCACTGAAGCCAGGTTGAAAGTTGAATCCGAAAGACAATTCAAGAATGCTCACTCCAGAGAGTTTGCAGTTCTTCATCATCTGACGCGTAGCAAGCCTACCCCTCTCCCCTCTCATAAGGCACTACTTTGATCCTTCTGAAGTGACGTCTTCGACAGCCGCCGTATATCCACCAACCTTCTCCATATCCCTCTCCGAGTCTTGGGCGTGCATGAGTGCCGCGAATTCCGCCTGAGCAAGCTTGGTAGCTTCCTTGTAAGACATACCCGGGTTATCATACTTGATTTCGAACAGCCGATCAATCTCCTCGAGAGACAGGCCGGCGGTTTCAACGAAGAAATACCAGATGATGGGGAGGAAGGAGAAATTGATGATGCCGAACATCATATAGAATTTCCAACCGAGATTGGCAATGCCATCTGGTGTAATCTGAGTGTGTTAGAAAAGTGGTGGTTTAAAGTGAAGAAGGAGGAGCAACTAACCAACACCACAACGTATACGAAGAGCCAATTCACAACCATAGCTACTGCGGCGCCTGTGTTACGCATGTGTTGTGAGTTGATCTCGGACGGATACATGAACGGGATAGACAAGAACGAGAGACCCTAGAAGTGTTAGCACTTTCTTGGTGTATCTTCTGGGGTGTACGCACGTAGAAGACATAGTATAGGAAAATGAAAGTTACGGCTAATATGGACCCCCGATTAGTATTGAAACTCAGACCCATGCCCGCCACGCAGAAACAAATCGATTGTGTGAAGGCACCCATCAACATCAAGTTCTTTCGACCCACCCTCTCAATGAGGAAGGTAGCCATTGAACCCCAGAACATGAGAGAGATCGAGTCGCATGCCGACAGAATAAGTGCAAGTCGATTAGTGAAGCCGAATGAGCGGACCAGTACAACTGGTAGGTAATAAGCCACGACGTTGGTTCCTCCCATTTGCTGCATGAATGAGGGTCCAGCTCCAAGCAAGATACGTCTCAAAGTTTGTTTCTTGCCATTGCGGAAGACCTCACGCCATCCAAAGTTCCCGTGCTCCTCAGCACGAGCAACCGAATCACAAATGACGCTGAGGTCGTCAATTACTTGTTGATCATCTTGTGGCTTTGCAAGTAGACGAGCAATGATGACTCTTGCTTCGTCTCTGCGGCCTTTCATGACGAGCCATCGTGGAGATTCAGGGAGGAAGGAAATGAAAAGGATGGTCAAGATTGCGAAGAAGTCCTGGAAAGCAAGAGGGAAGCGCCAGCTGACTTGGGTGTCTGGTGTGTATGTGAACCCGAAATTCATCCAGTTGGTAATGACGATACCTCCCAGGACGAGGACAAGTTGAATGATGATGAGTTTCCCCCGTTGTTTGGCTTGGGAGGTCTCTGACTGCCACATCGGGATGGCAGTTGTGTTCATCCCGGTTCCGAGGCCTGCCACGATTCTTCCGATGATCATCTGTGGCAAGTGATAAGAAGCGGTCTCTGAATTGCGGAAGAGTCAGAAAATGGTTGGTACTTGTTACTCCAGAAATGCTGGAACAATTGGGGCGAAATCACGAAACCATTCAAAATAGGAAGGATTCTCCTTAACACTTACGAATTGTGCCCCCGATGATAACCAAGCAGCATCCCAAGACGATACTTCGTCTTCGACCAAGCTTGTCATCAAAGAAGATTGAAGAAATCGCCCCTAAGATACATCCGATGTCGTAGGTTGACACAATCTGACCTTGAATGGTAGCATTGGGGTTGCCGAAGGTGCCAAGGAAGGCATTGTTGGATAGGAGACCCCCAAAGACTCCTTGGTCATAACCGAATAGGAGGAAGCCTGTACCGCATGTGATGGTGATGGCGATAGTCAAGGCCCTTCCTTGAAGATTGTGAAGGAAAACTATTTCGTTGAAGAGATGAATAATTGCGAAAACGAAGTAGGATCAGCACGATGTATCATAACGATGCAAGAGGAGTAGGGGAGTCTTATACAAAGGACCCAGGGATTTGTGGAGGGTACCACTCTGGGGACCCCGCAAAACCTCACCTGGCACTAAACGTGACTTCTGAAAATTATTTCTTGGTTTCGGTAACTTAGTCTGGGACAATTGAAAACAGTTTAGAGTTAGTGAGAGAGACCGCGGCAACTCTCTTCACCATTTGAATTAGTGCGTTTTCAAGCCCAAAACTAGATAGCCGTGCGACGAAGACGAAGAAGCCGAGCTGAAAAGGGGTGGACCCTGCGGGCGTTCCCTGAGGTACTGTAAGCGAGCCATGAATCGGTGCGGGGTACATTGGAATCCAGATTTCGAATCGTCAAGACACCTTCCCTCTTGCTTAAAGCCGGAATTCAGGAAGTGGTTTTGAAGACAACTCCTGTCTCCAATTGACATTAGAATATTAACTGTAGACTTGTCTCCATCAACAATACTTACCATGGTGTCCTCTCGATTTCTTGCGAATAAAGTTGTAGCGTAAATCCTCCCCTTCTTCCTTCCTGCAAAAAATTAAACACACTTACAGGTTATAAAACAGCACTGACTATGTGACTAGTATAACCGGATGCAGCAGTGGAATTGGAAGGGCTACGGCTCTTGAATGTGCTCGGCACGGGGCGCGAATTGTCCTCCACCATATTGGGAACTCCCAGTCAGAAGGAGACATCGCAACCTTGAAATCCGAGCTCGACACAATCTATACAGAAACAAACATCTCATCGCATTACGGAAAAGGACAGAGATACATAGCGGTAGGAGCAGATACCACAGATCCAGGAGCCGGCCAAAGGTAGACACCCCTGTCCCGTCAGTCATCTGATATAATTTTGTGGTCTTTTCTGACATTGCATCCTAGTATTGTTCAAGCAGCAGTTGGCGCATTTGGAGAAGTAGATGCACTGGTGCATAACGCGGGAATATGCCAGTTCGCGGATTTCCACGCCGTGACTCGTGAGCAGCTTGGACGGCACATGGCTATCAACTTCGCCGGCCCCTTCCACCTAACGCAAGCGGTTACAGAGCAAATAATCAAGCAGAAGTCTGGCGGCTCGATAGTCACAATTGCTTCAATCACAGCTACATTGGGGTCGAGTCGATTGACGCACTACAGTCCGACGAAAGCGGCATTGCTGGGGATGACTTATAGCTGTGCAGTGGCCCTGGGTCCTCATGGCATTCGCTTCAATGCAGTGAGCCCGGGAACAACAGAAACGGCGATGAATAAGAAGGACTTGGAAGCAGGCGGGAAGCGAGCAATGATGGAATCGAGGGTGCCATTAGGGAGGCTAGGAAAGCCAATTGACATTGCGTCGCCAGTTATTTTCTTCATTTCAGACTTGTCTAGATACGTTTCCGGGCAGAATCTGATTGTTGACGGCGGAGCTTCTATAAACTATCAATAGGTATTATTAACCTCATTGAGGAGTGTTTACTCCGTATAACTTCAAAAGGATGTTCAACAACTCGAATCTCGGGAGTGGAGTAGTGCCGAAATTACAAGCAAAACCCAGTGCTGGCCACCAATTGGACTACATAATATAATGGTGTATATGCAAGGGAGGGAAGATACAACAGCATTCTTCACTATGCAGGAAAACTTCCTCTGGATCGAGCCCACGACCAAGCTAAATTGAGATCGTTCGCTCTTGCTGGGCCACGTTGGCCAGGATATCTCAGCGGATTAAAGTCTCCTCAAGATTAATTTGAGGAAATCCAAGGCCCACAAGAAGATCCAGCACCATTGGCCCGTTACAATCTACAAGATTAGAAGGGATCCCGGGGGAGGGTTGGTCCCCAGCGAGCCTACAGCGACGCCTGATTCCCAGGCCCTCGGCTGTTTCTTCAGCGATCCCCCATCTCCAAGTTTTCGGCCAAAAAAAGAACGAGGATGGAGCCACTGTAATTAGAAAACGTGTGTAATTCTCAAAAGCAAAAAGGAAATGGACTAAAAAGGCAAAACATACAACAGCAGGTATTCGCTGGTGGTCACCCACCCAACTACTAATCTGCCGATCTGGGGCTTGTGTATGGCAGAGCGGACGGGATGCCCATTTCCCCCCAGTCTATGGTCGTATGTATCAGCAAATGGGTTATTTTAGTACACATACTAAGAAATTGTAGCTTTTCAAAAATGCCATTCGGAGAGCCAGGAAGCTGTTGCCAAACTGATTGGGCTTCTAATGTCTTAGTCCTCAGCTCTCGTCTTTCTAGTCATGCCATTGCCCATCTACTGCACGTAAATCGAGTAGGGTAGGGAGTTGTATTGAGGGTATAAGAATCGATTAAAGCCAGCTAGAAAGGAGCTTCAAGTGAGGAGTGGAAGCTCTTGAATATACTTGCAGTGAGCCTGACTAAGCGAAGCGATCGCGCTACGCCTACTTGAGTGATGTGCTGCAACACCATCTATATCCTATTGTACTCTGTTTCCGAGACTTATTTAAAATCATCAAGGAAGAAGGCTCTACTCAGCGAGCGGAACAGGTGTCACACAAATCGCGCCAATCAACCCCCGCCCACTTCCATCGTATTTGTCCCTCCTATTGTCGACACGTTGTCACTCAATTTCCTGACAGCCGCCCTCGCTCCGCCGACTTTAAGCCATCATCGGACGCCCTCCCTGAAGTTAATTTTGGCATCAGTAAGCGCCTGATTGAGCTGCCGTGCTCTAAATGCTGCGTCGGCCGTACCAAGCACCTCAGCGAGCTCCTCTAGACTATACGTCCCGAACTGGCGAGACTTCCCCCGAGAGTGTTATCCGAGTCAATATCTCCATCGCCTACGATGGCGTCATCAACTAACTTATACCAGACGACTGTTTATTTCATCTTGCCCTCAGTCGATGAACTACTATCTAAACTAATTAATTAGTTGATTGAGTCTCAATATAACAGGAATCCATGAGGAAGCAGTAAGCCTCCTCTTTGGGTTGGAGGTCGACTTAGACTTATCTAGAGCGCCAGCGGAAATAGGCAATTCCGCGCCATGACTTGATAACGGCGGCCGATGGCGGCCATTATAGATTGCCCCCAGGGAATGCATTTGCACGTTGACTTTATTCTAAGAAGAACCTAAGTTGGCAGGAAGAAATCGCATTTGCATAGCTGCCTATCTCACAACATCTGTCGGCCCCCATCCGATTTTCCAGTTCTGGCCTTTCGGCTGTAAGAACAATTCCTCAATACTCACCCTCCTACCGATCATCCCTTGGTCAAAAAGGCACTCCACCGCCGCCTCCAGTGTTTTTCTGTTCTCTTCAATGCCATACGGCCACGGATCGCCGCCAAAAATCTCTCCGATTTCGTCAATCTCACTCGTCAGCCAAGGCAACATATACCTCAAAGCATCTGTAAACCTCATCCTGCGAAAAGCCACATCTTTTGCATCTTGGAAAGCGTTGAACAAACTCGTCGCCACAAATGGATGTTTTTCTACCACATCGGACCTTATGACAACGGTGTGCATAATAGGAAAAATCCCCGTCTCTTTGTAGTACTTCTTCTCTGCATCTTTGAAATCGGGGAAGAGTCGCTTCACATGTGCTGCTTTGTGGAAACACGGGGGTAAATCGGCTCCAATGGTTGCATCAATTTCGCCTTCTTCGAGAAGCTGGGACAGGGATTTCCCGCTCCTATTACTGGTGATGGAGATGGATTTCAGAGGAGGGAGAGTGGTGGGTTTGCCGTGTGGTTCTGGTGATTCCATCGAACCTTCGATCCAAGTGATAGTATCGAGGTCAACACCGCATTGTTTTAGTAGACTGCGAATCCAGACGGCAGCTGTCATCGTGTAGAGCTGAACGCCAATTTTCTTGCTGTTCAAATCTGTGGGAGACTTGATTATGTGGGAGTTCACAGCTATGAAGCCGTGTCGGAAGGCTCGAGACGGGAAGACGGGGATAGCGCCGAAGTCTCGTTTTCCTGCTGTGTACCGACAGACATATTCAGAGAGGGACATCTCAGAACAGTCGAACTCGTGTCCACCAGCCATGCGATCGAAGACATCTCGAGGATGGTTCTGGACGATGAAGTTGAGGTCGATCCCTTGAGGTCTAACCTCTCCGCTCCAGAGGGCCTCCATACGGTCGTAGAGACCACAAGCAAAAGAGATTGGGACTCGAGAGGTCATTTTTCACGAACAGTGAATCGCGTAGACGGATGGAGATGAGAAAGGCTTCGAAGTAAAGCGAAAATTCGGCTCGATATGAAGAAAAACACGCAACCCATGCTTTGCATGCGATTGACTCATCTCACCTGTGACCTTGGAGCCAACCATAACATCCTGCCTCTCCTCAATTGCGAGGGAGGCGGGAAGGCGGGTTTCGAACAAGGTTCCCCGCTCGGCCTTTGGCTGCAGTTGTACCAAAAAGGAAACCAGTCCTCGCCCCCCAGTCATATTCGCTGATGCTTATTTCGGGATATCTCTTGTCCACCACTCTGCATGCACCTCTCACGTTGCTGTCTTTCTTTTTCTTGCCTGCGTATAGAAAAAATACAGCTTGCTTCATCTCGTCCGTTACCTACGAAGTTTATGACCACAGAGCATTATCAAGATGTCGAAAACAGCAGACGTCAAGCCCAGCGAGCAGCCGAAGGTGCTGAAGAAACACGTACAGGAGCTCTCAGACATTGAGCTCGTGGAGGACAAACGATCAAAGAAGGGACTCCTGCTACGTCCCCAGCCTTCCAATGACCCTAATGATCCTCTCGTCGGTGCATCTCCCACTCGCCCCACTACTCAGAGACTAACTCCAACATAGAATTGGCCATATTTGGAAAAGTATTCCACATATCTCACCATCTGCTTCTTTGCGTTTTTAGGATTGGTCAACAGCAGTAATTTTACCGTGTCGATTGTACCAGTCGCTGCAGAATTCCATACAACCACGACGAGAGCGGGCTATCTCACCTCTATCCAGCTCTTATTCATGGGTCTTGGAAACCTCTTCTGGATGCCGATGATGCGCATCATTGGGAAGAGGCCAGTATATCTAGCATCTCTTCTGCTTTTGGTTGCTACCAACATCTGGGGATATTTTTCGCACTCGTACGGCAGCCTATTGGCAAGTAGGCTCTCAGGCGGCTTTTTCTCTGCTGCTGCCGATGCCACAGTCCCAGTATGGCTCACTCTCATACAAATTTTCTATTTTCATTATACGAGAACCGAGAGAAGGGAGCTCCTTTAAGAGACGCTACAATTCTTTGTTGTCTTGTCTTGAGAGCCAAGACAGCTCCGAAGGTCCCAGATCCTTCCGGGGGGGGGGGGTTTCTTTCAAATTTACTACGCTAATTTTGTCGGCAGAGTGTCGTTGCGGACTTGTTTTACTTCCACGAAAGAGGGCATTGCATGATGATGTTCCATACAGCGATAAGTGGCGGCGTGTTCCTCGGCCCGTTGATAAATGCGTACATCGTACAATATGCAGGATGGAGGTGGATGTGTGGCTTCATGGCCATCGCTGCCTCCGCTACGTTTGTTGTAGGATTCTTCACCATACATGAGACCGCGTACAATCGAGAGATCGTCAACTTCAATCTTCCCAAATCGGAGTATGCTCCGAAAAGGAATTGGTTTGCAGGCTTGTCCCTCACGTCTGGCTATGATTCTCAAGCTTCGTTTTGGGGATGGCTAGGTAACACACTAGTGTTGCTTGCGTAAGTCCCCGACTTTTTCTGTGTAATATTTTCCCCTTGGGCTTGTCTCTTGAGTTGAACTCACTCAAAACTCATGCATGGCTCGTTGCGAAAGTTTCTACAAGAAGTATTCTAATTCGGAGGTGTTGGGGTAAAGATATCCGCCAGTGGTGTTCGTCGGACTGACGATTGGTGTATTTGTTGGGTGGTAAGTGTCTAGTGTTCCCCAATAACTGTGCCATGTTTCTGACTTCAACACAGGAACATCTCAATTCAACTGACCTCTTCTCGGACATTTACCGCAGCTCCATATCATTGGAAGATACACAGTCTTGGTCTCCTCTCAACCGCAGGCTTTATCGGTGCTGTAATCTCGTTCTTTATCGGCGGAAAATTGATCGACTTCGTTGCAACTCGGATGACTGCTCGGAAAGGTGGGCACGCTGAGCCCGAATACCGCCTTCCTGCAATGGCCATCCCTGCAATTGTAGGGCCTATAGGAGTCCTAACTTTTGGGCTGGTGATTGCTAACAAGAAGAGTTATTGGGGTGCTGCAGTTGGCTTTGCGATGTTGGGCTTTGGATTGACGGCAGCTAGCAACGTAGTTGCTACTTACGCTGTAGATGCTTATCGTCCTGTGAGCTTATATTGTTCGCCTAAAAGGAGTAGACTAACTTTTCTTCTCATCTAGATCTCCGGAGAAGTTCTAGTAATTGTGTTTGTGGTCCGAAATGTGATGGCTTGTATTCTTTCCTTGTACATTGCTGATTGGATTAGAGTGGAGGGTGTAAAGAAAGCGTTTGGAGAGATGGTTGCTATTCAGTATGCTATCGTATCATTATCTGTGGTCCTGTACTTCTTTGGGAAAAGAATTCGTGTCTTCACCGGGCGATTTGGCCCGATGAAGAAAGTATTGCGAGGCAATTAGTTTTTATGTGTCAAGCAAGTTGAATATGGCTGTTATGTAGTGAGCAAAGGTTTGCGGATTCAACGGAACTCCAGGAAGGAGTCTGAATGTTCCATAAACTTGTTTCCATGTGCATGATCTCAGAACGAAGAAATATAGATACTGTCTATCGCAAGTTGCCAAGGTTCACACACCCTGGTTTTTAAGAAAATAAACGCAGAATATACTTATAGTACCACAGGGCGTTGTACTATCTTTAACGTGCTGCAATAAAAACACATGATCCTCTCCCCTCAAAAATTATCTACTGTCCGTTTCATCCGCTTCAAACACAAATTGTCACCTCATCATTTATAGTAATGCTATAAAACGCACTTGGGCTCCGCCAAGCGTAATCTGGGTCGCTTTTAAATACTAGCATTTATCTTTCTAATTACCTTTATAATACTTTATAAGACATAATATTTTAATTATTATATAAGTATTACACTTCTCGTATAATTTTTATTATGTGTTTTGATTTAATAAGAATGCTATAATAAAGCAATTAATTAATTAATTACTTTTGCCTTAGAAGAGAAATAAATATTAGGCTATAATGTCTTATACTTATAGGAAGTAATAATTAAAGAAAAGTAAGCCTTGAGATTTAAAGTTACCGGAAGTTACCTTGAAACCTCTATAATTGCAATAATTATTATGTGTTTATATTTTGCGAAATACTTTTAATTTTTATGAATACTAGCTTTGAATATTGAGTATTGAACGCTAGTAATGGTTGCTGGCAATTGCTAGCAATTAAAAGACGTGCATAGAGACGTTCATTCGTATGAAACAAGCCCTTATAAGCAAACCACGCAATACCGAATCCTCGCTCTTGGCAAAGAGGAAGAATTTACTTTAATGCTTCTAAAATAATTCCTGCAAGATTAGAGACAAATTAAATCTAGTAAAGAAACAAGATATGAAGAAATAGTAAAGAGAAGGACTCGTACATTATATTTAGGCTTCTAAGTCCATATACTGGGGCAATAAATATGTGTATGCCCAGCCGGAACAAGCGAGTGAGCGATTACTAACATTCTCTTACTGCAAACGCAGATGCTGTCGATTCCGGCTAGTTTGCAACAGTGGTAACTTCCCTCTGGGCTGCATTTAGTGCCGACATCGACACTAACCTCGGCCATAATAGCGGTTGCCATAAGAGCGAAGGTGGAAAGAACAGAAAGGAATTGCATAGTAATAGCTGTTTGATTAAATGAAGAGAAGATCAAAAGATTAATGAATGTTTTCTTGATTAACCTGCGAGAAGGGCTTGAGTATAATAAAGGCTAGGAGCGGGTTAAATCGGACCGATTATTGATTGCTTATAGCCTAATAATCTAAGACTTTTAGGTTTTATATCGCAAAACTACTTTATATAATAATTAATTATTTAAATAATTATTTAAATAATTATTGTTTTAAAAGACAGTAATTAAATTATAATTATTTAATTAATTATTGTTTTAAAAGACAGTAATTAAATTATAATTATTTAATTTACCTTAATTATTTTTTGATACGCTTACTCTGTTAATAAACAAGTTATTCCGCGATTTATTAGCTATATTTACCAAAACGAGGGGATCCCTGGCGCGGGGCGGGGTCCATTGATGGCGGCCTATGTTTCCATCTTCTCCATTGACTCTATACTAGTCAGTATAGTTCAGTGGAACTTTGTCCGTGACTTAATGCAAATACTTACCATTCCAGACTCCGCAGCTTCCTTCAGGCGATTATCAGTCCTCGCAAGGCTGACTTCCATTAAGTTGAATTGTTCTGGAGTTTAGCCACATAAATCCCACCATACATTTAATCGAATGATCAGACAACCTTATTGCTTATTTCAAATCTGAGATCTGTCTTGGCATGGCTGATTGTGGTGCCCAGTAATACATCAAATATTATTCTCCCAAGTCTACTCGGCCGCCGTGGTTGTGCCGATCATCTATGGGGACACATTCCATTACTCCTATCATGAATGGACGACAAGTACAGCGCTACAGTATTGTCATGTTGTAGCCAGTTGCTGCCTAGATATAATGCCTTACGATAATAGTGTATGCTATGCAATTCAGAGCGGTTTTGGACGTTCTGATTCTAATGGTTGATGAGTGGTCCCTAAAATTAGTTCTGTGACATCGTATTGGTCTCAATAATTGCTGCCTAGACACAGAGAATGCCTTATGCATGCACAATCATTCAGTGCGGCTTGAATACCTCGTGTGACCTGATCATTGGCTTAGATACCAAGCTTGAAATAATTGATTGGCTGATTGTGAACTTCACAGCGTCACTCGGTGTGTGCATCTTTGAGGCTGGGACTTCCAATCTGACCTCGCTATATTCCTTAAAAGAAGCAGATAGATTCGTTTTCGACATTTTTAATCTCGGAACATAGATCATCAGGTGATGCCTAATCACCACGATTGTATTCTTCACTCCATAATAATTGTGCCACATGGACAGTTACTTTCAACCGGCCAAAATTATTACCTTCACTGTCCTGAAGCTCTTTGCTTGTTGCCGATCCCGTACGAAGGGGACAATCGCACCAGAAACATCGGAGATCCGATCCCAAAAATCAATCAACTCTCTAGCATTTGTCTACCCTACAAATAACTTAGCCGAGTTACCATCAAATGAAGAAGAGCACCCGGAGATGACGACGTTATCTGGTCCGATTGGACGGGTGTCCAATGTATCAATTCTAAGCAATGGTATGAATAAACTAACAAAGAATCTTTTCAAATACAAAAGCTCACAGAAAAAAGATCGTTGGCTAGGACAAAAGATACTTGAAGTCACCCTTGCAACTGTAACTCTGAGGTCACTCCCTCCAATGGCCACAGAGAACGATGTTGAAGTATGTGAGATTATTTTTATTTTCAACCACATTTCCAGAGTCAAGATTCAAATCTCAATAGGCTAACATTTTGGAGGACTTGTACCAAGATTTGATGCACACTTTTCGATATGAAGAATGCCTTAAAGCATTGTGTAATCAAACCGAGCTCTCGGAGACAGATGCTAATTTTCGAGATCTTCTCTTGGGCCAAATTGGCCACATTCACCGCCAGACCCAGGCCAGTGGCTCAGTATCTCTTGGCATCAACCTGGAGAAATATATCGACGACCGTCGCCGACTTCAGAACGAGAAGTGCATAACAAAACAGGAGTCTAATCTCGAATCCACACGGGAGGCAAGAGCTCTATCAGACCCACAAAGTATTTATCTCCCTTCCCCTACAGGTACCTGGCGTTAATGTAATTATAGCTTTACTGTTGTCACCATTAAAGACCAGTATTACGATTTCTCCCAACCAAAACGGCACGTTTCATAAGCCTTGTTTGAAATTTGGGCTGAACACCGAACCGGCGCATTTACCAGCATATACTTCAATACTTAAAGAGTATGCTGACAAGCATGGTATCTTGTTAAGCTATACCGAGAATCAGACTCAATTTCAGCCTACGAGGTTCACTTACAAAGTCACTTTAGGAGAATTGGAGGCAATTGGACGAGAACGGAGTAATAAGAAAGATGCAAAACATGAGGCTTCAAAAGCCCTCTGGAATCCGGAATGAGTGCCGCTGGAGACTCTCGGGTTCTATACATTCTCACTACTCTTCTTTTTCATGATAAAATCAGTTATTTCTTTTCACTGGAACGTGTTATTAGTAAAAGTTAACTTTGGTTTCTTATTAGTTCTAGTTGATGTGCTCTTTGCTGGGTTGTCACATTTCCAATCATACGATATACAATTTTTTCCCCTTCAAAACAAGACTTCTAGATTTCGCAAAACATAACCGTAACGTATGACCGACCCGACGCCGGCGTGCTACAAGAGTATGAAGCTGGCTCTATTCTTTCAGTCTGTGGTTGAAGTATCGTTCGGAAAATATATTCTGATTATTTCTCTTAATGATAAATTTCGATCAATAGTGGCATGCAAATCCCTTACCAAACCATCGAATAATTCAATGTGCAAGGAGAGAGAGGGTGGGATGCTTTGTCCGGTGCTCTCGCCTTCCGCCCATTCTACTAATAATTGATGCAAGATAATGCGTAGCCGATATCTAAGATTCCCAAGTGGCTTTTGATTAAAGCGACACTGGGCTTTACATTTGAATTTCAGATTTTTGAGAAAGAAATCTTACAACAATAGCGAACTGACGCCGATATACCATAGAAGTCGAGGATCGGTTGAACTATCGCCCAAGTACAATAGTAATAAGAAATAATCCAATTCCCCTCCACTCTATCGTCGTATGTGGCGGATAATATGTGTGAATTATACTATATACTTGCTATTCTTTCCCTTTGTCGCTTTGGGGTAAACTCCGTCAATTACTAAACGTATAGTCAAGGCGCTGCTACCCAAACTATTAGCACAATGTGCCATTGGCCGCGATCCATGGGCAAATCCATCCTAACTGAGCGGAACTCGGACAGGCACTCGTGACCTTCCTCGCGCCAAATGCTCATCTTCTTTGTGGCTTCGACTTAGCAACCCTATTCGGTAGCCCCTTCGCTTACGAAAAGGGGTAAGACATCAAGTCCAGGCTAGCAGTTTCCGAGACTTTACTAGCTGGAAATCCGTCAATGTGTATGCAACAAGTCCACGGTAGTATTTTCCGAGACTTGTCTATTAAGACATCCGCCTCAGGCAGTCGCATTGATAACTGATCGGGTTGCAGCCCGTCCCGGTGCGTCGGGCAATGACGCTCCCGCTCCAACCGTCGTGGCCGCCGTTGAACGCTGACTTTAGCCACAAAGCCCCCCCCCCCCCCCGTGGTTTTATCGGGGAGCAGGGCGCACGAGGGTAGTACCCCGCCACAATCGAATTGGGTGAGAGGTAAGCAGGGAGCGAGAGAGCTGCCGCAAACCCGGAAAAAATCGTGCGCAGCTTGGCATTCTTTCTTTCCACCAACGTGTTATCTTCGACAGTTCTTCTATCTGATCCTTTCTAAATAAAGGGATTTCTTCTTCTTTTCTAGTGGTTTCCTTCTGCTTTTTTCGAATAGGATAGTACCCGCCAAACTACTATCAAGTCGAATGATTGAAGCAACAGCCTATGGTACCTTTGGAGGGCCTCTTACGATTACGCTCCATGGCAAGAATACTCGTTCAGAAACGAACTCAAGGCCTCGAAACCAGCGCCACTAGAGGAGGATTCAAGTAAAAAGAAGTCGAGAATCATTACCAAAGTTATAAGCTGCTAAGCCACATCCTATATTATTGTCACGCCCACAGCAATTCTATGTATGTTTATCCATAGTCAAGTACTGAGGCGAGATACATTATCCACATCAACTTTCTTCTTTGAGCATTGTCTACCTAGACTGTCAAGTCGTACAACTTCGGAAGTACCTCTTTTAGGAACCGAGTTAATATGGCAAGGATATAATCTGATGATTACTGGACGTCGTTACGGTACCCATCTTTCCCCCGCCTTTATGCTTGTTCTCCACAATTTTCGTCGCCCTATAAAAAGGCAAGGAAGTACTCACATGTAACAAACTGTGAGTATCGATTGCCCCTACAAAATATTAAGCTCTTTGAAAACACGAAGCGCCGTTTAACCACCAATCGTTCTATTTCTTTTACTATGTATTTCAAGAACTTCATTGCCAGTTTGCTACAGTAGCCATGGTTGCTAGTCTCGCCTTAAGTATTCAACATAGGATGTTGGACTTTCCGCCTTGACGCAAATGGAACTACCCTCCGTACAGTCGCTCATTCCGTTGACAACCCCAATCAACCAGATCTTTTTGCTCGCGATGATGACACTACTGCTGCTTCAGCAGCGACAGCCATGCGACGCACAGAACGCTCTGTACCCGAATTGGCAAAAGGTACTTCCACAAGTGGCGTTTATTGCTGGGGTTATGGCCTCGGCCACGCAGGAGTCGATATCTCAACCCAGAATCTCCAAAACTAGGCAGGATTAGGCAAAAGTGAGTGTTCAAGGCCATATCAGACAGCAAAATTCGGCACCGTCATCAATAGCACGCTTGTATACACTTGTATTGATAAAATTGGTGATGTGAGAGGTTCCGTACGAATGTTAGGGAGGCGTTGGGTGAAGAGGTTTTAGTTGATCCATAGTATCGCTTAAGCTGATCACTGTTATCAAACCCCGCATATGCTCGTTATTTAGCTGATCACTATTATCGCTTAAAGAAGCGAGACAGCTAGCCGAGCAAATGAATAGGTTTTGTGGCAGTCATATTTTAGGCATGTGCTCTGCATATGCTTTCCTTATGCGGGCTTAGGGTCAGGGGTTAGGGTCCGGGTTAGTTCCGGGGGGTTGGGGCCGGTGAGAGCATCCCGCATTAGGATATATTAAAGCGTAAAGGCCCTACAGGTTAAGGTTAGCATATGCTAAGTATATAGGTTCCATATGCCGAGCATATACTACAGATAATAATAATAGTAAAGCAAGATATATTCTAACTTACTTATATGCTTCTTAGTAATAAAGGTTAAGCATATGCTAGGAGTATGCCTGGCGGGCCGTTGGGAAGAGGTCGGGGTTGGAAGGTGGGAGTGAACGAGGACATATGTTTATTTATTATTAAAGCTAGCAGATATAGAGTGGTTTTTGGTGAGAAAAGTTGATCCACATTATGGAAAATACAAGGGTATTCTCGCTAATTGATAATATCGATTAGCTTAAGCGATACTATGGATCAGCTACTGGCTCTTGGGTGAAATGGGTCCTGCTTACGAGGCGGGATACTATATATTCCCCAGCACCTTTGACGCAAAGATCATCGGTAAAAGCCATGGGGGAGATAACATATGCGTGCAGCAGTGGAAGTGACACGCCTTTGGAGCGTGGGAGGCAGCGGTTAAACTTTTGGAGGTTCTGTTCTGTTGATTCGGGGTATACTTCCTATCTGTGGGAGAGGACTATATTGCTACTACGTGCCATTCTTGTTAGAAGGAACACAAAATAGTTGGAATTGAAAGCTTGGTTTTGCTTCACGATACGGAATGAGTTTGGGTGAAAAGAATTCGATGAAGGAAGTTGCTAAATTCGGCTGGAAATGCGATTAGAAAGAATAAGATAATATATTTGAACTGCTCTCAGACAAGATTTTATTATTGAAAATTTGAAACCCACCAGCGTTTCTTGCCCGTAAAATTGGGCACACAGCGTAGATATTGGGTGTGCTTACTCTAGCCTGGTGAAAGTGAGGTTGTGGAATAGGCGATCGATGGGCATTATTAGCTTCCAGCACGTGCGCTTGTTGAAAGCGTAGGTGCTGTAAGCAGCCCTGCTGGAAATATGGATGATGTGAGTGATCGTGTTAGGAGAAATTTTTCTTGAAATCACCTTGCTGCTGATGGGGAGGAGGCAGCGGTAAAGAAGGAGGTGTTTCCAGAGTCTGAAGAAGGGGGATGGGGGTTGGAGAGAAAGATGAAGCTGCTGAGGAAGGAAGCCGTTTGTTCCTTTGGGGTTCTGGAGTTAAGAACGTTGCGAGAGGCTTTGGGGTTTGCTGTCGCGGTATTTATACTCTGATAATGTTTATTTAATTTGCTGACAAACACAATTTTCACATACATATCGAGCCACTGATGCTGAAGCAACTCGAGCCAGTGGAGGATGCTCAATTCTGTTCAGTCTATGGTCAGAGTAATTACTGACGACAAGTCCTCAATTTCCATCTTAATAGTGTAAAGCTATGCTCCTCAAAAGTAAACTTCCCATGGCCATCCCAACATGATCCCCTAATAGTGACCTTCTCAGCACCCTCTTGATTATTGTCTCTGATATGATTGCTCTTGCCTCCCACAATAAAAATCTCGACTGGGCCAGCCACTTCAGGCAAGGTTGTCGACATCGCCTCCGTCTCGGAAATGTTCACCACCGCCAAATTCATCCAGCCATCTTCACTCAAGGCTGCCGAGACATCTAGAAGAGGCAATTCCATCGTGCTCGCCAACCAGGAGGGAAATGTTTTCCCCTTATAAGCAGCAGAACGTACATGTGTGGCAAGGGACTTCCCGCGCATGTACTTGGAAAACAATAACAGTGGCCAGTATGTAGTCTGCTTGATAATGCCTCTCTCTGTGGTCATCAGGGGTGCGATGACATTCACGCTCTGTGCGATCGTAGCCATTCCAATATGTTTGGCCTGCCGCACGAACACATTCAGCCAAACTGCGACAGCTAGCGCGTCCGAGAGGTCGTATAGTTCTTCCGCCCCTTTGTCGCCTGGTGCGCGTGTTGGGTCCCACACGTTCCATTCGTCGAAGCAGATAGTTGGACGGGTCAGTTTCTTCGCTGACGTGTCGATACTTCCGCTCATATAACCTTCGTAATCAAAATCGCAACGTGCGAGATCGATCATTGCCGATGTCATCTCTATTGCTCGCTCGGCTGCTTTTGGTGATGTGACATTCTCACAATGCCTTCGTATTTTAGTGTGCGACAAATTTTTTGACATAACCTGAACACTTACTCTCTTCCAAATGTATACATATGTATGGAATGCATGTCAATCCATTGAATTGACTCTTGGAGAACATATCGATCCCAGTCGCTATGACCGTTTTTGCCACAAAGTATAAGAGTAATGGATGGATCAAGAAGCTTGAGTGCTGTAACATGATTAGAAATTTCTGACCTTAGAATTGTATCAACCCGCGGAAGTTTCGATTTACCTTTCGCCCATTGATGCGCTTTTTTTGCGTAATGCTCTTTCGTGTCTTGTTCAACCTGCCTGTACGGTTTCAGTTTAGAATTTTCAAACGAATATTTACGACTAAATGTCTTGTAACTGACCAAGGGCCCCAAATCTCATTCCCAAGTGCCCAGTATTTCACTTTGTATGGCTTTTCATGGCCATTCGCTCGTCGCATGTTGGCATAGTGTGTATCTTGCTCGGAGTTGCAGTATTCCAGCCATGCAAGAGCTATCGAAATCAAACTGATATTAGCTGTAGACTTTCCGTAAAATCTTTCATAGCATTCTTACCATCTTCCAAAGTTCCGGTCCCCATGTTCAGCGCCAGATACGGCTCAGCGCCAACTTTCTCACACCATAACATGAACTCGTCTGTTCCGAAATGATTCGACTCTGTACCCAACCAAGCCAATTCTGGTCTCTTGGGACGTTTCTCTCGAGGCCCTACCCCATCTTGCCAACGATAGGTCGCTACAAAATTTCCTCCGGGGTACCGAACAACAGGAACTTTTAGCTCTTTCATGCAATCAATAACATCTGTTCGAAACCCGTTCTCGTCGATCAAGTTGTTTTCGTTCTTGGGGTCATATATGCCGCCGTATATACACCGTCCCATGTGTCTAAAGAAATCCGAATTTTCTTTTAGCTTTCTGAGATACTAATATACCGAGAGAGTTGGAAAAAATTGACAGTCAGTCTTTTTGCTTTCACACAGGGCGGCTCACTCAGTAAATCCCCCATACATCAATGGGTTGATATCCGAAATCGCCTGATCTGGAGACGTATAGATGGAAGCTTCATTTTGGGACAGAATTTCAGTGAAGCTCGTCATTCTGAATAAGGCAGTCTGATTGTAAATAGCAAGCGGATACAGATGAAGAATCTGTTTTTGAGAATGTGGGTAGTGGCCGTAGTGGTGCAAAATAACCACAAACACGTTGTCGGTGATATAAACAAAATATTACACTTCGCAGAGCTGAACTTAAGCATGAAAACTTCAATGGCAAGCATCCTCCAATGGTGGGCGAAAATCCATCTTCTAGGTGGATAGAAGCCCAATAGTATATCGGGGAGTATCGGTGCGGGGCACGCTCGTGGAGTATCGGCTCACTTGTGGGGTATTAATTAGCTGGCTTGCGGATACTGACTGTTTGCGCCCCTCTTCCGTCTTCCGAGGTTCTCCCGAGGTTCCCCAAGGTTTTACCGATGTTTCCCCAATGTCCTCCCGACTGTGTTGCCAGTATGGTGCCCCACAAACCTTAAGGTAGCGGGCCGGTTTCTCAACTGTTGGGCTGTTGCTCTCTCGCTTAGTCCTTGGTATGGATCTGTGAATTACTAGTGTCCCTGGAAGGTCGCCCCTCCATTTCCCGCTTTTCACCCAGAATCCAGATCCGGGGCCCCTCACGGAGAACAACAGTCTGGCCGGCCAAAGGTGCGTCCACAGAGTATTAAGTCAATTTTGATGGGACCCCTCCTAAATGCTGCCCAAGGATTTGCCTCTATGCGGAATATGCGGAATATGCGGAAACTCTACTAAGTTATTCCTCGTCCAGTAGATTGCAATAATCTATAAAGCCCGCCTGCATTCCAGCTTTGGACCTTTAGATTTCTACCATCCGTTATTTCCCAGCCATTCTTCAGCCGTTACCCTTACATCGAGTAGCAAAGCATATCTTCTTATTTCTCCATCCAAAGGTTGGCCACTTCCGATTTGCAACCTGATTCTCGACACCGTGGTCTCTGCTCGAAAGACTCAGAACGAAGTCACCATGGACCCCGAAAAGAATATGGCCGTTACACACATGGACCAGCCCATCGACTCGAGTGGTGAAACAGCTGCTCATCTTGCGAACCAAGAAGATCACGAGCAAACCAGGATGCAAGCCATCAAGCAAAATCCATGGGCATTTGCATGGTGTATGTATGCCGTCTGGCTTACTCTTCTCGTAAGCTTTGAGAACCAGGCATCTGGAATTGTGATCGGTATTCCACAATTTCGGAAGGATTTTGGGTACTTCGCAGACGGCACTTATGTTCTCCCTGCGAATTGGCAGGCTGCATTCAGTGGTGGGCCTGTTGCATCGTAAGCTATGACCCTTATGATCAGTTATGAAAGATGAAGGCTGAAAGAACTTAGAACAGCAATTGGAGCTTTGACAGCCGGATTCTTTGCCGATCTAATTGGCCGCAAGAAGACGATCATCGCAGTCCTTGCCATCTCATTTGGCTCCGTAACCATGGAAGTGGTCTCAACCACCAACCCGCTTTTCTTCGCTGGGAAAATTGTTAACGGTTTTGCCGTCGGAGTCTTAGCAGCTGTCTGCCCAACGTATATCGGCGAGCTTACTCCCCTTGCTCTCCGCGGCTTGTTTACTTGCCTCATGGCCCTGGCCTATACCATTGGTCCCTTCACCGCTGCTCTAATTCTCAACTCAACTGGCACAGTTGAGACACGCTGGGCCTATCGCGCCGTTTTCGTCTCTCAGTACGGATTCTCCGGAATTGCCGCACTATTTGTTTTCTTCATGCCCGAATCTCCTTGGTGGCTCTGCAGCAAGGGAAACGAGGAGAAGGCAATTCGAAGCCTCAGTCGTCTCGGCTACAATAAAAACGGCGAAGGCCCAAAACGACTGGCAGTTATCAAACTCACCCTCGAACAAGTCCGCAAGGAGACTGAAGGCGCTAGTTATCTGGAATGCTTTCGCAAATCGAACTTGAGACGCACTATCATCAGTATTGCCCCGCTCTCTATCCAGGCTCTCTGCGGTGTCATATTCATTGCCGGCTACTCTACCTACTACGCCCAGCTAGCAGGTTTCAGCACCAAGACCTCATTCCAGCTATTTGTAGGCCTGCAGGTCGTATCCGTGACTGGCAATGTTGTCTCGTGGTCGTTAATCGATCGGATCGGGCGCCGCAATCTCACTCTCTGGGGTTTGGCTTTCCTTACTGTTGTCTTGATGCTGGCTGGTGGTACCGCTACCGCTGGGAGTGTACCAAGCATCAAGGCTTGTCTGGGGTTCATGATTATATATGGCTTCTTCTACAACATGACAATTGGCAGTACAGCTTACACAATCCTGACCGAGAACGCGACCTCTCGGCTCAGGGTTAAGACCATTGCAATTGGTGTTGCAGTGCAGAATACCTGGTACACGATGTTCAGTTTGGTTCTGCCGTATTTGTTCAATCCTGATAAGGCTAATCTCGGGGCAAAGGTATGCTTCCCAATTCACACGGCACGAATTCTGTACTAATACAAGCATTCTGATAGATTGCCTTTATTTTCGGTGGCATGGCAGTACTGTGTCTCATTTATATCTACTTTTATCAGCCGGAGACGACGGGTCGCTCATACGAGGAATTGGATGAACTCTACATGAAGAAAGTCCCTGCACGCGAGTTCAAGGCTTTCGTCACAGATGCGGAGAAACAGGGGCAGGAGGCCAGTAAGAAAACTCATATTTGAAGAGGAGTGTGTTTTGATGTATGATGGACTTGTGGCTGGCTCGAGAAGTCAGAGATCTCACTTTTGGTTTTCCCTAAAATTGTTCACACCTTACTCGTAGTGCATCCACTACTGGTGGCTCACTGGTGGCTCTAATTCGACTTCTGCTGTAATAATATTCTTATCGTTCAAAAGGTTGTCTACATGTGATGTGAAATGATAAAGGTTATCCCCTAGGGCCTAGGATGTGTTCATCCTAGGCAAGGGAGCGTGTAAAGCGGGTTTTCGTCGGGATCTTCGCAGGCCCAGCCCAAGTGTTTGTTACACCGCCTTGAGTTCTGCCTGGCAAAATTCGCCCATAGCGTTTCGCTACGGGGCATTCCAGCGCAACCCCTGAAAAGGCGGTGTGACAAAACTCAGGGGCTGCACCTGCCTCAAGCGGTTTTTCGTCGGGATCTCCGCAGCTGCACCTGCATAATGGGATCTCCAGATTTGCGGCTTTTGAGGCTTAAAATGTGGAGAAGCGACAATTCCCATTTGCTCCAGATCAGGCTTGGCGGTGTTCCTGGCTGGATCGTTCCAGGATCGATATTTGCCTAGATCGTCAGGCATTGCTGCCTCTTGATCCTGGACCGATCCTGACTCGTGAATTTTCGGCAAAGCCTGCTCCAGATCCTTGGCGTGTTTTCGCGAGCCCCCAGGCCAGGAGGAGCACACCTGTACTGTCCCCCCACCCCTCCCACAAAAATAATAGCGGCTGCCACTGCCCCAGTTTTCGATGAGGTACGATTTCTGAGTGGTTCGAGTCGTAGTCAGCCATTTAGCATGGGGCAAAAATTAGTCTGTGTATTAATCTACAGTACAGTACTGTAAGGAGAAGGTTCAAGAACGCTTTCAGCCCTGGCAGTGGCTCTCAGCCAGCTGGAAAGGCGCTTTCTCACTGGTTAAACACCCTGGATTCCTACTTGAACCTATACCCAAGACATATGCGCTAGCAATTATTCTTTGGGGGGCGGGGGGAGAAGTAGCATCATGTGGAAGGTCTACCCCGCATGTAAAAATATCAAACTACTAAACCGTTACTACTCCACGCTCTCCCACATTTATCAATTCAGTAGCGACATTCACAATGTTACATGGCCTGCCTGGGACTCACTTATCACATGGACGATCAGCAACCTCTTACAATAGACGACGAGCGAGCAACGCTTGCCTCGTGTGCCGGTCGCGCAAAACCAAATGTGATAATCAGCGGCCAAGATGCGGCTTTTGCGTCTCAAACGGGGGAAATTGCCGCTATGTAGACTCAGACCCCTCTCAGCTCGATCGCTCTACCCTTACGATTCTTGAACGAATTAGCCAGTTGGAATCATCACTCATCAACCATATTGATTCCAAATTGGAAGATAGAGCTTTCTCACCTACCAACGAGCAATTCCCGGGTGAGCCAAGAGACTTGCATGATTATGCCTATCAAACCCAGGGGCACATAGTAACTTCAAGACCATATGAAAGCCCAACCACCGGATCCGTCGATTGGAGGTCCCCTGCTGTGAGTGGAATCGTCCAAAACAATCCGGGTACTCCCGTCGTCGTCCCTTCGGATGACGCACCGCCATCAGCTGAAGTACTACTTCGGGCATCTGAAATGTCAATCGAGTCTATATTGAAATGGCCAATCTTCCCGGAAGCTGCTCCACATCTGGTCGCAACGCTTGAAATTCCACTCATCGAAGTCGTCGACCGACCAAGGCCAAACAATATACGCCAGCAAAGTTCAGCACTTCCGGATCTCAGCCCTGACACCATCAATTGCCTCGTTCAGAATTTTCTGAATAACAATCACATTAAAAATCCCGTTTTAGATGTCAAGGCACTTTGGGCTGATGCCAGAGAATTTGCCGAGTCAGGTCCACAATGGGATGCAAGAAGTTGTTTACTAGTAGGGCTCATATATCTCAGAATGGTCGATCTCTAACAGTGTGTTTGTAGTTGCTTGTCTGCGCAATCAGTACATTGTCAGCACCACTCACCGACGAACTTTCGCCCGGAGTTTCCAAGCAACAAGAGAGACTCTTAACAGCAGAGGCGTACTTTCTAGCGTCCCAACGACGTATTGGGATGCTCTGCCACGAGAATTCGTTCATCGGGGCACAATGCTCATTTCTAAGTGCGGTGTATCTGTTGTCAACATTGAGAATCCTTGCGGCGTGGAAATGTTTTGTCCAAGCAGGGTCACAATGCCTAGCATGGCTGACTAGTCAAGGTCGTATGACTCGGGATAACAAGCTGAAAGCAAATATCTCTTTCGGGGGAGATATGCTATGGCAGCAGAATGAGAACGAAAGGGCGCATCATATAGAGGAAAGCTTATATTGGAGCTGTCTGAAAAGCGAAATGTGAGTAAGCTCACACATAGATCCAGCTCCTGTTACACTATTTACGGCTGATTTCGGTAGCGAAGTAAGGTTCCACCTGAGGCTACCTGGCTCAGGTCTCGGAGAGGTCGACTATCCTCATCTTTATCCATCGCCCCCACAGGATGTGCCAGATATTTATGATCACACTTCTCCATCTTCGGCGAGTTCGCGGTCGTTCTCGAACCCAGAACAAACGCATGTGGATCGCCAGAATCTGCAGCTGGCCTGGTACTTCTACCTTGCAGAAATTGCAATGAAGCGAAAATTAAACAACCTTCTGGTTTGGCGATACGATAACAGATCAGAGGGAGAATTATTAGACCAAAAGAGCAAAGACCTCAGGTTGCAACGGAGTGTAGTCGAATTTGAAAGGCAGAATGAAGACTGGTCAGTACACCGCCGTATAAGCGCCACGTTGGTTTGCAAAGATTGAAACATTGGCCAGGTATCATATGTTGCCAGCGCAGATGAAGTTCCCGCAGGATTCGAACGTGCCGTCAAATGATATTCTCCGTCTCATATTGCGTGGACATATGAATGACATCAGAGATTTCGTTCGATTTCCAGCACTCGAAGAAGTCCTTGCATTAAACCCACATGCTCTCCTGAGAAGCTTCAGTCCAGTCCAGCTCCAGCTTACTCGGGAGTGCTTACAGATAGCTGTAGAAAGCATAGAAGCAAATCGAGAGTCATTCTTTCATCGCCACCAGGGCACATGGTTGATGGCTCGAACTTGTACCAGGAGTTCCCTGATATTGCTAGCCATGGCTTTGAGATGCCAGGCGGAAGCACAATCTACTGGGGTAATGGCCATAGAGTTGGAAGAAATGATGCTGCCATCGCGGTGGAGAAAGGTTGTTGAGCAGACAGTTGAGGTACTTAAGTATTGGTCGGATGAGAGCAATGATTTGGCGCGATTGAATGACCTGTTGCGGGACTTACTTCACACGTACGATTCATGATTAGCTGATATAACGAGGATCGCAATTCCCTTATACTCAAGCTCCTTGTTGTGATATCTGGCCTGGGGTAGCAACAGCTATGCCAGAAATCCCCTGCCTCCCTCGTGTATGATACCGTTCAGATGACAGCAACGTGCTCACTCCATTTGCAGTGCGCTTAGGGAACCATATGGCCAAATGTTACAGATCACCTGAAGTAATCACGGGCTCCTATACTAGTTGTAGGATAATATCTTAATTCTATAGCTAGACGATTTTGTATGCGTGTTGCTGGTTAATTATCTTCCAGTGTTATTACGACCAACTGTATCTGGTGAGTTTATAGTTGTCGGATCGTGATTTTTTTCACGACCTATTGAATAAGGAGGCTTTACTTGTCTCTATTCCCAGTCCTTGGACAGTGAAAGTTATAAACATACTTGGTCCGAGATGGTTAGATTACTTCGTTAAATCTCAAGACGCGTAACGACCCACGCCTCCCGTGTCTACCTTGGAGAGAAGTGGGAAGAGATATTCATGGTTATGCAACTTCCACTGGCGTTTTAGAAATACTGTAACGGGTGAAACAATGGATTCTCATCTAAGGATGCTTCTAACGGCACTGGAAGCACGAGGTATAGAGTTGAAACGGTTTCAGCTTGTTTGATTTTGGCTACTCTTCTTGTTCTTTTATTTCCTATCTCAGGTTTGAGAAAAGAATTAGCAAGTAAAAACTTTTCTTGCTTGTCCTGAGCAGTATTTTGGATTTGTAGCAGAACACAGGTATCGTGTTAAGATTTCCGCTTGTCCTTAAACCAGAAGATCCACCACCTCAGCGCCTGCTTATAGAATTTATTGACTATGATCTCTAAGGACATGAACCTGGGTAGTATTTATCTTTGGAAATCGTTTCTCAGATCTCGAAGAGTTAGACCAAATAGATGTTTCGGAAATAGAATTCTACTCTTGAGAATGGTTGAAGCAGGGTGAAGACGTGAAGCTCTAATAACTCTTGGCACTTGAGATAGCCCAGTTCTCCTCCGCTTGGTGGTATGTGATAGCAAAATGCTTACTTAAATATGTATCGCCTTGCACAATTTCGAGAAGGTTGTGGGAACCTCAAGCGAGCCTGGTGGGGCTTCGCGAGAAACGCATTGGAAGTCTCCCCAGCCTTGTACATGCTCTTGAATGCCGTTGATATCAATAACCATAGATCAAGAAAGCTGTTACTGTCCTAATATTGTCCAACTTGAAGAAGGAAAGTCAAAACATTAAGACATCCGTTCGCGCTAAATCACGTGGATCTGGGGCTGCTAAGTTCGAACCCCTGAAAATCTTCAACCGCAATTGATTCGTCTCCTTCCACAACTCATCTCCCTCTCACTCATATTGGCAATCACCACATCTTCTCATTATTTCTTCATGCCACGAAATCCCAGAAAATGGCGTCCAAGACAGCAACCCTCATCCTCCTTCTGCACACCACAGTCTCCCTCCTAACATCCTTCATGATCCAATCTTTCTCCAACGCGCAACCAATCTCCATCCCCTGGGAACAATCCATCCTCTTCTACCTACAACTCCATTTATGCGCCACCGTCGTCACATTCCTTTTCACTTCCCTCCTCAAATACTGCTTCGCCCGCAAAGACCGCCGAATGTCGTTCAAACGTCACGTGTTCACAGCCCTCATTCTCGCCCCCCTATTATCCCAAATAATAGGGCGTTGGAAAGGCTGGCTAGTGAACGAAGACGACGACCCGATTGTTTGGACTGCTGCTTGTTATGACCAGCTTGATACTCAGGATCCGAGTGTTATTTTGAAAAGTGCGTTTTGTGGGCTGAGGTATGGGGTCAGTAGGAGTAAGGCTGAGTGGTGGATTGGCAGGAGAAGAGAGAGGGTCGGGTATGTAGAGATGCTGGCGAAGGTTTGCCAGGAGGGTCTGAGGGATATGGGGTATAGTAGGGGTTTGGATGGGGGTGTTTGCTGGATTGGAGGGCAGGATGAGTGGAGTGAAGGGGAGGCGAGTGAGAGGGAGTGGTATAGGAGGGGGTTTGAGGAGTGTCATGGGAGGTTTGGGGTTGATGCTAGGTTGGAATGGAGGGGTGAAGTATGTCTATCTCTTTTATTTCGCCCTCCTGATTGAAAGATGGGGATGATATTGAACTGACACTTGACACAGCAACCTCTCATCAAATACAGGATGCCAGCAATCGAAGGCTCAAAGTTCAACGGCGAATACATGGAGATGGCTCTTGATCCGTCACAATTTACAATTTAAGTCTATTAACATCTAAATCAACACCATCTATCTACTCCACTCATCCCATCATATCGTCTCCGCCTCCGGATCAATCGGCACAAGGTCGCCTTTCCCCTTAAAAGCCTCAAGAATGTCAGCTTGCTCATTCAACATAAACCGATCTGTCTGTTTTCCAATCTTCGCCAGGCCTCTCCAGCGCTCGAAATCGGCCGGGTTGCGTTTATCACCATGAGCTTCTTGGGGACGTTCCCAGTGGCCTTGGCTGAAAGCCAAGAGCGTCGAGATCTTCTTGTTAGGGATGTCATAGACGAGAGAGCAGATTGTGCCAGTTTCTGAGGAATGTGTGAGAAAATGAGGTAGAATGGATGAAGATTTGAAAGAAGGAAGGGAGACGGACCTTCGAGCCAATTACACTGCCATAGTTCACCGGGTCTGATGCATTGGTATGAGGCTGTCTGGTAATTGATGCGCCCAGCCATGGGGCCGCCGTGGATTTTATACACGATTCTTTTTTCAGAGAAGAACCACCTTCAGGACACAGGTCAACTCATTTCTCTCGAGGAGTGGATTGAGGGTTTCCGGTGATAAAGTGGAGAAGTACATTTCATATCTCCATTTCTCAGGCTTGCCATTGGAATCATAAGCATCATAATCATATATCAGATGAAGGTCACGGATATCTTTGTCGAATTGAGGCAGGACCTTGGCCTCCGTTAGCCCGTGCGTTGGGACTGGCATTATTTAAATATCAATGAAGATGAAAGCAGGAAAATGAGGAAGGAAAATCGAGATTAAACATATCCAAATATGTGAAGAAATGGGGTTTAAAAGAACACTTATAGACTTTTAATCTTGAGAACGTTTTTAATGGGCCCTGATGACGAGGCGGCCTCAGATGTGGGATGATGTATGCGGCAAGCTAAGGGATAACTTCGGCTGCCTTTCCAGAAGTCGAGATTCGAGAACGGCATCTCCTGATATTTGGGCTTTTCTGTGATTCACACCACGAGAAGTTCACGAGATTAAGCCGATCCCCAACATTCCGTTTCAGGATCCGCGCTTCTCTCACATGGTTGTGGTGTTGCTGAGAACAATTTTGACTTAGGGGTTCGTAGTATAGCCCTTTCCTCCCCTGTAGGCTGAGGGTATGGCGAAGGTGATTCTTGTACATGATGAGTATTTGACAGCTGATCTTCTGAGATTTCTTCCACGAGGACCAATTCTTTCTCTAGATCTAAATACGTACATTTGTCTATCTAGATATCTACATCAACTCTCAAATCTTTGGCGACTCTCCCATGAACCCTCCAGTCACAGCCTGCAGCAGTTGATTCGCAATAGCCGTCTGAGGCGGAAGTCTCAATCCGCCCTCCTTATATTCCTCTCCAGGCGCATCTCCAAGACCGGAAGTACCAATCCTCAACGCCTCTCTAATCTCATCCATCTCCACCCACTTCGCATCCTCCAGCTCGGGATCATGCTCAAGATGGATCTTCTCGCCATCCGGCAATGCCTGACCAATTGCTCCAATCATGAGATTCGCTGGATAGGGCCATGGTTGCGTGGAATGGATAACAACACGACCGAGCAGGACACCCGATTCTTCCCAGACTTCTCTTCGCACAGCTTCTTCAACTGACTCCGCGGGCTCGCAGAAACCGGCAAGTGTGGAGTACCAATGCGGTGGCCAGCGTCGTTGTCTTCCTAAGAGTACACGTTTGGCGTCGTGGCTTACTACGGCCATGATAACTGTAGGATCTGTTCGTGGGAAGGAGAGGTTGGAGATTCCTTTTCTTGTTGCACAGGCTGCTCGCTCACGGGGCTTGGCTTCGACGGAGGTGGCTCCTCCTTGTGCAGTTGGTAGGGAGGCAAAGTCTGTTGGGGGACAGACTCGTTTCGTGCCCGCGTTGACGGATAATGTAGGTTGGCCGCAGCCTCCGCAGAAGGGATTTCGTGCGTTCCAATCGAGGAGGGCGCGGGCTTGCGCGTAGATGGCAGCTGGTGCTACAGTTAGCAGAGTTTGGCTTCAAGGACACAAGAGAATACCTTCTGGGGCGTTCAAGGTCATATGCATTCGCCCTTCCACGAATTGCAGACCTTTTGCCTTCATTGCCTCAATCACACCCGTTGCTTCTTTTTCTAATGTCCCTTTCGGCGTAACATCCACTGCAAATAATGGGCAGCCGGAATATATGCCATGTTCAAAACCCTCCTTATTCCTCTCGTCCAGACCCAGAAACAGTACCAATGGTAGCGTAATCGACGAATTGTATTCCTTGATCATCTCCGCCTCCTCTTTCTCAAAGGGGTTCTCCCCAATCAAAGACCTAATATCGTTATGGGTCGCATATGCCAACTTTGTAGGGTCTTTCGCCAGGGGCGAGAGGTCGTTGAAGAGGAGAAAGGAGGTGCTCGGGTGCACGAGAGCTTTGGAGATGAAGCCATGGTCTGCGCGAAGGAAGGAGACGCGGTTCAGCGGGCTGCCAGAGAAGTAGTTGGCGACTTCTCGCCCGAACTTCCTGCTGAGCATCGAGTCCACGTCGTGATGGGCGGGGTCGGGAAGGTCGGGCTGGGGGGGCATAATTTCGAGTTGTGTTTGGCTTGTTGCTGCTTTGGAAGGATTTGTGAAGCTGCGAAGAAGATTGTTCAGTAGAAAGAGAGCTCGTCGCAACCCAAGGGATAGCGACGAGGGCTAGGAGGTACACAGCGCTGGCTATGTACTTGTGGGGTTGAAAGCTACCATTCCGATTCCGGGGGATTTCTCAGCAAGCCCTTATCACCGAACATGCCTGTGGATTGGAGGAACCACAGCCGGGAATAAATGGAATACTTTATGACGCCCTAACATAGCATGCCGAGGCGTGCCAGGCTGGAAATGAGTAAATAATTTCCACATATCCCGTTGCTGATGGCGACGTCAACCCCGCCCCGCTAATGTCGCCGTCTCTGATGACGGAACTTTTTCGGCATCGCGGAGAAGGTCACGTGTTTCTATCAATGAGTGAAAAAGATTATATTTTGTATTGAAATGTTGTTTTATAAATCGAGGAGGAATGCGCATGGAATCGTGGTTCACCCTTCCCCTTATGCTCCAAAGAATCGAAGGCTCAGATATGGCCTAGCAGCCATGATTGATTCTACTTGGGGACGGGGCTTTCGCTTCTTTGCAGAGCCGAAAAATAGATTTAAATCTCAATTATAAGTATCTGTGCAATAGAAGAATCTATTGTGCTCTATTGTGACCCCTCGTGATCGAAGAATGACGATCCCAGGGCAAACGGGGTAGCGAGGTCGGCAAAGGGGGTTCATAAGCGAGGTCATCACAAAGAGGGGAATGACCAAACCTCTGTCAGATTGGTATAACACTAATTGACTTAAAAGGCGAGAATCAAAGCTTGAAATTACCATGCTCATGCTCAGCAACAAGGTCATCCGTTTATAAATCAATTGAAGAATGAACCAAGGAACAGAGCCCAATTAAGTTAGTTTCCGCCACAGCAGGTAGAAGGCGAAGCCCGTGACCTGAAAATCTCCGTCAGCCTCTTGGTCCAAGCAATCTTTCATCTTCCTCACACCTTTTCTCATCTCTCACAGCACCTCACAATTTGGATAATCTGCCCTCAAATCTCTCCGTCCGACAGCTGTTATTTTGCGGAGGAAGTTGCAGGAGCGGACTCGAGGCTCTGGCTGGAAGATCTCTGCGACGGAAAATTTCGTCATCGAGATTCAAGATTGCGGGGTAGAAATTGAGGCTGAGACTCTGGGATCCAACCAGAAAGAAAAGTGGCATCTTCGCCCCTATTCTCGCTGCAGTGATGGTCCCTCCATCGCAGAATCTCAATTTGGACATCACTGCCATTAGTGGAATTTGCGGGTAAGAAGTCAGGTGGCGAATTAAGATCCAAGCTGACAGGGAATAGGTCAATATCAATCGCGTGTTGGGTCGTTGTCTTCTCGCCTCAGATCGTTGAGAATTTTAGGAGAGGGTCAGCTGATGGGTTGTCGTTGCAATTCATCATCGTCTGGCTTGCTGGCGATGTATTCAATATCCTCGGCGCCGTGCTACAGGGCGTTTTGCCAACGATGGTGCGTCCTCCCCAATATATCACTAGGGAAAGTACTTACAGTCTCCAGATCATCCTAGCAGTCTACTACACAATAGCAGACATCGTCCTGCTCCTCCAATGCTTCTACTATCGCGGCTTCACCTGGCACGACGAAATCGTGACTTCAAAACCCTCTCACGTTGGTGAAGCCACCGAGCGAACCGGCCTGTTGGCACCAAATCCCGACCGCTCCCGACGTTCCAGCACCGTCTCAGCGAGCCATCTCTCGCCCGTGGTACCTCTTCTCGAAGCACCCAAAGCCTCCGATCCCCCGGCCCTCACGCATCTTAAACCAACAACTCGCCTCCAAGCCACGCTCTTCAACCTAATCGCCATCCTCATGGTCTGCGCCGCAGGCGTGATGGGCTGGTACGTAAGCAACCGCTCGCAGGGCGGGCATTCCTCCAAGAAGTCATCCTCCTCAGATGACATCCTGAACTTCAACCTCTGGGGCCAAATCTTCGGGTATTTCTGCGCCGTGCTCTACCTCGGGTCCAGGGTACCCCAAATCCTTTTAAACTATCGCCGGAAATCCACAGAAGGCGTTTCCATGTTATTCTTCCTATTCGCATGCATTGGGAATTTGACGTACGTGTTAAGCATTTTTGCGTACGAGCCGCATTGTAGCGGCAAGCGTGGCCAGTGTAGGGAAGGAGAGGCGGCGAGTGTTTATGGACGGTATATTGCTGTTAATGCTTCTTGGCTAGCCGGGAGTCTGGGCACGCTGTTTTTGGATCTGGGGATCTTTGCGCAGTTCTTTTTGTATAGGGAGCAGGAGGAATTTTGGGGGGAAGCGGCGGTGGAAAACGGGGAGGGGAGGGGGGATTCGGGGTATTAATGAGGATAGGTTTTGGATATGGAAGGTGTAGGTGCATTTGGGAGGCTTTTTGAAAAGTGATATTTGGAGATTCGGGAAGTTTTGCTTTGCTTGGGAAAATGGTAGGAAAGTTCGGGCATCTATTTCTTGTTTTTTTCCGCGGGGGGGGGCCTTGGAAACAGTTGTAAGTCTATTGTACCCATCATCTGGTGTAGAACGCAAAGAAAATACAACAAATCAGACCGCATGCTCATCCCTCTAAACGTTGTGACGGAGGAAAACCAGCCTCCCCAAGCATCTAGTTCATCAACACAATCGTAATCCTTCTGCTGAATCTCATGGGTCCTCATACTTAACGTCATAAACAACAGTCTTACTAATACCACCCATACCCTTGGTGCTCTTCTTCCTCTTCAACCACCTAAAATTCCCTTCCCACACCCCACACTATTCCCCTCCGGCGTCTCCGCAAAACAAACCTCACTCACAACACCTATCCCTATCTCATTCCTTTCACTAACACTCCACCCACGAATCCTACTCCTAATCTCCTCCACCGCTCTCTCCTCCTCTCCACCCCTTGCCGCTCCTTGCTCAAAAGCATCAATCCCATGCATCCTCACCTCTTTCAAGCCCTCTTCAGTGTCGCCACTCCCTCCCCTCGCATGTCCCATTACATTCCCACTCAACACAGCCGCCGAGGAATTGTTCTTCATAAGGGAAGGGAAGTGCCGGTTCAAGATGGGCTTCAGACAAGGTAGAGAAGAGCAGATGATGCCAGTGTTGATCTCGACTTCGCACCACGCGGCGATGTTGACTTTGAAGACCGTGAAGTTTATGCTGTGGAAGGCGGGGAGCAGGGTTACGAGGCGGACGATAGAGACGATGCATGCACTTCGCCATCCTTCATCAGCGATGCTAACTTCTAAATCCGAGAGAGGGGGAGAGGGGTTGAGGAGGGACATACAACGACCCCACAGCAAACGTCAAACCAAGCATCCACTTCTGTCTCGTAGGAAGTTGCAATCGAACACACATCCTGATCGGCAGTAACAAAGTTGCGAAGTCAGTAACTATGTTAAATACTGCTTGCACGTAGAAATAATCTTTCTTGTTCACACAACTGCCCGGGATGTAGAAGTCCCACGAGCGAGCAACGGGCGAGCAGCCGAAGATCTGGATGCCGATGGAAATGAGGATATAGGTGATCTCGAAGGCGCCGATGGCGTAGGCCAGGCGTCGGAAGACGCGATCGGGATTGATGCGCAGGTAGAAGAGGAGGATGGAGAGCTTGACGAAGAGGGTGCCGAGGTAGTAGGTTGTGAAGGCGCCGAGATCGATCTTCAAGAATGTTATTACGTCGCCTCGGGTGAGGTTCCAGAGGTCGACGCCATAACCGTAGGGAATTGCTGGAGATGTAATCAGTGGGCGCTATCGTTTTTGGGAAGAGGCACGTACAAACTAGCTCCAATGCAGCGAATGCCCATGAGAAAATCTTTCGGATTGGGGTCAGCGGTGATTTCAGCCCGAGGGAGGAAGAAATACCAGGGCAATGACGAGGAACACTTTGGGAGAACGTCAGTGCGGACTTTCAAGCCGTAAAGAACTTGACTTACGATCATCTAGACCGAGAAACCTCAGAACATAGGCCCTGGCATAGAGTCTCATGGCTACAAAAATGGTAGCTGCGCCAGTGAATGGCAGGCAAAATGCATTGAGCTGCCATGAGATATTGGGTGGATTGACAAAATTCGCAGTAACTCCGGGGGGTGGAGGGAAAGCTGGAAGGTCGGACATATTAACTGGAGCCAAGCCAGCTAGAGAAATCAACTCTAATCAGATAAAGCCGAAATGATGAGTTGAACATCAATCAAGGTGGATGGAAGGCGGGAGACAGAGGCTCAGCTCGAACACACACTTTTGCTGAAGAGCAGCGATATAGATCGCCTCATCATAGCATGTCTAATTCAGATCATGCCGCCAGTGCCAGCGACAGAGGTGTGAACTGTACTTGTAGCTCAAAAGAAAGTTGATCATCATTTTGCTTTTCCTTGGCAAAGACTCCCGGACGGTGAGGAGGAGGTCATCAATTCGATATTGAATCCTGCTGAACCCGGCTGTTGGTAGTTCGACATATGCAGGCAGTGCAGGATTTCATAAATTCCGAGAAAAGAAAGCAATACAGGCCTAGAATGTGAGATGTTTCCTCGATTATACTTCTCAAGCCAGCAAGATATGAAACCATCTGAGGGGTAGATAATCGTCTTTCAGCTTTTGGGCAAAGGAGAATGACTAGTAGCTTCTAAGTACACTTGCTTTATGCAGATCAGCAAGCAGGTTCGATAACTGGACGCGGTCCAGATCATGCAGGCAGGGCACCTTCAGATACGCATGATTCCCAGAGTGGGGTGGCCAGGTACAGATACCCGTGGTGTGAATATGTTCCTTGGTAGGGACAAGCGGTTGAGGACTTCCTCCAATGGAAACCCAGAGCCATCACTCAGGTTGAGGTGTGCCAAAGACCACTGGGCAGGGACGAGGGGCGTTTGAATGCTGGCACGGATCCAAAGCTGCAATGTTCCAGGACATGGGTCGGGGATTGTGGCCGCCCAAGCCGTCGTGTGGTGCTAGAAAAATATCGCCAGACGATACTGTAGGACGAAAAAGCAAAGGTGTCTAGGGCTAGCAAACAAAACGTGCTCGTAGAAAAGGTGGAAGGGCTGGTGGATCGTGAGTGGTCGTTGGAGAAGGTTTGGCGGAGGCGTCGCCTGAAACGGGGAGCAACGGGAAGCTAATCCAGGCATGGGCAGGCGCCGAAAGGCCAACTTCACTTCAACTCCAGGAAGACCGTTCCAATTCTTTCATCGGCATCAAATGATATCGTCAGAATATGACACGATTTATCTTTCAGATGCTATTGCTCGGCAAGTCGTGACAGCTTTGAGGATGGAGCAGGGGATTCCGCACCCGGACTGAACTCCTGCTTCCTCTTAAAGACCTGGCCTGGCTCCGCGACGTATCTCACCACTCCCTCGGATCACATAACGAATACGTGCGATCGGGGTGTTGACAAGGTAATGGAGCTCTGGTTCGGACTGGTCACCGGAAATCGGTGGGAAAGGCTCGCGATTTGAGGCACAGCAAAGTTGCTTCGACTCATCCTGGCAACTTAGCAGCAACAACCCAGACTCCCAAGATCAGTCCCATCATTGCGGATAAGGTCACCATTTTAGTAAAATGGGACGTCCGCATTTGTTTTTCGTCGTCAAAATAAAGTTGAATATCTTCCAGAGTCAAGCTAGTGAAACGCGGCTTTCATGCGTTTTCGGCTGATCGGATGAGAGCTACCCATACCTTGCTATCGGGAGGATTTGATTGTATTCGGATTGGGATGCAGTTGCGGGGTACTATCATCTGCCAAAGCAGCCCAGTATACCGCCGCTGGCGGTCATCAGAAAAATGTTTCTGAACACAAGATCCCCTGAACTTTCTTGCCAGACCATTCCCAGTTCACTACCCGATCACGAGCGACGAAGTCTGTGCTTCCATAATCTTCCACCCCAGCTCTTGCAGCAAGCGCCCGCATGCTTTTGTTTAGTTATCTTAACCGTTGCATATGACAGAGTCGCGCGGCCGCTTCATACTTGGCAAAATCTTGTCCACTTCCCCGGTATCCAATGGGTTAAATGTGGTTACATTCAGCCCATTTAGGATACAGCCTCGGCGGAAGGGTTGTGGCGACTCGGATGTTGGTGACAAACAAAAATGGCCGAAACGGGTGAGCCGAGTTTGCACCAGATGTTCCCGACTGGCTCTTGAGCGAGTCTGTTGCAAGGATATTTATTCACCGCATTGACTACAGTGCCCACACCCGCACAGATGCAATACTGCCGGCAATTTTGCAAGCTAGGTTGTATACATCCAGCATGGCCTTATTATTATCTAGAGGATGATCCCTCCTACATCTCGTTCTTTCAGGTCCTTCACGCGTCTCTTCGAGTTCTACAGTCGCGGTTGCAGCTTCATTTTGTCCATCTAGGACAAAGTATTGTAAAAGTCAGCAATTGCCATCACATACAGTATCAAACAAAGCTAGTGTCTTGCCACCCTCACCCTCGGACACCTTTGGCTTTTGCTTTGGCCCCACCTCTCAAGATGGCTGAAAAGAACAACAGCAACGAACAGCTCGAAGAGCGCAATGGCAGCAACGAGGAGAAGCAGACAGGAGTCAAGCCAACTGGCGATGCTGCCGAAGTTGAGGCCAACCAAGTCTTGACTGAGTTCACCGAAGAAGAGGCCAGAACGATAATTCGAAAGGTTGACTTCCGCTTGGTTCCGTTACTCTCAATTCTGTATCTGTAAGTGTTACTCGGGTCTTCCCTTACACGGAGTCGCCGTTAACAAATCTCACAGGATTGCCTACGTCGATCGAAGCAACATTGGAAATGCCAAAATCGCTGGCATGTCTGATGACCTGAAATTGACTGGCAATCGTTACAATGTAGCGCTCACCGTCTTCTTCGTTCCCTATGCACTTTTCGAAATTCCCAGCAACATCGTGCTCAAGCTAATCCGCCCATCCATCTGGATCCCCATCCTCGTCTTCTCTTGGGGTACAGTCATGACTCTAATGGGCACCGTATCAACCTACCACGGGCTCGTTGCTGCCCGTTTCTTCCTCGGTGTCGCTGAAGCAGGTTTCTTCCCAGCAGCAACATACCTCCTCACAATCTGGTACCAGCGCTACGAAGTCCAACGTCGTATGTCTGTCTTCTACGCCGCCGCATCTCTCTCGGGCGCCTTCTCCGGCCTCCTTGCCTACGCCATCGAGAAGATGAAAGGCATTGCTGGACTTGGTGGCTGGAAATGGATCTTCATCCTCGAGGGCCTTGTTCCCGTTGTCGTCGCACTCACGCTCTACTTCTTCCTCCCTGATCGACCAGAGACCGCAAAGTTCCTCACCGAAAGAGAGCGTCTGTTCGTCGTCGACCGCATCGCGCTCGGCACTGGCTCAGGCCGTGGCCGCATCACAAACGCAGACAAGGTATCATGGGCCAACACCAAGGTTGCTTTCTCGGACTGGAAGGTCTGGATGGCCATCATCCCATTCTGGGCTTGCAGCATTGGCACCTACGGCTTCACTGCGACAGTCCCTACCGTGCTCAAACAAATGGGCTACACCACTGGCAAGGCACAACTCTTGACCATTCCGATCTATGTGGTCGGCATGACGGCTACCCTCATCGTTGCTTTCTGGTCTGACCAAATCCAGCAGCGCACCCCCTTCATCATGGGTGGTTTCGCAATTGCAGTCGCAGGCTTCATCGGCGAGCTCGCAGTCCCTCATCCCCACCTCCCCGGCGTGACATATTTCTTCCTCTTCCTAGTTGCCGCAGGACTGTACTGCCCCTTCACTGCCGTCGTCACGTTGGTCGGGAACAACCTCGCGCCATCATCCAAACGTGCTGTCGGCATGGCTCTTCTCATCTCCATTGGCAACCTTGGTGGTATCTGTGGTAGCAACATCTACTTTGCGGCTGAGGCGCCTAAGTACCACACTGGTTTTGGGGTGAGTTTGGCCATTTGTGCGGCTGGCATTCTGGCGGCGTGGATTTTGAGGAAGGCATATCAGAAGGAGAATCGATTGCGGGATGAGCTGTTGGAGAGGGAGGGCGAGGAAGCCATCCGTGCGAAGTATACGGAACAAGAGCTGTTGGATCTGGGTGATTTGAGCCCGTTCTATCGTTATACCATCTAAATGATTAGCGGGAAGATTTCATTGGAAGCAAGATGTTGTTGAAGACGAATAGGGCGACGATGTTTGGAGGAGTTTGTCGTGTTTGGGTGCTTTGTTGGATGATAGGATGATATTTAATTGCAATTGAAGCTTTAATTTCTATCCTCATTGTATCACGTTCTCGTGTCTTCTTTGCCTGCTCGCATTCAACGATAATTGCAGGCATAGCGCAGCTCGGAGCCTCCGCTACCTGATACTCCAACGGGGTTTGTGGTGTGAGAGTAGGAGGATGGCACAGGACTTTCGTGGTCCGTAATTGGAATAGATCAAGTATTGTAAGGCGATGTACAGAATCTCACGACCTGGAATTGGGAACCAAATTTCGACATGGCCCGGCACTGCCTCCGCTCAAGTCCGTGACATTTTCGCCATACAATAGTTCTTCGCTACAATATCTTCTTTCGATTGCATTATCTCTTTAACTTTATTAACTTGTAAAGAATCTAAAGACTAGTGTTGCGAATAGGTTAGGATTTGTATCTTTAACTTAGATTATACTTACACAGGTTACCTACCCACGGGCTTATTTAGGTTAGCTTTGGTATAGGTCATAGGTTTAATCTAAATAGCCTCTCGTTTTTTAAAGGTTTGCCTCTCTACATACTTTATTTAAGTTCGGGGGTGTAGATAACATATGTTCAACCTGCTGCGCAACACTGCTAACCGTAATAACTTGCGAAAACGAGCGACTCATCGCTTCAAATGGAAGTAAACACGATTTGTAGCGGCGGATTGTTACCAGGGATTTCAGGGGGCAGTCGCTTAATATCAACACCTGCCAGGGGACATTGTTCCCGAGGTACTACTTCTAGGCGAGGCCTATGCCGCGATAAATGGCTATATTCACGGCTAACTCGGGAGTAACCCACGAGCGGCCCGTGACGCTGGTTCTCGATGTAGCGCGTTTACTCTCTGTTCAAGAACTACCTCCTAGAACCGGTAAAGCGTCGTCGTGTCACTCTTATAAAGATGTTGGAAAGTGCCATTGGAGTTTGGCTCGTTCCCAGGCCAGGTATTTACTTATATTATTACTTGCGTCTTTGGTTAACTAGACTCAGTTCTCACTTCTTTTTTACCACGTCCCGGTTCTGGATTCCCTAACATTATCCCCTGGCTGCAGTTTTAGGCGATATAATTTTGCTTGATTTGCGTCAGAGACTTCGAGATATATATTTGTGTAATACTTATAGGCGTACTAGCCTCTCTAGCTTCTCCCCTGTCCGGAGAGCCAAAGACCAAAACCTATCACTATGATTAGAGATACTACTAAGGGTTTGTTGGTAGAGAAATGCTCCCCACTGGGAAGTAATAAACGGCATAAAAAGATAGTTCTGCGCAGTGTTGCAGACCACTTCACTTTGAACGGGAAAATGGAGAAAGGGTAGTCCGAACTAAAGCTGAACGAGAACGAGAAAAAAAAGGTCAAGCAGAACCTATTCTGCCTAGCACAAGAAGAGCGCCTGGACCGAGACGGATAGAGCCTATTCGGCAAGAAGACTTCTATAACTTGAGAGACCGGATAACAGATTCGAGAACACCCAGGGTGGGAACAGACAGGGACAGGCGGGCCACTAGGCGGGAAGCGGACAGAGATAGAAGAGCACCCGACGGGCGGGAAGGAGAGAGGAAGGCATTGTTTTAATATTTCCTGGCTTGTGGGTCGAGTTTTTGCTCGGAATCATCTGCCGGTTATTTACATTAAGTTGCGATAAAGAGCTTCGGAGATATTTGGAACATATGTTTTGAAATATGGAGTACTATAACTCTCAACAACCCTGAAATTCAACGTTCAACTAACATAGAAACTGGTCAACGCTTACAGGACAATGCTGGACGACGATATGGAGAAGCAGTTCGATGTTCCTCCTTCACTTTCTCCTCATCCTCGTCGTCCTCATTAACCTCCGTAATTTGATCCTCGTTTTGCTCTTCAAAAGTAAAATAATTTTACCATAATAATACATCACCTCTTTAGCTATATTCATGGATGTCAATGCTGTATAGTAGCATGCAGAAGGCATGGATCCTGCGAGTTCAGGGTCTTTACACTTGTCTTGACGGAAAAGGGGCTTCTCGCTTAGCGAGCTCCAATTCCCGGTTTCTGATGGCGAGTAGGGGTCGTCCACGAACCATCTAATTCATTAAGTTATGAAACAACCAAAACTTGAAAAAAAGGAGTCTTTGAAGAAGAAAAGGCATATGTTCAAGCTCTAACTAAAACTATAGGAAGAGAGGAGAGAACTTATAGATCGAGAAGACAAAAGTATCGGGAACGGATCTTACTTGCAATTGAAGGCGAAGAGGCATCAAGTACTTGGCCACTTTATATGTTCAAGTTTATCTGTAATTCACTCCTCGCTTTCAGTTTCCTCCTTAAGACGATGTCTCACCAAAGCCAGGCCGCCAAAAATCCCTCCAACTGTCTAAACCATTGATTCCTTTCTTCCCTTTCAGCATCTCTCCCTCAACTCTAACGCGCGTCCCCAGAAACTCTTTCCTCACTGCCTGCTACTGAAACGCAGACCTTCGTGAAAGGTTCTTACTTCCGCGGATCCTAAGGACAATGCCTCACCCAATTCAACCCAGGCAACCTCTTCCACTCCATCTCGTTTCCCTCCCAATTAATCTTCTCCTCGATCTCTTTCAACCTCTCCACAATCTCCTCTAGCATCTTCCACTCTTCTCCTCCTTTCTCAACCTGCTTCTCCACATCTAACCCAACCGACCAGAGGGTCCAGAGGAAGGTCTTGACATTGTTGATCGAGAGGTGCAAAAGGTAGAGCTTGTGGATCATGGTGGCGGCTTCCGCTGGGGGCAGTCTGTGGGTTGATTTGGGATTAACGGTCGTATGGAGGATGGAGAAGCATTGCTGTTCGAGGCGGCTGGGGGTTTGGCCTTCAGGGAGGGCCCGCATTTGGAGGGTGAATGAAGCCATGGGTTTGTTGATACGGGATTGGCAAGGATATTGGAATTAAATCAATTGATGTGAAGGGTGAATGCGAAGCAGTTTGTTCGGGTTTTGATTTGGGAAGCTGCTGTGAGGTTCGAAGTGCAAAGAGTGCTCAGGCCGTACCTACCATTTATGTCATCACAAACACCACTGCCCCAGTCGGAACCACAATTTTTGAGGTTAGTAGGGCCTCGAATTTTACTGTTAAGAGATAAGATCCTATGAGCTCAGAAAATAAAAACCGGTTTCGGAAATTCGAGGAGGTATTGAACGGTGAGTGAGTCATTGGCGTCCCGGTCCACTTTCGCTAGCAATATACATCCAGAATAGACGATTATGTAGCGGATCTGCTAGTGGTTATATAAATATCGACTAACGCAGCAATCTCATGAGATCAGAAAAAGTGTGAGAATCGTGTTAAGTTTTTACAACGTTCTTCAGGTTTGGCTTGTTCCGGACATAATTCGGCGAGTACTGAAGTACTTTTTCAAGGGTGTCTCGCTTGGACAATGGCACTCAAAATAAGCATCACCATTGTCGCTAAGGAATAGGGGTTGCATCCCCTAAGCCTCGTTCCATCCAGCCATCAGTGGTTTTAATGGGTCTCGTGGAGAAAAGAGACCTAATGCGTATAGGTCTACGAATCCTCGATTAAAAATGGGACTCGTAGAGTCGTAGATCAAGAGAAACGGGGTTGTCGACAGCTGGTCATACGGAGACCAAATGAGGGTGTCTTTCAAAGCTGCACCTCTGCACTGTTCTCGCGCTGTTGCCGCCAATTCCGTAAAGGGATTTGGGAAATGATAGCATGGAGATAGAGTCCGAATATACAGTTGCACTTCCACAAATCAGTTGGATTATTTTCTTCTCTTTAGATGTACTTGTAGGGGTTCATGATGCCGTTCGGATCATAGAGCTTCTTGATCTGCTTCATCAGCGCGATCATGGTATCACTCCGACTGTGTCCAATGTAGGCTTTCTTCGCCAGGCCCAACCCGTGCTCAGCACTAATGCTCCCGCTCCGCTTGGAGATCCATTCGTAGACAAATGGTTCCAACTCTTTTTCGACGTTCTTATCGTAACGTCTCGTTGCCACATTCAAGTGCAAATTAGAGTCGCCCATGTGGCCATAGCCTACGACGTCAACAACGGGATGTTCGTCCGTGTCTCCAATGAGACCAGCCTTGGTGATCTTCTCTCGTGTCTCTTCAACGAGAGAGTATAGTTCACTGATCGGTATTGACAAATCGTATTTGTATACACCTCCCCAGTGTCCAAGACTTTCTGGAATACCCTCTCGCCACCCCCAGAGGTTTCTCACTTGCGTCTCATTTTCAGCAACAACTCCATCCGAGACAATCTCCTTCTCCATGACATCCTCGAGAAAGCTTTGCAGCTTCTCATTGTCATGCTCAGAATTGGAGCCACTGGTCTCAATCAAACAATAAAACGGGTGCGCACTTTCTAGAGGTCGCTTGTTCTTGGTGACTTGTTGAACTAGGTTCTGACTTTGATTATCCATGAGCTCAAAGGCCGAGAGAATCTCAGATAATTGGCCCTTGGCTGCCTTGAAGGCTTCCTGAACCTTCTCGTATGATTCGAGACCGAGGAATGCCACGTTGATGGCTTTCGATCGTTGTGGGCAGAGGATTGATACTCCAGTAATGATTCCAATGGTTCCTTCGGCGCCGATAAACAATTGTTTGAGGTCGTAACCGGTATTGTTCTTCCTTAATTTTGAGAGATCGTCCACAATTGTGCCATCTGGTAACACGGCCTCGATACCCAGCACGCTTCCGTGCAAACTTCCGTAACGTAGCAACCTCAGACCTCCAGCATTTGTTGCAACATTGCCTCCAATCTGGCAAGAACCCTTGGCACCAAGATCCAGAGGGAAAATATTGCCCCTCTCCGCAAGATACCCATCCACAACCTCCAAGATAGCTCCAGCATCAACGACCAGTGTTCCTGACACCTCATCAAAGGACCGAATTTGGTTTATCCGACTCATATTGATAACAATCTCATCAAACACAGGAACGGAACCGCCAACTAATCCAGTGTTACCGCCCTGCGGCACCACAGCCAGCATATTATCGTTGCAGTACTTTAGGATATTGCTGACTTCTTCCGTCGACCCAGGTTTGAGTACTAATTTTGTGTGGCCACGATATTTCCGCATCCAATCCCCATTAAATGGCTCAATATCATCCGTGGCATCTTTGGTAACTCCATCAATGACGGCAGCTTCTTTCCCTAGCAATTCCTTGAAAAATTTGACATGATCTTCTGTGATTTCTGCAAACTTCGAATCTCGTTTGATTTCTGGGTATGTTTCGGAGGTAAATTTGATCGTTTTCGATGTGCCGGTGGTGCCCTTGGCTACTCCTTCAGTGTCTTCTGAGCTCGCAGTACTTTGCCATCGAATCTGGGAAAGTGGTCGTAACGGTCTTGCCGAAGGAGCTGTATAAATTCGAGCTCTGCACAAGGCAAGAGCAGGTCTTGATCGACTCGCCATCTTCAGATGTCGATCGCTGAGTTCCAATGGCCCAGGAAAGAAATTTATGCCATTTAAAGAAGCCGCATTCGGGACAAAATCGGCTATTCAGCCTTGCGTGTTTCGGCCTTGGATGCCAGGCCGCAATTTCATGAGCTCGCGACCGAATTCGTACGCGGTGCAGCCTGCCTCAGAAAACAGACCAAGCTCAGGAACCCACAACCATTCAGCTTCACGACCGCCTCATCATTTCTTGACGAATTCCACGAAGCTACAACTTGATACCTCGATTCAAATCATCATAAGCCATGGCTTCTGGATATGACAGAGCTCTTTCAGGTAAGCTAGGATCCTTGCTACAGCTATGTTTGCTGCGAACTAACAACATACAGTCTTCAGGTTCGTAACCAGCACACTCAAAGCTTCTAACTAATTATAACATCACTTCTAGTCCTGATGGACATGTCTTCCAAGTCGAATACGCGCTCGAGGCGGTGAAGCGAGGTATGGAATGGACGCAGTTGGTACATATGTTGAAGCTAAGGCCGTTACAGGAACATGCGCAGTTGGAGTGAAGGGCAAGGACATCGTGGTACTGGGATGTGAAAAGCGTTCAGCAATGAAGCTTCAAGATACCCGCATCACACCGTCCAAGATTGGTCTTGTCGATACCCACGTTTGCCTCGCCTTCGCGGGACTCAACGCAGACGCCAGAATCTTAGTCGACAAGGCCAGAGTGGAGGCACAATCTCACCGTCTGACCGTGGAGGATCCGGTTACGATTGAGTACATTACGAAATTCGTTGCTGGTGTTCAACAAAGATATACGCAGAGTGGTGGTGTTAGACCGTTTGGTATCAGCACGTTGATTGTTGGATTTGACCCTAATGACAAGACCCCAAGACTTTATCAAACCGAGCCGTCAGGAATCTACTCAGCATGGTATGTGGAGCAAACGAGAAATTTGGGAGCTGGTTCTGATAAATTTATAGGAAGGCAAATGCTATCGGTAGATCAAGCAAGACGGTCCGCGAGTTCCTGGAGCGAAACCACAAGGATGATATGGACAGGGAGACTACCATCAAGTTGACCATCAAGTCGTTATTGGAGGTTGTGCAGACTGGAGCAAAGAACATTGAGATCGCCATTATGGCCCCTGGAAAGCTGATTGAGATGCTGCCAGTAGAGGATATCGAAGCATTTGTCAAGAACATTGAGCAAGAGAAGTCGGAGGAGGATGCTAAAAAGAAGAAGGGCCGGACGCCAGGGACTGGCAATGCGGCTATCTTGACGAGAGGGGAGGAGGGTAGCAAATAAGGAGACGCTTTGATGATTCTGATCTCAAATAGACCAATGTACAATAGCCTTGAGCGACGAAAAAGAAGCTTTGCCCAGACGTTTTGCTTTCTATTCCGAATTCAAGTTATCCCGTGCTTCCCCAGCCGGTATGGATCCTGCGCAGACGTCGTGGCAACCGCTCCAAAACGTCCCCCCGTGCCCCATAAATCACTAACTCCATCCCCTCCATGCCGCTAAATCAAACCCGTACATCACCACTTCCCTAGAATCACCCAATGGTCTCAGCCCAACTTATTCGGAGCCTCCTTCACATCAAATATTGTCCTCTGCTCCTCCCCTCGAATCCGATCATCCTTCAACATCCTACTGTCGACTCGCGCATCCTCTCCCTCGACCTTCAGCATCGGCTTCGGTGTTATAGCCTCTAGGACAAAGTGGTTGTCGCAGTGTGGGCAGTACTCGTCACTCTCCTCGAACTCTTCGGCGTCTTTTCGGAATGCCTTCTTGCACTTTTTGCAGGCAAATGTCTGAATATTGTTAGGAATGAGGGGTGAAGAGTCAGCCAAGGAGGGGTACCATTTCTGTCTTTTGGAGGAGAGGATGACTTTCTTGTTCTGCGTGGCATTCGGCGCAGTCAAACCATTTTCGACCTGAAATTCGGTAAGAAAAGCAATTCTATTGGAGAGGGAGCAGAAGGACGTACAGCACGGTGATCTGATAGAGACCTGCGCGTTGAGGATGTGCTTGCTTGAAGGGGAATTTAGCTCTGCTCCCAGAATTGAAGGTGAAAACTTACCACATGGTGACTTGTAAGAGCAGCTCAAGCTTTGACACGAGAACGTACTGAATCGAAGTCACAGAAGAGCAACTAATTTCTTGGTTGGCCTCTTGCAAAAAGTTCACGAGTCTACGCGCCTCGACGCGGCTTAGCTTCTGGACTAGCGCGGATGACTCAATACATCAGCCGTATTAATCGCGCCTTCAAATTCCCGTTCATCACCTCTCAACATCGTCGCATTGACTGCTGGCAGAGCTTCACGATGCCGGTAAAGAGGAAAGCTTCATCAAGTATGGGGCTTCATTTGCTACGAACTGTTTCCTTGACCTCACTAACACTTTCTTAGCTGTGAAGGGAGCGGAAAAGACCAGGAAAGATTCCGTTGCCTCAACTCCAGGACCCGCCACTCCTCGAAGCATCGGCAGCAGCGATGAGTACGAATCCTCCGATGTGACCGAGTCTGACGATGAGGCGGCTAAGCGGGTCAAGACGGCCCTCGATATCAAGGAGTATAAGTCGAAGAAAGTCACCTCTGCTGTGAAAAGCCGAGACTCTGCAAGCCATCATTTCGGAGAGCATGACTTCTCGTACCTCTCACTCAAGCCGGATCATGACAATAGACCCTTATGGATCGATCCACAGAAAGGGCGAATCATCCTCGAGAGCTTCTCGCCGCTGGCAACACATGCCCAGGACTTCTTGACGACTGTTGCGGAACCTGCGTCACGACCTGCATTCCTGCATGAGTATAAACTGACCCCCCACAGTCTTTACGCAGCTGTCTCGGTTGGGTTGGACCCGAAAGATATTATAAATGTCCTCGATCGATTATCCAAAATCCCCGTGCCAGAAAACATTCGAAACTTTATAACAAGCTGTACTCAGAGCTATGGAAAGGTCAAACTGGTGTTGAAAAATACCAAACATTATCTAGAAAGCTCCGATCCGGAGATGTTGCAACGGCTGCTCAAGGATGAGGTTATCGGCCCACTTAGAGTTCAAGGGGCGGAGGATATCACCACAACCTCAGCGCCAAAGATGGGCGCTTTGGTGATCCCTGGTACCAAGAATGCTGCTGGTGTTCAACAAGCTGCTGCAGACCAGCGGAAACAACCTCAAGAAGGTGAGAACGCTAATCAAGAGGACATCTTTGCCACTCTCAATGAAGAGGACGACGACGACGACGACGCCGATGCCGTGCACGCTTTCGAGATTGTTGACGAGGGGGTCGAACATATTCAGAAGCGATGTTTGGAACTGGGGCTCCCTGTGCTGGAAGAATATGATTTCCGAAATGATGACGCCAACGCCAATCTCGATATTGACCTGAAGCCAACTGCTCAGATCCGACATTATCAAGAGAAGAGCTTGAGCAAGATGTTCGGTAACGGCAGAGCAAAAAGTGGATTAATTGTCTTGCCCTGTGGAGCTGGCAAAACTCTGGTTGGTATCACAGCAGCGTGCACGATCAAGAAGGGTGTGATAATCCTTTGCACAAGCTCCATGTCCGTGGTGCAGTGGCGGCAGGAATTCCTGAAATGGTCGAACATCAATCCAAACGATATTGCAGTCTTCACCTCAGATAACAAGGAGAAGTTTACTGGAAATACCGGTATCATTGTTACAACTTACAACATGGTCGCCCAAAAGGGCAAACGATCCTATGATTCTCAAAAGATGATGGATTTCTTGCAGGGCAGAGAATGGGGTCTCATGATCCTGGACGAAGTCCACGTTGCTCCAGCTCACATGTTCAGACGAGTCGTCTCTGTCATCAAGACACATTCGAAGTTGGGACTGACGGCAACACTTCTTCGAGAAGACGACAAGATCAGCGATCTGAACTTTTTGATTGGGCCCAAGCTTTACGAGGCAAATTGGATGGAACTTGCTGAGCAAGGTCATATTGCTCGTGTTCAGTGTGCAGAAGTTTGGTGTCCAATGACGACTGAATTCTACCAGGAATACCTCCATCAGACCAGCAAGAAGCAAGCTCTTCTCTGGATCATGAATCCTAGGAAGTTCCAGGCATGTCAATTCCTCATTGACTACCACGAGAAACGAGGGGATAAAATCATCGTATTCTCAGACAACGTCTATGCCCTCCAGGTCTATGCCCAGAAGTTGAAAAAGGTCTTCATCTTTGGAGAGACGAGCAACTCCGAACGTCTCCGTATTCTCGAAAACTTCCAGCACAACGAGAATATCAACACACTCTTCCTCTCCAAGATTGGCGATACATCTCTCGATCTACCCGAAGCAACCTGCCTCATCCAGATCTCTTCGCATTTCGGATCTCGTCGTCAGGAAGCGCAGAGACTGGGGCGTATTCTCCGGGCCAAGCGGAGAAATGATGAAGGTTTCAATGCCTTCTTCTACTCCCTTGTCTCCAAGGACACCCAAGAGATGGTCTACTCTTCCAAACGACAAGCTTTCTTGGTCGATCAAGGCTACGCCTTCAAAGTCATTACCCACCTCCAAGGAATCGAGCACCTCCCTGACCTCTCCTTCACTACTCCCGCCGAACGTCGCGAGCTCCTCCAGAATGTCATGATCCACAATGCATCAGAAGATGCCTCGAAGGATTACGAGGACGTCGATGACCTGTTCCATCGCATTGATGGCGGGAGGAAGAAGAAGAAGAAGGGTGCCAGGAGAACGGCAGGAACTCTGAGCGAGTTGGCAGGTGGTCAGGACATGGCGTATGTGGAGCAAAACAAGAGCCGTAACAAGGAGTTGAAGAAAAAGAAGGAGAGCAATCCTTTCTTTAAGAAAGTGCAGAGAGAGCAGCAGAAGAGGAGACTGGCTCGAGATGATGAGTAGGTTGACATATTGGCGTTTATGGTGACAAAATATGCATGGCAGCATGGAGGATAAATGGTGTTTGGGATGAGATTTAGAGGCTTGGCCATTACTAAATTGAACGAACGAACTATTAATGAACACCTTCTACTTCATTACAGTCTTCTCATGTCCCCCTACGCCATTTCATGCAAAGCTGGCTACATGCGTTCTTAAAGCTTAATATACCAGGTATTCGAGTACAATCCAGACTCTGTGGGAATACTTGCTGAGGGTAACATAGTCTCTATTCCTTGAGTCTCTACCACTCGGTTCACTGTTCTAGAACTTCTAGATACATTCAGATAAATAGCATGTGGAATGTCCCACGATTATTAAGTACATTCACCAAGTGAGTTCTCCTATTGTTCCATGAGTTCCAAAACCAGATCAAGCCTGATGCGCTCCCCTCTCTGCAACTCCTGCATATCCACATCTGGTATCGCAGCCGTTCTGAACTCGCCGAGATGAAATTTTCGCTTGCTCCATCACCTTTCCATACATCCCCGCTCACTCCTCCCCATTGTCCCATGCAACACCTGTCTATTCTACCTATTTTGCATCCTAGCTTTGCCAATATCTGAAACTCCCAGAAGATCTCGTCTGCGTATCTAAACTTTCCATTTAAATCTCCTTCGATTCCTAATTCATCCCTCTCCTTCTTCGCTTTTGTCCTTCTGCATTCAGGGCACTCGAACGCAGGGTAGTGCTCAATCATCTCATGCGGTGCTGCCACGCATTTGTTGAGGGCGGGTGAAAAGAAGATGCATCTTTCCAACTCAATGTAGTTCATATGTCTGCATTCGTAGAGTGTGAGGTGGTCTTGGCACATGTTGAATGTGGATTCAGACAAGACGGTTGGAGGGAAAGTGTGGTTTGGCGTTAAGAAGAGATGAAAAGGAGAGATCTAGAGATGGGACAAATTATGAGTCGAGTGTTGGTTTCCTGTTCAAAATAAGACGAGTGGATGGCGAAAGAGAACTATTGTCCAGATGATTCGTGCGACGGAGTTGGAATGGGGTGCTCTGAAATTTGCATCGTTTGGATCAATTAAAATGCTAAATATACTCAAAGATGCGAGCAAAGGCCAGAAGAAGTTTGCTGTGTGTGTTCTCTCTTCCAGAAGCGGAGAAAATCGCAGGGCTGATAAACGGAGATTGTATTCCATCTGGCTTGCTGATTCTATGGCGTTCTGAAAGGAGGTCTTTCTCCAATAGAGTCTGATCTACGGCCGCCTCTGTATTTTGCGGATGCTTCAATGACCTCCCAGGCGAAGAGCTCATAGAGAACCACTCAGTCTCTTGATGAAAACAATGTCCTACACTCAACATTCTTGTCACATTATTAAAGGCGGATGTCAGCGAGAAGTCTGCACAATGTTCGCACCCCACAGCGGAGCTGGGAAAGCTTCAATGGATTGGTAGGTTGTATAATAGGAGGAAATCAATTTATGATTCATTAATACTGACGAAAGCCTTGCATTTCGTCTGGCACATGCCCCATGGTCTTTTAGTTGTAAAGCAAGCTACTGCTTCGATTTAGATCTCCCCAGTGTCTTTAAAAAGGGACTCGCTTGGTAAGCTTCAACGATTTTCGTGATTTCCGTCGGGTTATGGATTCGAAGTCCCTTTTCGGATCTTGCAAGCGCAAGATCTAGATGCGGATATTTGGGGGGCTCGACTTGGAAGCCAGCGTATGCCAAGCAAAGTTTAAAAGCATTGAATGTTACTAGAAGGCAAATGAAGAAAGTAATAACGAAACACAAAAACTGCTGCCATTTTGAGTTGAGTGCAAGCATTTTCACGTTACCATATCCCACCCAATACGCCCCCTATCAATCATTTCCATCCAATCCGACGCCCAGTCCCAAATTCCATGACATACAAAATTGCTCAATTCCAGAACCAGCCATTCTTCGATGCCTTCTTGGCCTTGGCTTCTCCCTCTGCTTTCGCCATTTCGGATAGGGCTTTCGACTCTTCAGTCATCGATACTAAGGGCCTCAGATTGCCGTCTTCATCCCGTTCTTGTTCCTCGGTATGGCTCGATGTTGTAGTTGTTTCACGCCCATCTGCGAACATTTTCCACACATGGACATAAGTCCGTACTGATCCATCAACTTGCTTTACGCGTTGAGTGGTCGTACTCTGCGAGATGACTTTGTCTGGGTCCTCGCCCAGTGTCTCGCACCCAGCTTTCTGTTGTGCCTGTTTCTGCTTCCTAAAATCATCTGCTGGATCATTGAATTCTTCGAACAGTTCTTGAACACTCTTTGATTCCAACATCTTGTCAAAGACGCGGAAGATATCAGGAAATTTGCCCGAATCGAGGTCTTTCGCGAACGTAGCTTTCGCTTCGGCAACCACGGCTTCGAATTTTTCGGTTGGTTGCGAGGCCCACCTCAGAAAACGTTCATACATCTCTTGCTCGGTCTGAGCGTCTGTAGCGACAGGGAAAGGAATAGAGTGTAGTTGAGGTGGAGGCAAAACTTCACTTTCCTGGAGAAGATGGGACCGATGGAAATGATAGATCTGATTGTAGTAGCAATTCGCTCTCGTAGCAGGGTCGAACCGAAGCAACTCGGAATCGGGTTCATGTACACCATCAGAATCAGGATAGTGTATACTAAGGCCGTTACCAAAGACTTTTGAGAGTATGAGAGGCTTTGGTCGAGGCTGAGTTATCCGAATCAAGTCTTCGAACGCATCAACATAAGGAAACATATCTCGTTCCTGATAGTGGGGAGAGTTCGCGCTTTCAATCAAGCGAAAGGGGGAGTACGGTGAGAACATCAAGTAAGGTAACAACGAATAATTCGACCGTAACATTGTCGAAGCGTTGAGATCGTTGCGTATCATGTATTGGGCCGTTTTCAAAGGATTCGAGGATCGCTCATATGGCTTCAGCAGCCAAGGGTTTGCTGGCCACCAAAAATGACAAACACCATCTTGTTTCTTCCAATCTGAGCTGTCGCCATCAACTGGTTGATGCAGGTGGGCGAAGAGTGACTTCGTGATTGGAGAGTATAGCGGAACGTCTCGCATTCCATCATTATCGTGATCACTTGTCGTGGCCTTCTCAAGCCAGCGTGCGAAAGCTGGCCAGTCTGCCGACGTCCTTGTGGATATGTACTCTTCTGCGTCCGTTCCCTGTCGGCCCAATCTTCTAGCTTCCGATTCCCTCAATTCTTGCTGTCGTGCTTGTAGTTCATCACGCCGCCGAAGATCTTCGTCAAAGATTGCCCATCGACGGTTTTCGGAGGGCTTTCCAGAGAAAGCAGAGGGAAGGCCAAGGATGCCTTGGAGGAGTGAGCTGATCTGTTGGTCTGCGAATTGTCGAAACTTGATGAATGGATTATCGGTTTTCGATTGGGCCTTATTCGAGTCCTTCTCAGGATCAGAAGGTGAAGCCATTTCACTGCTGTATCTGAGCTCTGAGGTTGAAGTTCAAGTTGTTGAACTCGAGGCGTCGATGCGAGGAAGCTCACGACGTTAACAGGAGGGGTGCTTAGTAATAGTCCGCTAGTTCTACATTTGGTTTAGACTGAACGCGGGGAAATTGAGACGAATCCATAGCAGACGCCGCGCTTTTTTGACACTTCACTGTGCATATTGCGGTCGAAAAGATCTCGACCTGCGTAGAACACGCTCTATTATCGTGCAATTGCCTCGACAATCACAAACAATGTGTCGACTTCTCTTTTGAGATCCACAAGATGGCATCCACGGAAGCCCTCAACGACCCAGCGCCAACAGCGCTGCCCATGTTCGATCACCCCACCCTGCCGTCGCCGCAACATGCACAATCTGTCCCAGACTCCCACCGCCGACATTCCCTCCCTCTACACTTCCTCCCTCCCGGTCTCTGGAGTTCCAATACCTCAAGCGCAAGTCTGGTGGAATCTGAAGAGGCAGCTCGCGGTGAACACATCCTAGACGAGGCGACAGTAGCTCATCGAATCTCCGCCTTGCGACAACTCAATGGTGCGACACGCTCGCGACATCGATATGCGAAATCTACCGGAGCTCGAAGCAGCACATTCAGCCAGCCGGTGATTGTGAGGACGTATTCTGGGCCGGCTCGGCCGCGTTCTCGGCAACGGGACGTTATCACTGTGAAGAAAGAAAAGGGGCTCTCGGCAATGACCAATGGAAAGATGGAGCTGAAGTTGCCACCCGTCGAAGCTTTCAGTTTCAAGGGAATCATGGATGAGATAAGACACGGAGTTGCAGAAGATTTGGAAAGGATTGCGGAAATTTGTGCCAGGAGCAAGTACAGTCTCAGCAACCAGTACGAAGTACACATGCCGCCTCATGGACGTGGAGAACCGATTCTGCAGAGAGTAGGACTCGGAGTAAGCTCGCATACCCACGGAGGTGGTCCAACGTTGCAAGCAATTGGCTCAGACGATGAACAAGCAAGGCATGTAGGACGAGGATCAAGAGGCGGGAGACGGACGAAGTCGGTTGCATATGGAACATTGGAGACTATCATGTCATCTTCCAGATCGTCTGATGAAGACAAATCCAAGAAAAAGTCAGCTGCCGTTCTGGCCGAGGAGGTGCGTGGAAGAGCGGCGAGGAAGGAACTTCAGGCCTCAATGTCAGAAAACAATGTGACCAGTGGTGCCGTCGAAGATGGAAACGCCGAGCAGATGCCCCCAAAGCATGTTCGATCCAGATCCGCAACACTCGTATCGATGATTATCGATAATGCCCAAGGCTTCAAGAACGATGGATCCTCGAACTCGATTCCATCAACTTCTTTGATCAGTGAGCCAGCACGACCTCAAACATCCACAGCAATAGACTTGGAAACTATACCAACCTTTGATGAAACAGAACGAGAAAGATCTCCAACACTGTACTCTTTCATGTCACCAAGATTGGGAATGCTTCGTCATGAATCTATGTCCTCTACGCTCAGACCAGAGCCAGAACCGAGACAATCGATCTTTGGAAGTCTCGGTTCCTGGTTGCCATGGGCAAGGTCGGCCCAAGGTGAGAGCAGCTTCCAAGGCAGAACAAGGAGTGCTTCTCATGCGGAAGGAAGCTTGAGAGAACTTTTGAAATCGACAGACTTCGACCGAAAGGGAAAGGGGGTTGATCGCAGTGGCTGAATCTCCTTGGAGTCCGAGACATGAACGGATTTCGTGGGTCGGAACACCACTGATGTTCCTTTGGCAAGAAGTTCAATGAACTATCCACTCCCGCTGTGGACAAAAATAGCGTCACCGATTCTCTTTCTCCTCAGTCGAAGTTGGACATTTATCTGGACTTTGGTGAAATAGGACTTGAGTGTTCTGGATTTTCCGAGATTTTCGAAATGTTGTTAAATGTACCAGAGCTGAGGGGCACATTCCGTGAGAGAATACCTGAAATGATCCCACTCGACTTGGGACAATTAGTTCTGCTTTTCCCGTTCACCGCGAGCCACTATACGAGGCTATGAGTCGCTTAACGAATTTTCGACCCTGACGAGTGACTTGCTTCGAGGAAGGCCCAACTCGGCTATAAAGGTCAGCCGCTCCAGCTATCAATCTCACACCTCCTACAGCGGGTACACCAATCCAAACGTACTGTTTGCACCGCTCCCCTTCCTCAAATCCATTGCTTGCCATTGTTCCCCCTTCTTCACATACATTGCTAATTGTCTCCGTTCTAGACAGTCAACATGTCTTCTCAAGAAGCCGACGCGGTCCACGGCCCTGCTCAAAGTTTGGCTTCTCTGACTGCCAACTTACTCAGGCCTGGTCGCTATTCGGATCTCAACATTAACTATCGAGGAAAGGTCTTCAAGGCTCATCGCAATGCCGTCGCATTTCAGTCAAAGCCTCTCGCTGCCGAAATTGATGACAATTTTAAGGTAAGCAGCGGCTCTTTGGCTGCCGTGGTTCCCTACTGCTTTCATAGTAGAATGATAGCTAACATATTTCCAGGAAGCAAAGATCAGAAGTGATGATCTAGAAGACCATGATCCGAACATCATTGAAAAGTTTATCGATTTCCTCTACACCGAGCAATACGACGATGGTGGATCGAAAGCTGCGAAGACATCTGCACCTGAGGCTTCTAACGCTCTGCATACCAACACCGCTCTGTATATCGTTGGCGACAAATTCGATGTTACCGCATTGAAGACTTTGGCGAAAGAAGAATATGAGAAAACTTTATCTGCTTCGTGGAACTGCATCTTGTTCACCTCGAACTTGAAGCTTGTCTATGCGGGTACTGCCAAGAACGACCGACTGCTCATGGGGGTTGCAACCAATGCAGCTGCGAACCATGTGGAGGAACTGGTGAAGAACTCTGAGTTCGCTGAGTTGTGCCAATGCGACGGGGATATTGGGTTTGCCGTCCTCAAATCCTGTCACTCACCGACTCTCCAGGCCCTGGTAAAAAAGTGTGAGTCTTGCCAGCAATACTACGGAAAGAAGTTGCACCATCAACCGTATTATACGTGCTCTTCTTGTGGCTACACTTACTAGTAGCTAGACGGCAGATTAGTTACGGGAATTGTTTCAGGGACACTGACGAATGTAGCCTTGTAGTTCACAATATGAAAACCTTTCCCTAAATCCTTTCTCGCCTGCTGAATGTCCGTTTCGCAGCTCGTTTATGATTTCAGCACGGGAGTAAGTTCTTCTTGAGATGCCTTTTTGCCATTTGGCCCTTCAATTCTAAGCTTTTTTTTTACACCAATCCTGGAAGAGACGGCGTTTCATGACGCTGGAGATGGAAAGTCCCTCAACAACAGGTATGAAGTTTGCAAATTCTGAGCGGCCAGTCTTGGGCTGCGGACTTGAAATTCACAGCAATCCACTAGCAAGAACATTAGGAGGATGCTCAACCCACAATGCTGGAGTTGCATTGCGTCCCATCAATAGCGACTGGAATGACATTGCCGCTTTCACAGTCCATCATGGAGGCAAGTGAACAATCGGCAAAGTCAAGACAAAGAAGTTAATGAGAACGGTGCTTCAAACATGCTCAAATATTTCGTCCAATGGGAAAACAGCTACACAGTACCCACTGGAACACCCGGTCAGGTTTTCGATGACTTTCTAGATATCAGTGGAACGATGATTCGTTCCTGAAAATCAGCCAGAGGCAGTTGCACTCTTGCAAGCTACAGCGGCGGGTTTTGGACATGACCCTCCGAATATGGAATCTTCTGCATCGAGATATCAACAAGGCTAGCCCTGATCGTGATCAGCAGGTCGGAATATTTGAAAACCCAACCCACATGACTATCGCAAGTCATCGAGTCGACGCAAGGAATCCAGTGGTTGCCGTTTTCAAATCAACGAATCCAGATGGCTCTAAGAAATACCCTCTTGAACTTAGCACTCAATTTTTCGTCACCAAGATTCTGTTCAACGCTACTAGAGTAAACAGCAAGACTCCTCGAACAACAGGTATCGGGTTTCTGGCAGGAAAGAGCATGTTCAGTCCAGACCCTCGATTCAACGGCAGTGTCAAGGAGACGAGCCCGTCTCCGAGGAAAGTGTCTTGAGATACAAAGGATTATATTTTGAAGCAGGCCTGGCGGCATCATGCGACTAGTATGTGTGCTACTGGAGCTGATAGTAATCAGTTTGCGGTGCTGGACTCCAATTTTCGTGTCCGCGGGAAGAAGGGGTTGAGGCTGGATAGGAGTGCGTTTCCTAAGCCACCTGGGGCGTTGCCGGTTTTGCCGACGTTCATGCTGAGCTCGAAAGCCGTGGATGCGATTTTTAGAGGGTTGTGATATTTAGTAGATGAAATAATGTGGTTCTGTTCGAGTGGGTTTTGGCTTCTTTTCCTGGTGTGGTTGGGCGCAGCAAACCAAGAACAAAAATAAGGAAGTGTTGATGATGTGACTGCTGCAATGCGATGCACCTGAGTAATGACAAATGACAAATGACAAAGTTGCGCGTTGGCATCAACACGAGTGTGGAAATCTTCGGGGTTCAACCTCTCCCATTCAGGGGCATTTGTTTACATTAGCCTAGACACGTGTTCACTCACGTGCGGACCCTTTGCCAAGTGAGGCAGTGTTATATATCAAAATAAGCGATTTACTTTCACATTAGAGGCCTCTAGTCGCGTTGATAGTTGGATCACTAGGAAGCCCGACAGCCTGGGATAGTAATCACTAACGAGAAGCGGGTGCAAACCCTGCTCCAACTGCGGTGCAAACGAGGTATGCTCTGCCACAAGTAAACCAGCGAAAGCGAGTTTCTTGGTCCAAAAGGATTTCTTTTGCTGTTTACTCTTCTGTTCCCTGCTTTTTATACCTTTTGTCAACTCAGAGCTGTGAGTGCGAATTTATTTTTGCATGTTTTTGAGCAACGAGCCCGCTCGCTTAAAAGGGGGTGACCGCTCCCTGTAAAATTTTGTTCTCGACCACTTGAATTCAAATCATATTTTGACTGTAGAACATAGTGCGCTATAAAATATATAATAAACATTTTTGGTTCGAATTAAGCCAAGTCTGTCAATATCATGAGTCAGCAACAAAAACGCGCTCGGTAGACCAATCTGTGACCTGTTTCCAAACCTTGGTATCAAGATGCACCACACCCCGAAATTCAGACTTCAATCAACGAAACTATTACACACCATACACTTGTATCTCTGCATCATAGGTCCACCAAAGGTACCCGATGCCCATATGCCGTAAACCGCATGACTGTTGTCGTTCCTGCACATCAGTATTCCAGACCCTCCTGTTCCAAATGGATCCGCTGCCGCGGTCTGGCCCTGTTGCAAAGATGCCTTGAATACATCTGTCGCAAAGTCTCCTCTCTCCTTACACAGATCCATAAACTCCTCTCTATCCATCAACGCCTTGGCGTGCGCCGCAGCGGTCTTGATCGCCAGATCGCGGAGGCTGTCGGGCTCGGACATCTCTGGTAACCCGTCGTAGATCAGCTCCAGGGACTCGACGAACTCCTTCGTGTTCCAGGTTGTGGCGAGGATCGATTCGTACTTGGTTTTGGCGAGCACCTTGAGCGGTTGGACGTCGTATTTCTCTGCGACGACGTAGATTGCTGCGAGAGTGACGAGGTTTTGAGGGCTGACTGATGGAATGACAGGAGGAGGAGGGTTGTCAGGGAAAGAAGGCTCGGGCTGGACATTGAAAGGGTTTGTAAAGCCTGTTGGACCGAATGAATTGTGAGACGGAATTGGATAGGATCTTTGGGTCAATTGCACAACAGGCTGGTAGCCAAACGGAAGTGAAGGCGCAGAGGTGTTAATAGGATTGTTGATAGGATTGCTGACGGGATAGACAAGATTGTTCATCTGATTCATACTGATGTAAGGGCCTCCTGGGTATTGGCGTGGAAAAAGTCTGGTTTCCATCAGTGATGGAGGAGGGGCGGAGCTCTGGGGTGCTGGTTCGAGATCGATTGGGTTTTCGCTCGTGCCGATGTTGGCATCAATACTAACGTCGCTTTTGTAAAAATACTCAAGCATGAATCCGACGATCTGGGGATCGTCATCTTCCAGATCAATCTCCCCGGTGCTTGACTCCTTTTTTGAGAATCAGTAAAAATGACTCAAAGATATCTGGGACCCTCACTCTGAAATTCCCATCGATGGCAGCAGCTAGTGGTCTCGACTGGGTGCAGACCACCGCCCTGTGAGCCTTCCATCTCTGACCTTGGCATTTTATCACCAAGTCTGAGTATTTTCCACTCTCAAAAAGCCTGTGGAGCTTGAAGTCAATGCCATCCTCAATCTCAGGGAAGGGGGCTCACGATGAGACGACTTTGAGCAGGTGGTTGTCCTGCTGAGGCGGGCCAGGCGGCAAGGGCGGAGCAGGCTCCAAGGAAGTCGATGATACCGGAGCTCGATACGGACATTGATTATTCATGGCATAGGCCGACATTGATGTCGGAGTCACTTGCGACTTCCTTTTTGATGATTGTATGTCGCGCCTCTTCCAAGGTCGGCGTCCCATGGAGCCTGAGCCTGATGGAGGTGAAGTTTCATAAGGTGAGGCTCATCATGGGTGCTGTTGGTTCGGGAGTGTCCGTCCGATTGGCTGGAGGTTCAGGTGTTGCAAGACTTATCTCAGGCTTTCAGCTCGCCGACTACATAGCGAACGCCTCGCCGAGCAGGGCTTCTAACCTCCCATAATCTAGACAAGTTCTCTGATACTCGTCTCTTTCTCTTTCTTCTCCGAGCCATTTTATATATATCTTCCGAAACCCGCCCACAGCCGGTGATGTCATCCTCAGATCTCAAAGGCTCGTTCTCCTTCGGCTCGGGTGACACACGGCTTCTCGTCTCATCTCCTGAAGGAGAGATCACAGCCGCAGTCTCATCACATGCCATGTCACTTGCGAGCCCTGTATGGAAGAAGTTTATATCTCCGCCATGGCGGCCGTCTCAGATTAGCAAGACGAACAAAACCTCGAGGTCAGAGGAAGACGGGGGCGCCAGACTTAGTTCTGGAACGCAGCTTGACGAACCGCTGGACTTCAGAGAAGACGATGCAGACGCCTTGCTTCTGATCCTTCGGATCGCGCATTTAGATTTTATTTCGGTGAAGAAACGCCTGAGTGTTGAGGAGCTGTACAATCTTGCGATCTTGTGTGACAAGTATGACTGTGTGCATTTGATCAAGCCGTGGGTGGATGAGTGGTTCAGAGACGCGCCGCTTCAGATCGTAGGGGAATCCGCAAAACGTATTTTCATTGCCTGGTCTTTTGGGCGGACTGAAAGGTTTAGAATTGCCGCGTCTCTACTGCTCATGCAGAGTGGTATGGATGAAGCTGGCCAGCTTCTGGACTTGAAAGGACAGGCTATACCAGAAGTAATGCCTCCGGGAATAATAGGTTAGTGTATATCTATCCTGCTGGCTTCAGTGGCTAAGGGATGTGCAGAGGAGATCATGTCCCTTCGTCGGACGGCGATAGAGAATCTTCTTGAGATCCCACGACGCCGAATCAAGAGCTACAAGGACAACAAAACCACCATGTGTCGCTACAGTAGACCTGGATGTGACGCTATCATATATGGTTCTCTAATCCGTGGATTGGATCTCCGCAACCTCCATCCAGATATGAAGCCCGAAGACGTTCGTCTGAGCATCAGAACCCTAGCGGATGTAATCTCCAATCTCGAGATTTATCCATATTATTCAGCGAAAGGCGGTGTTCATGACGACTGCTCTCTCTCGGACTTCGCATCAGCTACCGCATCGGTGCTTTCAAATATCGGCAGTCCCGTTCTTGAATCCCACCTTCGACACATGAAGGAACAGTCAAGGAAACTCCTCGGAGAATTAGATCCTTGAAAAGTCGAGAACCATACCTAGCCCTGCATAGGCGCACGCATTTCCACAACTAAAGCTAGGAACCCAATTCGGGTGGAAAAGGAGAAAGCATCTCTTTCTCCCAAATCGCAGCGAAAGAATAATTTGGCGAAGCAACAGTTACGACTATGCCGAATCTGTGGTCCCCGGAACAAGGTTCATTGTCCAAAGTAACCCTCAAACCTGCGGCGCCGACGTGATTTCTCTCACAGAATTATGCAATGGACAAAGAAAAGAAATTTCCAGATGATAATGGCTCAGAAGCCAAGAGAAGGCTATTCGTTGGATAAAGGAACAGTTTCTCCTCATGGCCTACCATCAAGGTCACCTCTGGAAACTGTAACTCTAGCGGGATTGCTTTGGAGCAATACAAGAGGCATGGAAGAGGAGTTGAAGGATGATATTGCTAAAGTTGCGCTCGAGAATTTGGAGCGTTTGGAGAGATGCGAGGAGTTTAGGATGATTCCATTGGGCGACGGTGTGCATCGTTTGGCAGAAAGGGTGTTTGCGAAAGACTTGCCGGTAGCAGCAAGAGGGTCGAGAAGATGCAGGTTGATGGGATGAGAAGAGAGACTGGTGGTGGGAAAGAAAGAAACGTAAGGGTAAGTTTAATGTCCTTGGTGAGAGTCTTGAGTGCTGACTTCGAAGGGCTTATGGAGAAGGTCTTTCGCTGTAAAGATTGACGTCAAAGAAAGAAAAAAAGTTGGATTCACGCCCTCATGAAGTGATGAAAACGAATATGGAAGAGAGCCTTTGATGGGGCGAAAACATGCAATGGAAGTTTTAGGCCGGTTTGGGAAGGAGACGCTTCAGTGGTGATTTCCACATTATCGACACTCGTCAATTAGAATTTCCGGGTATTCTCAGAGCTTCAGGGCCAGATCCCAAGGCCATCCACAAATAAATCTCATAATGTAACATATGATGTACAAGGACATTCTCGTCCCAAGTCTCCCAAGCGCCAAATATGCACCCAACACCCACCACTACCACCATCCCCTCATCGCCTAATGCTTCTTCCCCCTCACACTCTTCTTCTTCCCCCCTTTCAGCCCCTCCTCCTTCTGCGCACTCCCCCTCAACCCACTCCTCGACCTCTGATAAGCCAGCACCAAATTCTGCACACTACCCACATCATGCTTCGGCTTGCGCATATACGTCAACCGCGCCCTCCTCGCCCTCTTCGCGCTCCTCTGCACAACCTCAATGCCTTCCACATTCGGACTATAAATTTTATACCACATCTCGACGCCGACCCTCGTCAACTGATTCCTCAACAATATGCCCGTATCCACGCCCCGTCGACGAATGTTGATGCAGACGCCGGCGAAGGGGTCCCCGCCTTTTAAGCGTACTAAGAGGATGTCGCCGACTTTCGCGGCTTCCGGGTTCGTTTTAGAGAAGAGGGATGTTCGAACGCCGGTTGGGTCGAGGAGCGCGATTTGGTCGGCGCAGAGGGCTTTGAGGGGTTCTTTGGTGTTGGCGGCGGGGAAGGGGGGTGCTGGGTAGACTTTTATCTTTTTAAGAGCTGTGGGAGAGTCAGTATTGCGTAGTTGAGCTGGATGCTCGTGGGTATAGGCGTACCCCGAGGTTTGGCAGGTTGACCGGGAGGTGGTAATTGGAATTTCGAGTAGGGCACGTTTTGGTGATATGTGGTCAAGGACCTCGTTACGACTTTCTGATGTCTTGTGTGCCGTAATATTGACTTCCAGCACGTCAATGGCCGTAGTGTATGTGTTGGGGTCGCCATAGTGGTTGTTCTGGATACAAGGTGCTGTTCGGATGAAGCTGTAGTCGTTGTTCTCGAGAAAAGTTGCCTCGCTCTGATTGGCCGCTGGTGAACATCAAATTATCTCGACAGCCTCGAACCTTGCGCTAGACCTCATAAAGTTTATCCAGCAACTCTAAAGTCGATCAATCGCAGTGCGAAGCTCTCCCTGAGCTTACAGAAGACACAATGAGTGGGAGAGGTCTAGGGAAAGCCTTCCGCTGCTGCGATTGCACGGTCAGGAGCTCATCGAGAGGTGTCTCCATTCAGCGTCGGAACTTCACAAACTCTTCATCCTGGCAGAGGCATGGTGAGGATCGTTCCGCACACTACCAAACACGAAGTGCTAATCCAGCTACAGGTGCCGTCCCAGCCTTCACCGAAACCTCCTCTCCCGAATTGAACGCTCTCCTCTCCGAAATCCGCCTAAAAATCTTCCTACCAAGTCATCTTAGCAGGCAGCACCAAGGCCTAATTTACAAAGAAAAATATGAAAACGAGCTTTCTACAGAGCCGGTAATTGCCACAATAGCAGAAGAGGACTTCCGACTGCAATATATCGATAAGAGAAAAGATGTACCAAATTCAAAGAAAACCTTATTCAGGGCAATGAAGCTCATGAAGGACAAGAAGGACTGGGCCAATCTTCCCAACCTGCTTGAAGGATTGAATGTAGCTGGTACGAACACGAATTCAGAGCATGTCAAGGGCGCAGTTGTGACCCATTGTATGATGGCCGGGCGGCAGGAGGTGCTTCTCGAGTGTCTGAGGCGAGTTAAGGATACGGGGATGCAATTGAAAGAACCGAGATTTGTGGTTCGGGTCATGCTTGCGATGCAACGCAGAGCTTTCAGTACCGATTTCCATGAGCATGAAACGGCGAAAGCATTGAAATGGGCTGAGATGGTGGTGGCGTTGATGGAGAATCCCAAACATGCTGGCAGCAGAGTTCTTGCTGGAGAGAACGATCCACGACTGCAGCCAGAGGTTATCGGGATACTACTTGAGCTTGCTGCTGTGAGAGCTGTGAAGCACTTGGAAAGCCGAGATGTGGACGGGAAGGTGGCGGAATACGGCGCTAGATTGGTAGGAACGTCGTTGGAATTCAAGACACCAGCCGAAGAAACTGAGTATGAACTCAATCCGTGGTTATGGGCGCACGTTCAAGTACTTCACGGAATATATGAGGCGCTGAAAGTACTGGAGCCGTCTTCGGCCGTGGCTGAGGGACTACAGCAGAAGGGCGAAGTGCTGGATGTAATGGTGTCGACATATTACGAAAAGCTGGCAAGCATTGCGAGCAAAAATCAGAAGCAGCTCATCGGCTTGCAGATGTACGAGAAGCTGTTGGGTTAAGGCGTTCACAGGATCATGTAGAGAGAATCAAGCGGATTTGTATAATATGTACAGTTTTCGATCAAGGGAGAACTATATACTTCTCTAGATGCTTCGGTATCGCACCAAGGAGCTTTTTCTCCGTAAGCCACTTCTTCGAGAACAACCTGTCAGCGTATCTGTATGCTCCATCACACAGAACCGTGACCACCGTGTGTCCCTTTCCAAGTTTCTCAGCAACCTCCTTAGCAGCCGCAACATTCAAACACGAACTTGCTCCAAGGTACAGCCCCTCCTCATCCAAGCACCTATACACCATCTCAATACTCTTCTCGTCACTAATATGCAACGACCCATCTAACAAATCAATATCCGGCTTCAAATTATCCGTAACCCTTCCCTGCCCAATTCCCTCCGTAATACTCGATCCACTCCTCTCAATCAAATTCCCTCCAGACTGAATATAAGAATGGAGCACACTCCCCGGCGGGTCCGCCAAGAAACACTTAACTCGCCCGTCTGAAACAGTTTTCAAATACCTCGTCACACCAGCCAGCGTGCCCGCCGTCCCAGTAGCACACGTAAACGCATCCACCTTCCCTTTCGTCTGGTACCAGATCTCCGGGCCCGTGGTCTCAATATGCGCTTTCCGATTCGCAACATTATCAAACTGGTTCGTCCAGACTGCATTCTCTAGTCTATCTGCATGTCTCTTTGCCTGATGATTATAGTTCTCCGGATTGTCGAACGCGACTGCTGGGACGGGGTATACTTCTGCTCCGAGGAGTCGGAGGAGGTCGATTTTGCCTTGCGATTGTGTGTTCGGCATGTAGATGACCAATTTATATCCTTTTGATCTACAGACGTGCGCGAGTCCTATCCCGGTATTGCCTGCTGTTCCTTCAACCACTGTCCCGCCTGGTTTTAGGAGGCCTTTTTCTTCGGCATCTTTCACGACGTAGAGGGCTGCTCGGTCCTTGATTGAGCCTCCGGGGTTCATGAACTCTGCTTTTCCTAACACTTCGCAGCCTGTTGCGTCGGAGATATGGTTTAGTCGGATTACTGGGGTGTTGCCAATTGCTCGAGGTTGTTAGATATCAGCTTGAGGGGAAGGAGGGGTCAAGTACCTCCAGTCATACCCTTGACAATTCCTTGCGCTTTGGAGACGCCGATCCCGTACTGATTGAGAGCTTCCATTTGCACAGCCGTTTCTGCAGCTCTGCGAGCTGTTGTCGCGAACGTTCGCACTCCAAGTCTGAACATTGTGGTTGTTGGAGAGGGTTTCAGAGCTGGGTGGCTTTTTTCGTGATGCCGCCATATCTTTATCGCCGATTCGGCAATGTGTTGCTGTGCCAACGCTTTGGAATCCGCTTTCCTGAAACAAAATTTAAAATTTATCTAGAAAGTGCAGTCATTCTACCCGTCGGCAATTCCTCGCTTTGCTGGGGCCGACTTGCACTAGCAAGTCGGACCCAGCAACTCCGACATACCACCAACTCCGACATTTGCAATAAAATATTAATTATTAAATCAACTACATAAAAGATCGAAATAATAAAATTAGATTATTATAGCCCTCAATCAAGTCTATATTCGCCTAATAGAACTTTTTGCGATATAAGAAGGTTTTGGTATAAATTATTAATAATTCACTTTAAAATCATAATATTATCCATACTTCCTATAGAAATCAGTTTGCAGCATATTAACTAATTGCCATATTTATTAATATTAAATCATATATTACTATTAGAATTAGAAGTCTATATATCTCCCTGTATTATATGAGTATTAATAGCTTTAATCTTACGCTTCCTGCCCCGTGGCTTCTTTCCTTGTGGCAAAGCTTCCTGTCTTCTAGCCTCCTTCTCCAAATATAGCTTCGTCTTATACTTTGGTATCTTCCGGAGCCTCCTAGCAAGCTCTTTAACCTGTCTTCTCGATGTTCGACGCGTGGCTTTTGGCATAGTAGTTGATTTGGTGGTTGAATTAGTGGTTGATATAATTAATTAATGCCCCGCGATTTTTGGTATTTTTTGGCTTTGGCGTTAAGCGAGTTCCCTCCGAAAAGAATTCTAAAAATCACGTTTTAATTTATAGCATAATACCACGTAATTATATGAAAAAATGTTCTATTGCGCGATTATAGAGTCTAGTATAGCCTATAATTATATAAAAAAATTATCTTTATTGGATGTGTGGTTGTTTTTTAATCTAATATATAGACTAAAAAATCGATGTCGGAGTTGCTGGGATGTCGGAATTGGTGTCACCAGCGAGCATAGCGAGCTGGCCCGAACCGGGTGCGGAAATGCCTGCGAGTATCGTCAACTCGATGTGCTGCATCCTGAAGGATGGCTTTATTTTAATGATCCGCGGAATCAATTCGCGATGTTCGGTGAGGATATTCTGAAGCCGTGGAACCTCAACGCTGAGGCGAAATCCCGCCTCTCTGAATGCACCTACCCCCGTCAAAGTTGCCGTGGCAGCCAGGCAGCCTAGCATTTCTCTTTCAAAGAAAGGGTTTATATTTACATCCCAATTCAACTCTGAACACTCACGTGGTGTGAGGGCTGTCTAGGCTCGAGTGGATCTCTTTCCTTTTATATTTTTTGAATGGTGGTTCGCTTGGGATACGGAAGTGAAGTCTCACAGTCCAAACAGAAATTGGGCAACAATGCCCTTTTTACAGTTAGTAGCTTGATCAGAATCCCCCCTCATAAATAATACCCCCACGATAAACATGCGTTTCTGACTTTCTGCTCCTCAAATTGCCATTGGTGCCCAGGAGCACCCTGTTTATCTGCACATGTATTTTGATGCATCTGTAGGACAGGCATACCATTGGTCATTGCTATCCCTCGTACCCCTTTGGATACTTATCAACCAGTCTTTTCATTTCATCCACAGCTCTAGAGACGCCAAGTTAATACAAAATGTAGGCCCACAAGTTTTGATTTCGAGAACTTACAGCTTCCTCAGTGCCTTGTTCGATGGCCACAGACCGGAGGTCTGCAGATCATTGCGCCTTCAAACCGGTCAAAACAAAATGCACTTGGAATAACGATAAGGATGACTTACAGAACATACATCCGAATACGATCTTCAAACTCCTCATTCAGATACTCATCCGTTTTCTTATCGTGGCCAGAGGCTTTGCTCTCTTCGTCCACGAGAGACCGATTTATTTCAAGCTCATCTTCTGGGTCATCATTCTTTATGGCGAACTCCTCCACCGAATCGCTTGCATCTGCCATCTCTATCTCCGCTGGTGCAGAGGAGCCAAATCCTCGCAAATGCTCGTGGTAGCTATCCAGATGGCGCTGATTGAGCAGATATCCGGTGCGAAACCCCCAGCATTGAAATTCAACTTGCTTCTCGTTAGTGAAGGGACTCGCGAAAGAGAAATACACCGAACTAACATTCGTAATGAGCATAAACGCAACATGGATCGAAAATGATAGGTTCGTTCGTATTCCGGTCGACGCCTACATTCCCATGCCAAAGATCCCCATGACACAGACACGGTTTGATAGATTTGCCTCCGGTCTCAAGGGGTCGAATCAGCCGAGGAATGACTTTGGTAATCATCTTCTCTGCCAGGTCATCTATTTCAGCCGTTTGACCATGAACAGAAGATTCAAAGTTGATGCTGCTGCGGAACGTTCTTGTGAAGAACTCTTCCCAGGTGTCACACCAGCTTGTATCCAGACAACTGGTCCCCTGCCAAGAGCTTGTAGGGAATCCAAACTTCCCCGTGGGAGATACGGAGCTTTGATGGAGGTGGACAAGTCTGGATGTGAACTTGTCACCTGGTGGCATTTCGTCTTTGATGTCCCGAAAGATTGCAAGAAAGAAATGCTTGGTCGGATCCTTGACATACGTTCCCCATGCCACAGGCTCTGAAGTGTTCTCTGGAATCAGGGTGGGTAATAAGCCAGTCAGTCAGTCATCAGCTAAGGTATTTTGCTAGCTGATTGGCTTATATAATGGGGGTCAGCTGATTGGCTTAGCTGATTTAGCTAATCAGCAGCTGATCAGTTGAAGATATATTTTTATAAAATTTATATTACTTCAGGTTTAGAGTAATAGCATCCCCAAACGTTTCCATCTGAATTGCCCCTCTCCTCTGCCAGTTCTTTAAGCATTCGTGATGCCATAAGCTCTTACCTGATAGTCTAGAACTCTCAGGAGAAGTTATCTTTGTACAGGAGGAAAATACCCGCTCGCACTCAGAGCTCATAGCGGGAATACTAAGAAAATCATATGCCATTCTAGCAAGATGAGGCCATTCAGACTCTCGTGCTTTCCAATACTCCGCAATACCCAAAAGATCAGTTGGAGGTTCAGCTAAATATAAGGAAAGCTCATCTCTTGAGCGTATAGGCCTTTCAGGACGTAATAAATTTGAAGGCGCCATCTGATTTAGTATATCCTCTAGATAAGACACTTGTCTTTCAGGCTCCGGGGAATAATTAGTACGACCTATTCCGTTATCCTCCCTATACTCTTTCTCCCAAAGCTTACGTATCTTCGTCTTCATTAAACTAAGAGTACGTGCTTCCCCAGGTAACGTCCAGTGTTGCTCAAACCAAGTAAACTTGAATCGAGGGTGTAGGACCATTGAAGCTGTCCATGCAAGAGAGTTATCGGTCTTCTTATACCAAGACGTTGTAGTGTTCCAAGCTAAAGTAATTGAGCTTTGAATACCAGGATGTTTATCAAAATCTCCAGCTTTTGCCTTCTTTTCAAGCTTCTCAAAATAACTAAGAAGGAACTCAAAGACAGGGAGCACTTCCCATAAAGTACCATGTGATGCCTTTCGTACTCCGTCTTTTAAATCGTGGTTGCCTTCAAGGTCCTTAGTTAATCGGAAAAGCGGTTCAAGCTGGTTTTTGATAATCTCCAGGGCTCTCCATTTAGCGGCAGTAATATAGTCCTCTTAAAAGATCTCTTGATCGTCAAAATCGTCGGAATCTCTCAAATCGTTGGTATAGATATTTAGGGCCTCTTTCAGTTCAAGGGCTCGCCTAATCATCAAGTATATCGAATTCCAACGTATCCCCCCATCCAGAACAAGCTTCCATTGCTTGCCTGAAGCAATACCAATATTGGAATCGATTTGCAACTTGGTAAAGACGTCTGATCGCTTCCCTGATCCCATAACGTATGCAACCAAGTTATGTAGCTTCCCTAGCTCTCCTTGCTGTCTCCAAAGCTCTCGATGCTCTTTTGCTCCTGCTTTAGTAAAATTCTCTTTCCAACTTGACTCGTCTTGCCCAAATAAATAAGCCTCTGTAATAAGGTTAAGGATATGTCCCATGTAGTATAGTCTTTTCTGAATTGGATCAAATTCCATTTGTTTGCCGAGCTCTTGCAGTATCGTATTATTATTAGAGGTATTATCAAGTACAAAATAGCCCAAATTATCTTTGTTAATACCAAAACATTAAAGTAATGGTAGGATTACTGCAGCTTGATCTAACAGAGGGGGTTAGTCATGTGATCTCGGAAGTAAATTAAGGTCCGGCCAAAGCACTCCTATTGGCTAGAATCGCTCGGGAACGCCCGAATAGTGCTATACCGCTTTCGTAAATTATTAATACCACCATACAAAATTCTATTTGCAGCGGCATAAATACAGCAAAAAAAAATTAAACTTACCAATACCACGTTTCCTATAATTAGGGAGCTCTGGTAGCCCAATTAGGCGTATTACATTCTCTCCTTTGCAGTTAACCATGTGTATAATAACGCTAATAACACTAATTTTCTCATACTTTAATCCCCAACCGTCAAAAGTATAGTATATTCGTGATTTTGCTATCCGAATCTCTTCTTTGATTTCTGGTTCAAAATGATAAAACATCTCGTTAATCCAGGACTCCACCGTATTATGGGTAACCGGTAAAGCATTTGCAGCTTGCATATTGGCAATTTTGAAGGTATGCTTGAGTCGGGAAGAGGCTGCTTTGCGAGACTTGATATTATCCATTACAACCCATTTAACGAACGCATTTATAAATTCCTGTTAACGGAACGGTATCGCACGCTCATAGCCTCCATTAACCGGGCCTGAAGCTTGTATACTGTCACTTCCATACTGTGCTCTCCATATATCTCCCTGGTAATCGAGAAAGTGTTAGGTAAGGAGGTGATTTTCGGCATTTTTGAGAGAGTTGCTATTATAGTACCATTCCCGGCCTTTGGAAAATTCAGCGTCATGGTGGCCTGGAAAATTAATAAGCATATATCCATAATATAATAATAAAAAGGGCATACAAAGCTTGCATGCCCATATAGTAGGCTCATCTTTTTTACTTGTATCTGTGAGAGCGTATCCAAGCTGCCAGACCCAAGCAGTCCTCTTCCTCTTGCTAGCACCTGCAATGACGTGTTTTCTTGGAAGCCGTATAATTATAATCGGGCGATCGTCGTATAAAGGCTCTCCTGAAGTATATGGAGAGTAATCAGGGCGTCTATCTTCGGGAGGGGGCTCATAAGGGTTGTAGTTTCGATTGTAAGTTGGCACTAGTCGATTGCACCGATCTCGTACGCCCTTCCGTTGCTCCGTAGGCGTACCGTATATCATTTGGGCGAAGGCATTCGGAATATTTGATGACGATTCAGAAGGACCAATTGATGGATCACGAGAAGCTTAACTAATGGGGGCGGGTGCGGAGTCCATTTTGACGATAATTAAGGAATCAAGTGCGAGGCATACAAAATAATGAAGAGATTTTCAGTCCATCGCGCCTAATTATTAAGGCGATTATTACATAATTAACCCGCTACACCCCCCCAAAAATACCCATTTTGGCATTTTTAAGGGGACCCAAAAATCGCGATATTAGTAAGCCTCAGCTGATCAGCCGCTTATAAGCTAGTATATTTTCAGCTGACTGACTGATATAATAAAAATGGTCCGGCTGAATGGCTTAATAAGCTAGCTGATAAGCTAGCTGATAAGCCGGCTGGCTTATTACCCACCCTGTCTGGAATGATGCGATGCAATGCCGAGGCGCCATTATATTCGCCCATCACCATCCCAAGGCCGATGTCACACTCGGAGACCTGATGAGACATGTCGTCTTAGCAAATGGCCCAACCGAGTTTCTTGTGATCTATGGCCGATCAAGGATGGATACCTTCATGAAATACGAACAAGGCTTTTTATTATCCACAAAAACAACATCAAGCTTATAGATTTTGGCCCAAAAGCTTGCTCCGTGAGCACTAACACTAGTGACTCGACTTCCCGGCGGCAGCACTTGATCAGTCAGTCCCATTAACCAACTCATTCAAAACAGGGCTTACCCGCTATGACAGCTAGGTCGACTTCACTTGGCGTGATGTCCACCTGTGGAATCTCGGGGGCGATGAATTCTTTGGGAAGTTGGACCATTTTCAACGTTACTACAGCCTCCCGAAAGTCAACCGTTGCTGGGAGTAGAGTAGAGTAAGTAATTGAATTATTAAGATGAAGCGTGGGGAGAATTTGAGGAGTATCTCTTTAGCAGGTTCCCACGGTTACAAAGTTGGGGGCGAGGCTGTTAGGCCGCGCCCAAGAAACGGTAGGCTCGTGTCCCTTGGAGCCTGTCTTGTGCGACCCCAGAATTCGGTCACACCGCCCTACTTCTTGGGAAATAATTGGATGACAGGGTTTCAAGCTCTGCTTACCTCATGCTGCCCTATCTAGTTGGGGAACAATTGGACGAGAGTTGGTTTCAGGCTCGGTCTGGGTCACACCTGAAGACGACAGGCATAGAATGGAGCCCAGCAAACGGCCCCCCCCCCGAAGGCGCTTACACTAATAAAGGATCGGCCTACACGGGATGGGCCCTAGGTATGGGCTTTGCTTTTCTTCCAAGGGAAGTTTAAGCCCTTGGCCAGCGCATTCGTCCACCTGCATGGGCGCCAGTATGTAAACAAGCTTATTTCCTCTCGCGCCTATTTTGAGGTCAAACGGTGGGCTCTAACCTTGGACGCATGCCTCTTGTACTTTCTTGCCCCAACTCCCCAATTCCCCAATGCTCCGGACGAAGATGAAAGGCTAGTATGGTAAGTGACTTGTTCCTACTGTAGTCAACCTATGGGGTCACGAACTTTGGTTGACATCCAGTTTGTAGCAATCTCGGCCGCAATCTGACACCACCCGCGCCCTGGATGCGTCTTCCCTCCCGCTAGAAAAGCGGTTTCGGCCTTCGTGGGTGCGACGACACATTTACGGTACCTCGAGCGACAATAAAGGCCCACTTGGCCTTACACTACTGCACTCTGCGGCGGAACCACTGATAGACTTCGTTTTCGTTCACGGACTGGGAGGGGGTTCCATCAGAACATGGCGAAAAGGCGACGATCCAAGACTCTTTTGGCCTCAAGCATGGCTTCCTCTTGACCACGATTTCCGCAACGTCAACATACACAGCTTTGGTTATAATTCCGATTGGGCAGAGACGAAGGATTCTTTCCTGAATGTGCACGATTTTGGGAGGTCATTACTTGGAGCTTTGACAACGTCCCCACATTTAAGGAGGAATGGGCCAGTAGGTTTGAGGATGCCCTCGGCCGACCTTTTGACTGACTAACTGTACTCCAGACCCCAATCGTTTTGATTGGTCATTCTCTTGGTGGACTTGTTATCAAGCAAACATATATATTAGCCCGTCAAGATAGACCCCTAGCGGCTTTCGCCGAGCGTATGCGATGTCTCTTCTTCTTGGGCACCCCACATCGAGGCTCAGATTCGGCTCCCTTGCTCAACAATATTCTCAAGACGACTGGCGTACTTAGTTCTCGGCAATACATAGATGACCTGATGCGGAACTCACCATCCACACAAGTGATTAACGACACTTTCCGGAAATTCGATGGCGACCTTGATATATGGTCTTTCTACGAGACACTGAAGACAGGTCCATTCTTGATTGTGGACAGAGATTCTGCTACTTTGGGTAGGCATGTGAGAACCTCATGGCACGGCTTTCTAATTCAGAGTAGGAAGTAAGAGGGAGAAGGTAAACAAGCTTGACGCAAACCACCGAAATATTTGCAAATTTGAAGATCCCTCTGATCCAAATTACATCGTCCTCCGAGACTCCCTAAGTTCTGTGGTTGATGATCTCTTACGAGAAAGTGAGTGCATAACTACCCACACCGGAAGATTTACTGAAGAATGGCAGTAAAAATATCTAGGCACGAACAATATCGTACACAAATTAAAACACTGAAGACATTTCTTGGAGTCTCCGACAAACCCGAAGATGACTTCGCTAGACAAGAGGAAGGGCAGGTGGAAAGGTCTTGTACATGGTTGGAAGAGAGGGAGGAGTTTCAAGAATGGAGAGACGTTGAAGAAGACACCACGAGAAGCGCCGCAGAAAACCTCACACAGTACTATTGGCTCAGTGCCAACCCGGGGACCGGAAAGTCTGTGCTTGCAGCGCATGCTATCTCTCACCTACGGACCACCTTTGGGCTGGATTGTTGTTTCTATTTTCTACAATATGGGAACAAAACCAGGCAGACACTCAGCGGCATGCTTCGTTCAATCGCGCTTCAAATGGCCCTTCTGGGATCTGGAGTCCGGGATACCTTGTTGTCTCTTCAAGAAGACAATATCTGCTTCGACAAAGACGATGAGCGGGCAGTATGGCAAAAATTATTTATCGGTGGGATCTTTCAGACAGAACTTTACCGTCCGCAATACTGGGTGATCGACGCACTGGATGAATGTACCAACTACGCCCAACTATTTCCGCTTCTTACAAAAATTGAAAGCTACTTTCCTCTTAGGGTTTTCTTCACTAGCCGTGTTCATTCAGATATTCAGCATCAATTTTCCCGCCTCGGCCCCAGAGTCATAGAAGCTCATATTTCAGAGAAGAATATTCTGTCGGATGTTGAACTCTACTTAAAGAGCCGGATGGATGTACTCCCAGTAGAATCAAAAGCAGAGCGGGAAGAACTTATCGGGGAAATTATGGGCAAGTCTCAGGGCTGTTTTCTGTGGGTCAAGTTGGTTCTTCAAGAGCTTGGAAATGTCTTCTGCGACAAGAATATCAGATTGGTAATGGATGATATACCGGGGAAGATGGGGCCGTTCTACGAACGCACGGTAAAGCTAATCAGTCAGAATGTCAATATCCGGGAAAAGGAGCTTACCAAAGCCATCTTGGTCTGGACTGTCTGCAGTACCCGTCCCCTTCATATCGAAGAATTGCAAGAGGCAATAGAATTGGATATCGGTTCCAAAGTCCGCAACATGAGAAAGTCTATTCAAGACTTGTGTGGCCAACTTATTTCTGTCGATGGCAACAACACAGTACATACGATTCACCAGACTGCACGGGACTTCCTTCTTAAGGACAAGACCACTGAATTTGCTATTGACAGCGCTCTCAGCCACGAGAGACTTGCCACAGCCTGTTTAAAATACCTTTCTTCAAGAGAGATGCGGTGGCCCCGTAATAAGAGACTCCTCACGAGGGATAGAAAGGTATCGAGATCCTGCTTTGCCGACTATGCGTGTAGGAGTTTCTCAGAGCATGTTTTTGCTGCTAGCTCTGAGGCTGATGACTTGCTGAGGATGCTTGAAAAATTTCTCGGAACCAATGTTCTGAGCTGGGTCGAGCATGTGGCCTTCACGGGAAGCTTATACTTCATCACTAGGACAGCAAAGAACCTCAAAGCCTACCTTGACCGACGGGTGAAGTATCGAGCGCCGTTAGGAAGCACCTTCCAAAATGTTTCTGCATGGACTACAGACCTTATTCGACTTGTGGCAAAATTTGGAGTCGGTCTCGTTGATACTCCAAGTTCTGTATATTTTCTCATACCTCCTCTCTGCCCCATCAATTCCGCTATATATAAAGGGTTCGGCCAGATGGCAGATGGCCTAAGCTTTACTGGGACCACCAACGTCGACTGGGAGGACTGCATATCATGCATCGAATACAAGAATGGCCGAGCGATGGACCTGTCATCCGGACAAAATACTTTCGCCATTGGCATGAGTTCAGGCATGGTCTATCTCTACAATCAACTAAGCTGCCAAGAAGTACTTGTTGTCAACCATGATGAGCCAATCCGACTTGTTGAACTTGACAAGCTTGGGAAGTATCTCTTGACCTCCGGGGCTACCATTCTGAGCCTCTGGGACCTCACCGGAGGTGTGATGTGGACTACGACAATGCCTTCGCCCTGCCTTGCTTTATGTTTCTCCGACGACCGGATTTATGGTATTACAACTACCAATGAAGTAGTTTTGTGGAACATGGCAGATGGATCCGTGGACAATAGACACCGATATCAGTACCAGGAGGAAGAGGATCGACACTTCCTTGTTGAGGAGAGAGCTCCTCTCGCAGCTGCTTTCTCCCCTGACATGGCGCTGATGGCACTTCTGTATCGTGGTGCGCCGACAGCAATCTGGAGCCTTGAAACCCGATCTTTTGTCGGATACTGCTACGAAAATGCGGCCGAGCGTGACGCCGGCGGGAGCGGAGCATTTTCGCCTCTGAGTGCTCTATTCCATCCCAACCCTGGTGTCGAACTGATAGTCATAATATACCAAGACGGAGGGCTTGCATTATATGACTCCTGGTCGCAACAGCGACTCAAGCTAGTTGAAGCGGATGCCTCACATCTAGCTTCCGCCCCCAATGGACGAACTCTAGCTACAGGCGACTTCCACGGTACTCTAAAGATATGGGACTTTGAGACATTAGCACTTCTTTATCGGATTAATTGCCATGAGTTCGACATCAAAACTCTTGTTTTCAGTGGAGATGGCGCAAGGATTGTGGATATCCGGGATTCAAGATCCAAAGTTTGGGAACCTGAGGTCCTGATAAGGAAGACAATCGAGGAAGACCATTTGAGCCTTAGCGATGATTTTAATGCTCCCGCAACCACGATAGACTCCAAAGACATCGATAAGATCGTCAACATCACAGCAATGGCGCCCCATCCTTCAGAGTGCCTCATCATCGTGGGGAAGCGGAACGGGATTGTATCGGCTTACAGCACCACAACTGGGAAGGAAGTCTCGACCCTGTATTCTCATGGCAAGGGTCTTCTTATTGACCACATTATTTGCGGTGACCATGTCATTGCCAGTGCCGACTCAGAAAGGATTGTCAAGCTGTGGTCTTTGGTTGATGATGGAGCAGGAAAGTTTGTTGCAAAGAAGCGACTGTTGAAAGTTCAGACCAGTAGTTTTGTACGCCAGTTGCTACTGAGTCCGGACGGTCAAAGTCTACTGATATCTACTATCCAGGCTGATTATTTCGTCTCCACAACGACCGGAGAACTTGTCAATACACGAAAATCACGACGGACGGGTCCTTGGAGATGGGTGTGCGAATCAGATCCGAATGCAACTCGTCTGCTCCTCGTTACTGAATGTGATCTCCAAATTTACGACTGGAGAAAGTTCTCACAAGTTCCACTGAGCAATTTTCTATTGGAAGACGCATTGAATAATGATGCGAGAAATATTGTCATCAAATCAGCTTCTGAAGATAGTATGGGCAGATATCTCGTCCTGGATCTGCAAACTTCTGTGCGGAGCAACCTACTCATTCTCAATACCCCAACTTTTGACGAGCTCGAGGATACCGTACATATAGATTCCACGTTCAATCAAGTTATCAAACGAGTTCAATTCTTTGTCGGCGTTCAGGGGACGAAGATGTTTTTCATTGACCTCGAATCTTGGTTTTGTTCCTTGGACGCGAAAACTTTTACAGGACAGGAATATGCTCGGCATTTCTTTGTGCCAAGCGATCTTTTGGGTGGAAATTTAGGCATGCTTTCCGCAGCCACGAGCAGAGGAGAAGTTGTATTCTGCAAAGATGGGGAATTGGCGATCGTGAAGAATGGTCTGACATTTCATAATACAGTGATGCTCTCGGATGGCGATAGAAAGATTTAGAGTTGAGGTCAAGAAGAAGCTGATATATGCAAAGTTCCCGCTTCACAAAATCCAATAACAAAGATCATGATAATAATGTAATGATCCATTCTCCTCATCTTGGTAAAAATTTGCTCTCCGATAACGCAAGACCTTCAGGAGTGGCTTTCATGAGCCCCAAGTCTGCTGTTTTGGTTCCATTGTGATCGCAAAGACTTTTTGCTCCAGAGCTTTGTATGCCTAGCCGAGGACTATGTTCTTGATTACCCATCTGTCTGGTAGTACGCCAAGCCATGCCTTTTCTCCGAATGAGGCAAATGGCACACAAGCTGCAAAATCCAAAGGCACATCCCAGAATGGTAAAAGTCCATCCAGGACCAACTGCATGAAGTAACGGCTCGATTGATGCCACACCACAGCCTGCAAGAGCACACCTCGTTATGTTACCCGCTGCGCCTGCTCTACTAGGTTGCTCCGGATGCGTGTCAATAAGTAGGGTATTGTAGGTCTAGTAACCATTAGCAATTAGATACTCCTTGATGCAGTCAGCTCCTGCTTATCTGAATTAAACAAGATACTAGGCAGCCTTGTAAAAAGGTTACTATAAGAGGGATAGATATATGCTGCTATAGCATCAGATACGTTTGCAGACGACGGCTTCCAAGTTCGAAAGCTTACAACCCTTGCACGAATCGCCCATCCGTAGCCAACGATACAGACTGCCAGACACGATACCAGGACGCATGAGCTCTTAGATCGTGCCTTTTCGATTGGGAAGCTAATTCGGTCGCCCCTTTGTGTTTCGTTGACCGTGTTGTTGATGGACTTTGCCGTTTTGTGGTAGTTATAGTCCATTAGTTTGCCTACTTCATATTAGATCTTTTATATATTATGATTAGGATGAAACATAAACATACCATTCATATATCCTCCAATTACAACCCCCGTGCCACTGGCAATAAAGGAGTACCCGATTTGTGCCTCATCCAAATCATAAACGTCGACAAAGATGCCTGGTAAGGACGCTTGAATGCAAAAGAAGACCATGTAAGCCATTGCGCTTATGGACAATACGAGCGATGTATCTTTGTAGAATACCAGACGGATAGACTTGAGCGGATTCGGCAACCATTTTCTCCTCTGTAAGGACCGTTTTCGATCATGATAACATTGCTCTCCACCAACTGTCTGTGTTTCACTTTTGACAGGGAGATAGCTGAGTAGAGTCCTATTCAAAGGACCAACTTCCAAATTGCCACTGCCAACAATATTCCGTGCGGTCTCTGGGAAGAACGTCAACAACACAAAAAGGAAAATGCCGCCGAGGATTGCCAAAAGCCAGAAAATCCATCGCCAGCCAACAGTGTCCGCTAGTACCCCACCAAGCAACGGCCCTATAATGATTCCAATATTCGTTGCAACCAAGGCTGGACCTAGCATTTTCCCCCTCTCAGCTGGCGGTGCTACGTCTGCAACAACTGCATAGCTAATTGCAGTTGCAGCCGATGATCCTGCACTCTGCAATATTCTCAACGCCAACAACGCTGCATACGAACTCTGCAGGGCAAGCCCGATATTCGCAACCACAAAAAGAGTGAATGTGAGTATATACGTCGGCCGTCGGCCGATGGTGTCCGCAAGGTCGCCAAAGATGGTTGGCGCAATGCCTTGGAAGATCAGGTAGACGGTAACAGTAAGGTTTATCATTTGCGGGGTGGTGTTCATGGCTTTCTCAAGCGCTGGGAGACATGCTATATAAATGTTTGCGCAGAATGGCGAGAAGAACATCGATAGTCCAATCATCAATATCAAGAGGCGTTTCTGACGAGCTGTGAAGACAGTATAAGGCACAATACTTGATGGCGGGTCGGCCATGGTAAGTTTTGTGATGGATAAAGTAGTGTCAGTGTCGACTGTCGTAGAATTATTTATCTTTGGCGGCCTGCATGTCTTGGACATGGGGTTTGCGCGACATTTTGTCAGGTTTAAAATCGGTTGATCGTCTATGATTGCTAACCTTCGGCAGCCAGCAGAGCCTATATATAAATAAGCTAGAGAATTTTGCAACGTGCTTATAGTTATAATAGAATTACTTATAAGAAAATAATATTCTAATAATAGCTTTTATTAACTAGAGTTTTAAAATTTAAATTTAAGCACTATAAATACTTATAACTTATGAGTTCTCGGTTTAAATATAGGTACTCGGTTACTAAATTTCTAGACTTTCTTAAGGCTACCTTTAATAAACTATATAATATTAACTTTTAATTTCTTTAATTTAATGAATAATTATTAATTACTACTTTATAAAAAGTTTATATTTAAATAGCCCTTAATTAGTCCTATAACAAAATAATGAAAGTATTAAATTATATATATTTTTTTTATAAATTAAATTAAATTTAAAGAGAAAGCTAAGTTTTTGTTATTCCTATCCCAGCGCCTCCACTTTACGAGCCGGTGGGCAGTAGTCTGTGCGTTCAGGCCTGTTTTCAGGCATTTTCAGGCTTCACAAATTCGCTTATAGGCCTTGGAAAACTAAAGTCTCCTTAAACACTTAAAAGTTATAAGATAACAAAAAATAGTCACGACTTCATATTTAGCATTAGAGAAGTAAAGTAACTAAAGCATAATTTGATTAATTAATTTTTAAAGATTTGATCAGTTGAAAATTTTATTTATTAGTAAAATGCCCTGAGCGTACAGACTACTGTCGGGAGGCTCGTTACGAGCCTGCTGACATAAGTCCGTGTTTTTAGCGATGTTTTCAGGCATCACAAAACCAAAGTCGCCCACTTCACTTCACAATTTCTTTACAACTACAGATTAAATCTTCGCATAATTCAAGCGCACGCAATGAAAAAGTATAGAGTGAGTTTAGAAGGCCTTTAAACTTAATTCTAGGTATAAAATGAAAGCCTCCAAAATAGTTATGGGGCTCATTTCTTAGCGAAATGCCCTAAAAACACGGACTTATGTCTGCAGGCTCGTTAGGTTACTCGTTAGTCTGGCCCATAATCGACACCCAGGAGCGTGTCGTTTTACATTTTCCCAGCTAAAGGGGCTTCGTGGTGCGCAGGCCGATTGAACCCATGAGTATGAATAGGTATCTCACCTATTAGCGGCCCCGCCAACGTTTGGGTGTTATACTGACTTTCAGGCTGCACGAGGTTGCCTGCTGTGGCCATCTTTGGGCCCAAGATATTTAAAAAGGCATCAGGCGGGACAGCCCGACCACAAGGTTTAATGAAAGGATTTGATTTTCTAGCCTTATTAGTCGCCAATAATTTGTTCTAGATTGAAGTGCCTTGATTGCCTGTGGGCAAGGGAACTTCGACGAGGCTAGGCACGCCAAGTACGCTTCCAATGCCAAATTTGTCTGTCCTGGCCAGGTGTCGGAGTTTGACCCAACGATTGGTAATTTTCATTCCCTTGTGTGACCCACTAAGAAACCAGTGGGCGATTGAGAGTGAGAGGTGTTGCTTTCAGCCTCCAGAGACATCATCATGGTTTGGCGACACTCTGGTGGGCGGGTTAGCCCCGTGGCTGTCCAACGCGTCGCAGCCTCTAAGTTTCATAAGTTCGTTAGTGGCAAAGATTTTGTCTCTAATGCACGCCACAGGTCAACCAACGCCCCAGTTTACTATCTATTGGGAGGGACTGCCCACCTTCAAAAATGATATGAGTCGGATGGTCTGACAAATGCAGCAAGGTTGCAGAGAGAGCGACTGGTAACCATATGAACTGGCGGGTTCGGTGTGTTAAGTGCCTGCATGACACCTTTGAGAAGAACTTGCCTACCCCAACGCTTCCAATCCCCAGCTTCCTCTTCATCAACCCTCCCCCTTGCATTCTCGCCTACCTATTCTCGCTCAATTATTTTCTGTTTTCTGGCTCTTACTGGGTCATTGTCGTCGTACAACATGCCTTATCCTTCACTTTTTGGCCATTCTGTGTGAGCTTATTTTGCGATATTCTTGAATAGAATAGCAGGTGTGCCACACTTAACGGTCAAGAGTATATGATACTGTTTTCGTGGCTGTAGTTGTGTGACCATCTCTTCTTTCTATATATTCTCTAGTTCTTCCCCAATTTCCATGCCAGAATTCAACCCAGACTCAATTTTTCCCTAGCTTTCTTTTCTAACTATAATCTTACCTTCACACGCCTCGTATTTTTAATTGCGCTCTGCGTGTGTGCATTGCGGTAAAAAAGAATCCGTAGAACCCTCCTCCCCTAATATTAAAAAAAATGGGAATGGGAATGGGTATGTATTGCTAGCGCAATCTTTTAAACATTGGTATTATCATGTTTGACGCTTTCATAGCTGCGAGAAACCCGCGAACACCAATCATGAACCCCCCGAATGAATGTACACCGCCAGGAGCTCCGAAGCCAGCCCGATTTAAGCCCAAACAATCAACATCAAGGGCGGTAACGACTAAGACACAAGATGGGTCTTCATCTGCTGTAGAGGATCTAGTGAATGACATTGATGGCTTGGGAATAAGCGGGATCGGCGATCACTTAGTAGATGTAGGATCTTTCCCTTTGCTTTTAATTAATAATCAGAAAACTGATATTTTAATAGATAGGATCCATATCCTTTGCGAAAAAATCTGTAGGAAACATGAATCTCTTTGAATAGATTTGGAATACATTAGGTTCATGGAGGTGGAGTTCACGTTGCTGCGAAATAGGTTGCAGTTTAGTTACTTCGATATGGCAGAGCAGGACTCAAATCCATAATCCGATAGACTATTGCTTGAAATATTTCTAATGATTCGAAATGACGTTAGTTGAGCTGCTTAGGCTGTGGAGGTTACTTACACTGTCGCTGGAATTCAAATTTCGCTGACGAAGCACCTTCCCAACCCGCTATCGCTTGCATTACCTACGAGTACTCATAAGATAATCCGGACAGCATTTTGTACAGTACATCTACTCTCGCTCTAGAGCCACCTCCTACTGCATTTCGATCTCGACTCCTGAAGCGCGCGGTTACACTTAGTAGTTTTACAGAGCCACGATAGAGAACCAAGAAAAGCAAGACAGCTAAATCTTGACAACATCACGTCAATAATGAGCCCCATATAGCAGACAAGAATGATAACATATCTGACCAAGAGGTCAGCCCCAAAGGCGAATCTAATCATTCGCCCGCAAGGTGTTAGAAATGCTGTTCTCCTGTTTCCTAAGGCCTGCGTCAAAGGAAACTCAAAAGGCCAGGGAAAATCAACACAAGATCCTTCATGAGATGGTAACAGTAATCAGTGCGAAGGGTCACGTTTCCCAAAAAGCTGCTGGAAACCTTCATCGTCGAACCAGTCTTGCCGTCCGTAGAGCCGGTGGGTTCAAAGAATTCGAACCGGGCCGAGCTACTCAGAAAGCCGCGGATGACCAGCACTCAGGAGGGGTCCAGATACATACGAAGCCGCTGGATGGTCCGGGCTAACAAAAGGTCCAGCTACCAAATCAGCTATGGGCCAGGAAATTCGCGATGCTAAATTCGAAGCCCTAAGAAAACATGTTCAGCATCAGAAGATATTAGACAAAGATAAGATCCGGAAGGCACCGTTCGCAGAGCATTTAACAAGCTACAACAGGGCATGCATTAGGGACTTTCTCCTAAAACAAGCTTACTGGTATGACAAGAACAAGTGTCCTAGTGGTCTGAGGTACTATGGGGATGGTGGTCCAAAGCCGACATTGAGACTTGGAAGGCAGATGTTCAAGAAGATATCCTTACGCGGGTACCATAAAATAAATTAAGAACAGACAGGTATCTCGAGGAATTCAGAGCTAGAGCAGCAGCGACGGCGACTGCAAGTACAGAGCGACAGTGTCACAAATGACGATAAACCTGTCAGACGACGAAAGCCACGTTAAACCTATCGCGCGATGTCATATAAGGACGGATTCCGCGATATCAATGAACTTCTCCTCGCTGAACCTCACGAAGGATCCTTCTCTCTAACTCCATGTCTTCTTCAGTGCTTCCAGCTGTTCCAAGACTGCAGAGCGACTAGTCCCGCCTGTAGCATACTTCAACTCCACAGAGCGCTCGTAGTCGAACACACTTAGCACGTCGTCGCCAAACCTCTTGTCAATACCTTGAAACTGCTCAATAGTGAGTTCGTTCATCCCTTTTGCCTCATGTTCGGCAAGTGCGACCATCTTGCCCGCCAAGTGGTGCGTCTCACGGAATGGTACACCTGCGCAAATATCAGCAAGAGAGTTACAAAAGTTCCAACGTATAGCACAGCTTACCTTTCCTGACTAGATACTCAGCAAGATCCGTTGCCAACATGTCTGGGCTTAGTGCAGCACGCATTTTATCTGGATAAACCGTAGCTGTGGCCAGCGACCTCGCCGCAATCTGGAGACTGTCCTTCAAGGTCTTGACAGTATCTAACATCGGCTGCACGCTCTCCTGCAGGTCCTTGTTATACGTGGATGGGATACCTTTGATGGTCATCATCAGGCCGGCCATTGACCCGAATATTCTCCCGGACTTGCCACGCAGGAGCTCAAGGGAGTCGCTGTTCTTCTTCTGTGGCATCAAAGAGCTACCAGTTGTATAAGCGTCTGCCAGCTTCACGTAACCGAATTCCAACGAGCTGTATATGATAAGGTCCTCCGACCAGCGCGATAGGTGACTGCTGATACTAGAGGCACATTGTAGCGCCTCGACAACGAAATCTCGGTCACCGACTGCGGACATGCTATTCATGATGAGACCCTCGAAGCCTAGTTCTTTTGCCATCTGCACCCTATCAATGCCAAAGGCATTACCAGCAACGGCACCGCTACCAAGAGGGAGTTTGTTGATGTTCTTTCTCGTGAACCGCAGGCGCTCGAGATCGGATTGGAATGCCGTGGCATAGCTGAGAAGCCAGTGGCTCCATCGGATAGGTTGTGCCCTTTGAAGATGCGTGTAGCTTGGCATGATGTAGTCAATATCCTGCTCAGCACGTTGAGTAATGGCCTTGAGGAAATCGACAAGGTACTCCTCAATCAGATTCAGCTCATCACGGAGCCACATGCGCATGTCGGTCGATACTTGGTCGTTGCGGCTGCGGCCTGTATGTAGCTTTCCTGCAATCTTTGTTCCGATCACTTCGCCGAGGCGGCGTTCGTTCGCAGTATGGATGTCTGTTCCCTTAGTAGCTGATCTCTAAAAAGGAAGTTTGGTACAATCAAACCCCGCTTGGTGTCCCAGCGGAAGTATAAATGGCATCTGTACCAAAGTTTGCTTACCTTCATCTCCGGGTGCTGGCGCGAACTTGCCCTCCTCCCACTCCTGGAGAATTTCCCGCAGACCTCGCTCAATAATCTCGAATTCTTCTTTCGTAAGGATACCTGTCTTGACGTTGGCCCTGGCGTACGCTATTGAGCCTTTAATGTCCTGGGCGTAGAAAACGCGATCGATTGATAGACTCTCATTGTACTGGTCCATCAAAGGGTCCGTGGCACCCGTAAATCTGCCGCCCCATAATCGAATTGGCTGGTCATTTTTGGGTAGCTGGGCCATGGTGACGATCTGGGGTAGGTCGAAAGATGAAGATTAGCTCAAAACCAACATAAAATTGAGGTCGCGTTCGCGAGCGGGGGGAATTATGCGGGGCAGAAATTTTTTTATTTTTATGTGGGGCAAGATGATCGGCGCCAGCCGCTGATTAGCCGCCTTGGCCCGCTCCCCTCCTTTCGGAGAGAAGTTCTTCCCTTCCGACTACTTTCTTCTTTCCTCTATACAGACTTCACATCCTGTCTCTCTTAAGGAGACAAGAGACAATACTCTACACTCTTTAGGAGATCTCTACTTCCTGGCGTTCCCTTATTTATGTGTTCTATATCGCTATTAGGAGGACGCGGCTACTCGCTATCTATCCCTTCACATTATCGTACTAAAGCGATAGCAGGATTATGACTAAGCACGGCAGCGTACAGCACCAGCAGTAGATAGTGAGAGCCGAGCAACCTGAGCAGACGTCTCTCTAAACTGAGTCGAGGGACTGAGTCCTGTCTAAGCACCTTGAGCACCTCTAAATCAGACTGCCCACGATTATGTGGAACGCACCTTCGGCCCCTTACGTGCCATGGCTATAGTTTCCTGTCTAATTTCCCCAGATGACCGTTTCTGCGCCCTTAAAAATTGTTATAAATAGAGTAAACTATTTTTAGATTCGGAGTACTACAATTACGACTATATCGGTTTAAAGGGTTGCACCTTAGAGTAGTTGCGTGTATAGTAGAGATTAATTCAGCACATATCCGCGTTCGGAACTGATAGCTGATGATTCGATTAACTCCAAGCCACTTGAATGACAAGATGAAATGAATCAACTCCGGGGAGGGACGTTACTCATTCCTTCAAAGATTGATCTGGGATTTTCGCGTCGAGAGGAACTTACCCTTAAACTTCTTAATGTGTATGTCTTGCTTTTTGTTGCGCTGTCTCATTTTTCAGTGCACCCAGTGAGTGTGCGAAGAAGAAAAAATCACATTAATTGTGACGGCTGGCGTCACATGGGTGCTACAGGTTGGTTTCAGCTAAGGTTCCAAGCTATGGTTCAAACTAAGCTCGGATTCCAAAGCTCGGCATTTCAGTGGTCTTGGCCATACCTACTTATCCACTGCCACACCTCACTCTCTCTTCTCTCCTTAGCTTTAGATTCTGTAGGACATTGGAATCATTGATCTTTGCGCCTCGTTCCATCGCTTTGTTCCTGCCGTCACAAATCCGTCCAATTTCTATAAGCTAGTAAGTCAGCTGGATCACGCTCAAGGGGATCCCTTCAGGCTCCCTCGAGAATTGGTTACAGTTTCTATATTGTCTACATATAGAATTTTGTAAATCCTTTTGCCTGCAATACAGCCGCCTCTTTGAGTTTATGAAGATATCATGAAGGTATATGTGGCGGCTCCGCTGGGACGGCCCCAGTCATGTGTAGAGGCCCAGAGGCTGCCCCCACTTCTCACGTGAGCCGTATACCTTGTATATAGCCCTAATCTCTCACACTCTTATCTTATCTCCTTAGCTTTGGATTATCAGTAACTGGGTTTATTAAGCTTCACTCAAAACCTCTGGTTCTCCTTCGCTTCGTGCAGTCACAGGGCTGATTTTGAAAGAGCTTAATGCTAATCTCGTATACTTATTCCTCGAATTTCTCTCGAGACTAGGCATTTCTCTATTCTATAATACTCTATACTTACTTTAGACTTGAACTTAATATTTACTAGATTAGTATTACTATATTACTAGTTACTTTAATTAAAAGTCCCTAAATTTTATAAATAATACTTCCATATTATTTTAAAATTCCTTGCACTTTTAGCTTCGTGATTTTATATAACATCATTAAATTACGTTTTTATCTAAGATCTCGATCCTAGCCTATAGGAGTAATATTTAACTCCTCGTCTCGTCGGTAGTAGTCTGTTTCCCGAATTTATCATCCCGAAGTCCTAGTCTATACGCCAAATCTGCATCCTTGACACCTTCATGTGTCGACGTAATGTAATCCTTGAACGCACTAGACATGCTGACGATTTGGCTTAAATGCTTCTCCTTGATCTCTGGGATGGAATCTTCAACAGAAGCACCCTTCTCTCTGGCCATCTTGGAATCGTAAATGGCAAGAGCAACGGCCGTTTGAAAAGCTACGATTCGCGAATCAGCCATAGACAGATACTAACAGGTGGTAAACGTACCATTGCGGATTTCGCGGCCATTCCATTCCAGCGTCTTGACTTCCTTATTCTTCTTGACGTACTCCTTCGCATCGTACTCATAGATGATCTCTGGTCCGCCGTGCTTGTGGTCTTCCTTGAGTTTGCGAAAGAGGTTATCCCATATCTGCCCCCGCGCTGAGTCGTCGAGGCGCTCGTAACCAATCGATACGTGGATGCGAGACATGAATGCTTCGTCAAACTGGCCTACACGGTTGGTGGTTAAAAACAAGATGCCTTGAAAGTACTCGAGTGCGCGCAAAAAGACTCCATGGAAGGACTTTTGTTAGCAGCTTTCTTTTCGCATCTGAAGTGAGTGATCTTACTCGATACGATACTGTTGCGTTTGAGATCGTTGACTGAGCGCCGCTCGAGATAGACGTCAGCCTCGTCGAGCAATACAATGGCGTCCCAGCTGTTGGCGTCTTTGAAAAATCGGAGAAGATTCTTCTCGAGTTTAACGGGATCGTCTCCTAGATCAGCCGCAGTGATGCTTAACAGTGGCCTTTTTGTATACTCCGCGACAGACTCTGAAGTAAGATCAGTATTTCCTTTGAATTATTGGTCGCTATCCATACCAGCTGTGAGCGTCTTCCCGGTTCCAGGGGGCCCGTGTAAGAGGAAGATTTGGCCTTCCCCTTTTCCGTGGATGAAATCAGCGCTGAAGAGCTCAGCTTGGCCGCTGCTGTCCGCGTAGGTCTTGACGATCGCTTTAATTGTGTCCTTATTTGTTTCGGGTCGCATGACGAGTTGATCGATTGCATTTTCCACCATCCTGGGGTTGTCCAGACCGCTGACATCGAGGAGATCTAACACAGGTCAGGATGCTTCTGCTCCGATGAATTAGATGTTAGGCGAACTCACCGTACGCGCGATCTTTGAAGATAAATCCAAACATGTGAGACATGCATAGCAAGTACTGATGCTCCGAAAGATTCTCAGTCTCCTTTGGATCGATGGCGTCATAGTCGCCGAACGTCACGGATATGCAGTTGTCCTTCACGGTATCGAAATTTATGCAACTACTACATTCGCAGCGAGGGGTCCTAGCTTTTTCGCCAATGTCAGTATCATCATCACCTAAATCCCAATTGAATAATGACTCGAACTCGCTCCCATCCCACGGCTGAGACTCGTGCTCAACAACCACTCGGGTACGGTTGTACTGAGAAGGGGATTAGTACCGCGATCAAGTGGCTACATACTGAGCATGAATAGTTGCTCACCTTCCTCCAGCCTGGCTTTAGCCCTACGCCGGTGTATTCCAGGAACGCGGGTGATTTGGCAAATCGAAACACCTTTTTCCCACGTTCAATAAGCTGCTTTCGCCGCACGCCGTCGTCCATCTTATCTTTGAATCTGGTTGGGAACAACGGTAGTGAGATTATGTCCCGCTCATTGTCAAATACCGGCACGTCGATGACTTCGGATTTCCGTTTGACGACTTTTCCATCATATTTCAAATTCCACACCCTAATGGAGTAGTTCTGAGCTCTGACTGACCCCACCCCCAGCCCTCCAAAGAAGTGTTCAACGCCGCCCAATACCTCTTCGACTACGTACGCGTTCAGCTGTCCATTTCGACGGACATAAACGTCAGACCCAGGCTTCAGCAGCAGCCAAAATCCTGCGAATGTTGTAGTGGGTACTTTCTTAGCCCATTTGGCTTCCAACTCCTTAATCTGAATATTAGGCTCCCGGTCGAGGTACTTGAGTAGTAGGTCAATATGACGGTTACATTCTTCGTTGTACGCCAGCGTGTGATTCGATCTCAGTCCAGTGGTGTCGTTTCTGTAGTCGGACAGCTCTTGTTTATGGTAGAATAGGTCCCCATAGGGGTGTGGAAACACCCCTTCTTTCAGCTGATCAACGTTGTCTCCAGACAGCGTTTCGGATGAGTATTTAATGATCGCCCGCAGCGCGTTGAGCAGAAACGGCGAGTGGATGTACAGACGCGTCCTACCGATGCGGTCTCCGACCTCTAATTTCGGCCCGCGATTTGGGGTGGGTTTTTGCCGACTGTTGTTGATCTGATAGAACGTTATAGATATCTTCTCCTCAAGCACAGGAAGTGTTCGGGCTTTGCTGTCTGATGTCTCTAGGACCACAGAATTGTCAGAGGACGTGCTGTACAGGAATGCCGAGCGTCCATAGGGATCCTTCTCGTGGTAGTCGATCGTGTACTTGATTTTCACTGCATACTTGCCCTCAGAGTCTTTTTTACCCCCCTCAGATTCATCTCGGTACGTATTAGAAACATCGCCAGAATCGGCAGATGAATCCGTGTGGGAATCAGTCTGAGACTGAAGGCGGATTGTGACTGTCCATCCTGGCTCAACCAACATTTCCCAGAGGGGGGGTATAATAACTATATTTGTATCGTCGATCCGAAGTTCGTACTTGCCCTCATCAATCTCCTTCTCTTCTTTGTTGTCTTTATAGGAAAACTTGATAAGGTATTCCATGCCCTACGACAAGTTAGCAGTCACATATGCAAGGACGGCGATTAACGCACCTTCCATGTCTTACAAACAGCCCAGGGCAGCATGTACTGCTTTCCGCCATAGTGTTTCAAAGATATGAAGTTTTTCTTGTTGGCCACCGGCGTTTTGGCTGGTAGTTCTTCCTGAGCTGGGGCCTTGGCGTCCTCTTTTAGTGCATCACCGACCGTAGCCGCGACGGGATCACTCGTAAACTCGGAAGGAGCTTTCTCGACCGGAACAACAAGTCCGGCTTTGGTTATGGTGATCTGAATCTCAGATTCGCTAGCCGCTGCTGGGCTGGCTTTGGGAACATCAGACAAACTCGGTTCTTTTGGAGCGTCCCGGTCCAAACGTACCTATCTCTGCTTTTTCAATCTTTTCTGCTTCTGGGTCCGCATCACCGTTCGGCGGGCTATTGCTTTCGAGGCATTCGGTCTTGGCGGGAGTCGCCTCAGTGGATGGTGTATCCATCGTAGATGTATCGGATGTTTCGTTCGAGGGCACGGGGTTGTCGGCTACAGATTGCTTTGCTTCCTGATCGAAAGCCATTATTGATGGTATGAGCAAGAGTCGAGCGTTCCTTCGTTACAAGGGTCGGCAAAGAGAGGCAATTAGAACATTTGCCCCACAAGAGACAACACCTGAGCAAAACGCGATCTCAGGCACTTCTCTAGCTAGCTCAAATTGGCCGGCTCAGATTCAAAAAGAGGAAGAGCAGGAAGGCTGCGAGATATATGAGATTTACAAACCCCTGTAAACCCCGTTGCTATGAGCAGGCTGAAAATGAGCGCAGCCATGCAACCCTAGAAACCTAACAAAATGCGGAAGAGGCATCATAGCGAAGGGTCGTACAATTCTGCGAGCTATGAATCAGAATCGGTGGTCAAATTCGCAGGTGCATCCGGCTAAAACCAACAGTGCTGCAAAGACTTTTGCTTTTGGGACAGTGCCCCTATAGTCCGACAGTCATTGGCCGCCTGCGGCTCTGCGAGACCTCTCTTCTGACCAATAATTGCACCAACATTGTCCACCTACCCTGGCGCTTCCCCACCACTCGAGCAATATGGCACACGGCCATGCGGTGTAACCCAAACTTACGCCCCGTTTAGGAGGGCTCGTTCAGCTGCGCGCCCCAAATATCCATATGCATCGTTTCAAATGCTGCGTATTTGGCGCCTGGCTCCGCAGTCCAGTGCCGTCCCATACCGAGTAGAGGATTATGGCCTACTACGTAAAGAGCCACCAACGCACCTCCCAATACACCTTCCACTAAATAGCAACCCCAAAATGGCGAGTCCGCAACCGCAGCCTGACGATCTCGAGGCTGAGGTGGTTGAGGGCCAGATCATTATTCGCCGGTTCACGGATGAGCTCACAGGGGCCAATGAACTGGAGCGGTCGACCAAGGCTGCACAAGCTGAGATAGAAGAAGAAGAAAAAACGGAGGAGCAGAGGCGAATGAAGCTGCTCTACGAAAGCCCAGCAAATAGTAGCGCTTCGTAAGACTAGACCCTATCAATTTGTAGCTAATATCTGAGAGAGTTGGCTAGACCGCGAGACTTTGACGTCGCGGAAATCGCAAGGCTGGAGCTGCAGAAGATAGTTGATAAGTTCATCGAAGATGAGAAACCATCGGTACTTCAACGCATGGGGATCTCACACAAGTCGGCGAAGACAAAGGCGAAGGAGATGCTCCAGGATTTCGCGCAACATGATGTGAACGAGCTTAAAGCCTCCGTCGATAATTTAGAGGAGGAGTGGAAGAAAAGCAATGGGGCTGTAAGCCGAGCCCCGGGTACTAGAGCTATCCTACTCCTCTGACATTATTCATCCAGGTATACAGTGCTTTTAAGAATCTGTGCAGAACTCTCGATGACCACAAGAGCATCTTTGCGATATTTCCGTCGCAGAATATGTACACCTCGGTTTTATGCGGGAGCCTTTCTTGCCTCGTGAAGGTGTGTCTTCCAGGTGCAGGTATAGGAGAAGACGACTGATCAACTCAGGCAGCTAAGAATCATCGCGACATCGCTGAGACACTGTCCAAATCCATCGCTCGGATTTCAGAGAAGGTCACGAGATCCTCCAAGCTCATCCTTGTTTTCAAGACCCCGAGGGTAAGGCAAAAGCTCGCAGACATCTATGCCCTCATGTTCCAGTTTTATCACAACGCCATGCAGTGGTACTTGCAGTCGAAGCTCACCAAAGCATTCTGCGCCTTCGACGAAAATCTGAAGAAGGGGTTTGACGATACGACGAACGAACTTGAGGACAACATCCGCGAATTGTATTACGAGGCCGCGATCGGCACCCATGCCAGGCTGGCCATGGTGATGGGCGATGTTGCGTCTCTGAAGGGGGAACGGCGCCGCCAGCGACCAAACTACCCGGCACAGGATACCGCCGCCGGGCAGCGGATGCTCATCCTCATGGCAGAGAGCTGGAGGGACAACAAATCTCCCATACAGGCCCGCCTCGAATTCGCCCAGCCCGGTCTCCCGACAACCGTCTCCGCATCCCGCATCCAAGGCCTGACCGCGGCCGGCATAACACGCGCTCAAGCCCGCGCTCACGGCCCCGCCCTCGAGCCTTTCATCGTCGGCGACGAAGGGCCAGCCCAGTTCGGCGCGGGCCGCTTTTGGGTTGCCGAGGACGAGGTGCTGCCCAAGTTACGAGCATGGATGGTCGAGGACGCGGCGCCGCGAACGCTGTGGGTGGAGAGCCCTCGCGACGCAGCTGGGACGACAAGTGCACGAGCAGCAGCGCTGGCCGTGGTTGCGGCGGCGTGGCAGGCGGAGGCGCCGCTGATTTCACACTTCTGCCAGCGGCCGCAGCGAGATGAGGTGCGGGCGGGCATGAGCATTGAGCAGGTCGGGTTGGTGGGCGTGGTGTACAGCTTGCTTTCTCAGCTGTTGCAGTTTAGCGGGGCGGAGGATCAGTTGGATATCAGTGAAGAAAGCCTCGTGGCATTGGACGGCGGAAAGGCGTCGTGGGGCGCGAGTCTGAAGGCCCTGCGGGCGCTGCTGGACCGCACGCCTGTGTTGATGTACTGCGTGATTGACGGACTAAATGATCTTGAGTGGGAGGATGGCGGGGATTGGTGTCGGCAGTTTTTGGATGTCTTGCTTGCGCGTCAGCGACAAGCCGGTACGGTGTTCAATCTTCTCCTTACGACGGCCGGGCAGTCACGGGTGCTGGCGTCGTCTATAGATTTGAAGAATAGACATCTTGCGACGAAGGGAGCAAGGGAGTTAGCAAGAGTGGGGAGGAGGATTGAGTTATCGAGTAAGAGAGGATAAGCGTTCTTGAGTCATGATGATATGGGGAACAGGCAGGATTGGGACCGGTCTGCTGGGTGAATTGAGGAAAGAAAGGACAAGGAAAGGCATTGTAGGTCGGATTGAGATATGTTGTCTATGAGGGTCTCTTTCGGTGACTGCGCCAACTTTTGGAGGACAACACGCAGGATCGTAACCTTGGTCCTTTCCTTCATATACGTGCGATAGAGTGATGAATCCATAGTGGTCGATAATTGAGATACGGCCAAATTTCGTGAATGGATAGCGCCTATTATGACCCGTTACTACTCAAGAAATTCTCCATTTCATAAGGTATAATATGCGTTAAGAACGGGTAATATTGGGCAAAAAATATTGTGATGTTGTGAGACGAGATGGAAAGGGAAGTTACGATACGGTGAAAATAGGGGTTTGGAGCACTTTCCCTGGTTACCCTACAGTCACGTGAAATAAGGGGGGTAAAATTAGTAACATGTAAGCAAATTCGGGGTAGGGGAAGTAGTTAAGTAGGGTCTAGTGGAAGGAAGGCTTAAAAGAGCAAAGATTTGGGAGCAGGCGCGAGGGCACATTCTCCATGGAAAGAGCCAGGGCCACGCCACGAAAACGGATGAGGAACTTAATTGCGGAGAGCTTCAGTCATGACAGAACTTTACAAACAGAGTTGAAAGGGGCGGAATAATGGATTGCCCAACCTGCGTGATTTCCTTGATGCTCGCAGGTTTCGCCGTCGTCCGCAAGGTAATGTACTGTTGCAAGGGATGAACTTGGAGGGGTTTAACAGAACCAACTGTGGTTCTTGTAAGTTAAAAAGATGAAGATTATAACAGATGCCTGTAGAGCAGCAAGCAAGAACCAAACAAATTGAATCCGAGATGTGTCGGGTTAAATATAATATTCTCGCATGTGAAAAAAGAGGAACGTGATGACAAGATGGACGTCGTTGCTTTCTTTCTTCTTATCGAATCGCTTCTAGTCAGCCCGCGTTGCTGGGTCAACACTACGCGTCAGTAAACCTTGACCGGCGATCAGGAACAACGAACTTCTCAACGACTTCACGACCACGACCATCACGCCTTGAACGACAGCTCACGAAGCAGCATACGATACGATACAAACTGAAACATTCAAGATGCCCGGACGAGTCTCAACCGCCCGATCGTCGCGGTCCTCCGCCGCGGTCTCCCACAAATCCTCCGTCCAAACACTGAACTCGCGCGCATCAACAGCATCAAGAATCTCCTCCCCCTACGTCGAAACTCCCGAAGAAACGCCAGAAAATGAACTACGAACGCAAGTGTCTTCCATGTTCCGCGATGCGCAACGAACAACCGCTTCCCACCGAAAACTGGTGATCAATCTGCGGAAGATCCAGGAAGCATGTTGTTATGAGCCCACGAGCAAGAAAAAGAACAAGACTGGCGCGGAAGATTTCGATGAGGAGCAGTTTACTTACGAATTTACGAGATGCGTGTTGAGAGTTATGCCGGTAAAGAAGAGTGAGAGTGTGGGCGAACGCGCGATTCGGTTTATTGGGTTGTTTCTAAGACATGCGAATGAGAAGGATAATGAGCTTATTCCGGAAGCTGATCAGGAAGCGGGTATTATGGTTGAGACGCCGAGCACACGACTTACCTCACATCTGATGGCTGCGATTCTACCTCTTCTTACGGCAAAGGAGAAATTTGTTCGGTATCGATCAACACAACTGATCTCCCATGTTATCAATTCTTTGGAAGCTATCGATGATGATCTTTTCCAACTATTGCGACATGGTCTACTCAAGAGAATTCACGATAAGGAGGCGATGGTTCGAGTACAGGCGGTGTTGGGACTAGGACGACTTGCTGGTAACGAAGCTGATGGAGAGGCTGAGGACAGCGATGATGACGATTCCGGAGCTGGCTTGCTCGAGAAACTGTTAGATGTCTTACAAAACGACCCAAGTGCCGATGTCCGAAGGTCTTTGCTGGTTAATCTTCCAATCTTACCCAACACTCTACCATTTTTGTTAGAGCGAGCCCGGGACCAGGACCCTGCCACTCGACGAGCTCTTTACTCCCGACTTTTGCCAGCTCTCGGAGATTTCAGACATCTGTCTTTGTCTATGCGAGAGAAACTCCTTCGATGGGGTCTCAGAGACAGAGATGAAAACGTCCGCAAGGCAGCTGGAAAGCTCTTCCGAGAACGCTGGATCGAGGATTGTGCTGGAACTGCTGAAGCTGAAGACGGTCAAGAAGGCGAAGCTGCGGCTGGAGAAGCCAAGCCACCAAGTTTCGACGGCTTACTCGAACTTCTGGAGCGTATCGATGTTGTCAACTCCGGTGTCGAGAATGGAGTTGCTTTGGAAGCAATGAAGGGTTTTTGGGAAGGCCGCCCGGATTACAGAGACGCTGTTACGTTTGACGACAACTTTTGGGATACTTTGACTGCTGAGGCAGTGTTCATGGCACGAAGTTTCAATGATTTCTGCCTGAATGAAGGCAACGGCAAATTCGAGGCATTGATTGAAGAGAAGATGCCCGAGGTTACAAAGCTGGCATTCTATCTTCTGCGCTATATTACTGTTTTAGTCGAGGCCTTGAAGCGGGTTGCCGCTCAAGAGCCAAGTGAGGACGAAGAGGAGGAAGAAACAGTTGAGCAAGAATTTATCGTCGAACAGCTCCTTCACATCGCCCGGACTCTGGATTATTCTGATGAGGTTGGACGAAGGAAAATGTTTGCTCTTCTGCGTCAATCACTTTCTATTCCCGATCTCCCAGAAGAGGTTACCAAGCTCACAGTTGAAGTTCTCCGAGGCATTTGCGCTTCCGATGCAGCTGGAGAACGGGAATTCTGCAGCGTTGTTCTCGAAGCCGTCGCTGACGTCCACGACACTATCATGGATGAAGCAGCCTCTGTTAACGAGGACGAGAGCTTCCACTCGGCAAAGTCTGTGGTTAGCTCAGATGGAAGCCCTTCAAAGTCTCAGAAGACCGAGGAAGAGGACCAAGACAAGGCCATTCGAGAGATCATGGTCAACATGAAATGTCTACACATCGTCCAATGTATGCTCGAGAATGTGGAAGGGAATCTTCAACAGAACGCTAACCTGGTTGCGATGTTGAACAACCTGGTTGTTCCAGCAGTCCGAAGTCACGAAGCTCCCGTTCGAGAACGTGGTCTCCTGTGTCTGGGTCTTTGCTCTTTGCTCGACAAATCATTGGCCGAAGAGAATTTAACCCTCTTCATGCATTTCTTCAGCAAAGGGCATTCAGCTCTCCAGATCACCGCCCTACAAATCCTCACGGACATCCTCAATCAACACGGCGCCCAGACCCTTGAAACCAACCCAGCCCTCCTGAAAGTCTACCTCAAAGCTCTGAAATCCGGCAGCAAGACCCCAGAAGTCCAAGCCGCAGCCACCGTCGCCATCGCCAAGCTGATGCTCGGACGAGTTATCTCCGACTCTTCCCCGGTAATCGAGGACCTGCTCAGAACCCTCGTGGTCCTGTACTTCGACCCCAGCACAGCCCACAACCAAGGCGTGCGGCAAACTCTCTCCTACTTCCTCCCCGTCTACAGCTTCAGCCGGAAAGAAAACCAAGACCGGATGCGCAAAGTAGCTCTCGATGCCCTACACAAACTCTTCGAGGTACAAGAAACGCTCGACGATGAGGGAGATGCTGCGGTGGAGATGGTAGGCATCAGCACCATCGGCGCTCACCTAATCGATTGGACGGATCCAAGGAAATGCTACGTACCAGGAAACCAACTCACGCTCGGTGATGAAGGGTCCAAGAAAGCTGTAAACGGAGACGTGCACCTCGAGTTCGCTCGTGATCTTCTTGAACGATTAGGATCAAGCATTAGCAGTATGTCCCTCCCTCTTCCCTTCACCCACCCTCGTCTGATTCTACTGCTAATGGTTGAAACAGGAGAAGAGAAAAAGCTCCTCGCCCCTCTCCTCCAAAAACTGCACGTCTCACCAGCCTCAACCCATTCCCTCCTCCGCGAAATCTACGCCGAAGTCTCAGACGCCATCAACTCGAAACTCGTCGCCGACGCCACGGGCCGTAATGCTTTATTCAAGATCCACGTCTCTCTGGGCAAGATCGTGAACTCTTTGAAAGAGAAAGAAGACGACAGCAACGATTTGAGGGAGAGTATGCGGAGTAGTGTCAATAGTCAAAAGAGTAGGGAGAGTGTGGCTCCTTCTGTTGTAGGCGAGGAAGAGGATGGTGCGGATAAGACGGTATTGGGGAAGGTGAAGGAGGGAGAGGTGGAAGAGGAGGACGAGGATGAAGGGACGGTGATTGGTGGGCGGAGGGACTCGCTTGTTAGTGAGCTGTTGAGTGATGGGGATGTGGAGATGTCTGGGCTTTGAGTTGAGGCTGAGTTGGGTTCATGAATTATGTTGATATTGGTTTCGGAAGGGCCAGGTTGCGGGGTTTTTTATTTTGTTAGTTTGGTCCCTAATGAATGCAATGAAATACCTTCCTTCAGCCCAGAACTACAATTCGTCGTGGATTTTTTAGCATCGAAGGAGTGAATTTGGACGACTGATTGGTGCTAGGGCTGAATATTGTGAGGAATGAAAAAGAGGCATGTGGAGATGGGTTCGAGTGGGAAGCGAATCATGAAAATCAAGGTGTACCAGAAGTAGCATCATTCTCGCCATTCCAGCGTGCTCGCTGAAAGGATGAATTGCTTTAAGTTGCTCTTTATCTGGACGCCGAGTGCTCAACACGACCTCCCCAAACAGAGCTGATAGGGTATGTCTTCAAGGTAAAGCTGGTCACGATCCTAAAGTTGTTTCCCTGCTTAATTTGATCAGTTCAATTTCCTCCCTTATCTTTAATTTGTACGTCTTACTCCCTTCAGTACATGCCATAGATCTGGATGCTGCGTAGCAGTTGCCTTCTAAATCGTAATATTTCCGAGAACGACCTCACACTCGAGAATATTGTCACATACAAAGCCCATTTGAGAAGGGAAGAATGGCATTCCGCCTGTACCACAGCCAGCATCCGTCCGTCAAACACGAGACAATCGCGACCACGCCCAGGCTCATCAGCGTAAGTAATATGTTCGGATTCTCACTTACCTCGAAGTAAAAAGTCGCCAACGCCAATCCAATCCATAACACCTCCAGGAACACAAGATTCAAAATTTGCAAAGCTCGATAGACATAGCCCCATCGTGCCCCGGGGCCAAGTTTGGCGACCTTGTCTTCTCCTTGTGTATGGACCTGAATTCCATTCATGTGTCCCAAGTCGACGGTAACGCCATCTTGAATATTGCTGACTCCAGGCCAATGCATGATTCCCACCACTGAGAATGGCGAGTTGCACTCATCGTTCGCGTGGATTTTGACCATTTCCGAGATGTCGGAAGAGGTTGGTAGGAGCGACACCGCAGGTAGGTTTCATCATCTGGGCCTGGTGCAGGCTAGCAGCACAAGCAACAGCCAATGAAGCTCTATCGCTGCTTTCGACGAAATCCTCCTGTCTTCAGCGATCTGTATTGAAGTGGTGACGATGAATGATCTAGTTCTGATGAACCAAAGCGCGTATGTGAGGTTGCGAGACCAAAAAGATTGTGATCATTGTTGATTGTACGACACGAGGGAAGGACGTTGGGTGGCGAAGTCGGGAATGTGAGGGGAATATGCAATTAGAGAAGATGCGGTCAAGATAGGGCCGAAATAGCTGAGGTGACGGTCTGGGAAGGCGCACTGCCCCCTCGTTCTTTCCTTTCTGGATCGGGGAACTGAACAACCACTTGGCGGGGACGTTGTTTCGAGAATCAATGATGATGTCGGATGATATTGGAAACATCGTCTGATGTGATATGTGTAGCGATGCTATTTGAGCATCTGCGTATGTATGCTTTGACTCCCCCATTGAGAGACAGCCCAAACCCCTCTCTATATTTCCCCCCATATCTCCTCAAACTCCGTCCCCATGCTATGCATGTTTCTTAATCGAGCCGCCCATAAACACAAGGTATCTTCCCCACCAAAAGTCCCTGTCTAAAAATCAGTTTTCGTCTGTAAAATAGTGTTAAATAGGTTATAATTCATGTGCCTCCGGCTGGCGAAGGATTAACGCCTTCTTGAAAGAAGCTCCTTCTCCCCTCCGTTCTCCCCCGGTCCCTTTCTGGAAGGGCTCCCCCAAGAGAAACTCCTTGCATTGTTCCCGAACTGACATCTCGTGGAACCCTGTCTGCAACAGCGATACTGTGCCGCCTTCGGTAATAATTAGAATTCAATTTCTGAACACGATGACTGTTTGGGATCGTGGGTCCTGGGTGGAGTAGAGTTCCCAAGAGATTCTGTGCTTTAGGCTCTCGGCTCCGACTTCTGTCCACTTTCGTTGCTCCGCCATGGACGGGCTCATTTATCGATGTGCCTGCCGAGCCCCGTCTTCGCATGCGTACGGCAACGTCCTGTGATTCCTTCTCAGAAAGATGTTCGCTTGGGAGCAGAATAGCTCGATCGAGCTCATAAGGCAGGCCACGATGCCGTCCACGGATCTGCATGGCTATGATCACGAGCTTGGCGATGACTCCGAATTCAGCAGAGAAGGAAGCGTTTATGTTCGTGTAGCCAAGACTGAGACCTACGGTACCGTAGGCGCTGACGATTTCGAAGAGGACTGTGAACAGGGTATATGCCGGATCGGCACTTTGAAGCCGGGACCCTTCCGAGATGGAAATAATGAATAGGCCCAAGAAAATGTACCACAAATCGAAGGACAATTGTCGTCGAAGATGGGCGCCGACGTATGAAGGTTCACCCTCGTCCTCGTTCTCTTCAGTTGTAGACCCGTAGATGCCTAGTGACTTCTCCTCGTAGACGTTGGTTCGACGAACAGAAATAGCGATTGGTAGCACTGAAATGTACATCATGAGCATGTAAGACACCTGGATAGCCGGATGTAGCTCGGCAAGATTAACCACACCAAAGCCAGCTGTACGAGTAGACACAGCTTGAAACCAGCCATCCAGGACTCGGATGTTGACCGGAAGCTGAGTGACAATCGTGTTTCCGAGCTGAGTGAAGAAATTAGCACGGGAATGCAAAAAGTGTGATTGAAACGTACATCAAGGACAACGAAGAATATCAAGTCTAGACCGTTCAAAATAACCAAGATCCAGAACAGCCACCAGGTTGCCTTGGCTGGAAACAACAACGTGAAACATCGGCGAGGGTGATCGAGGAGAAACTGAAGCTCTTCCCATATGCCACTCTCCTTAGGTACGTACTTGCTTGTGACCCAGATGACGATTCGAAGCATGATTGGAAACCCTGTATTTCCGACGATGATCAGAAAGCTCATCAATAGGAGAGGCCAAATGGCGGTCTGGAAGGATATCATGCTATCCGGAGTGAGTGTGAAGCCCAGATCAGTAAATGCTGAATTCGCCGTGAATATTGCCCACCAGGTCCTTCCTTGGCCGTCATTCGTAACAACCTGCCCGTAAGTCTTACTATGCAAGATCCAGGGCACTAAGGAAACAAGCCCGAAGAGCGAGAAGCCCCAGAAATAGATCGTCAGAATCAGTGCCAAGGACTTCAAGGACCTGTACTCAATACCGCCCAACTCTTCTCTCTGCGCTTCTGTGAGATCAACAAAGGCTGAGTTACGTCCTACGGTGGGTTCCCAACTCAAATAGGGCATACCATCCTCCTTATCCCTCGACAAAGCGGTTCTTATCGACTGAAATGTATTGGATCTCTGTCTTGAGGCGTGCGGGTGAGTTTCGTCCTGATGTAATTTCTCGCCCTTGAGTATCCTGGGTTTCCGTAATCTCAGTGCGTTCAAGACGTGCTTGGCGGCAAGAGTATCCTCTGCCACGTGCTCCGCCACATCTTGCGTGGTTGGGGAACGAACTGGCTCTGCAATTGTGATCTGGCGTCGTGGAGCCCCGTTGCCCGCATCATGGTCATCGGTGTTGAGGTTGGCGACGTCTCCACTCGTTCGGCTTTCACCAAATGTCGATGCTCTTCTCGAAATTACTTGCGTCATCGGATCTGACTCGTCAACGGCTTCTGGTGTCAAGCCCGCATCGGCATCTCGAGGCCCAGGAATGCGGAGGACCTGCCCGTTGTCGGAGTTCCGTTGGCGTTCAAGAAAGGCAATATGATCCTCATGACTCCTTTGTACTGGCACGCGTAGATCATCATCTGTCATGCCATTGCTCCGCGTCACTTTGTCTGCAAATTTGATCTGTGGTCGATGACCTCCGTCGGTGGGACTGGCGGAATCGTCCTTTCCGGCTTCGGGACTTTGGCCACTGCCAGAATCGTTCGAAGAACGAGCCCTCTCCTCTTTAGCCAAAATTTTGGCTTTTTCGAGATGTTCATGCAAGTCTCCCGGCTTAGCAGTATCATCCGTCATGCCATTCGCTGTTGTTGTGTCGTGCATAACAACAATCTTCCGCCCGTCGACTCCCCTCTCTTCTCCATCAACGTCTCGTTCGCCCGTCTTCGCTTTCGAGAGAGTTTTGGCGATGCTTCTGCGGTTCTTCGAGGCCTCCCTGACGACATGCTGGAAGCGCTTCTCGAACCAGTACAGCCGAAGGAACACGACAAAACTGTTGATTGTGATGGGGTTGCACATCATCGCTGAAATGTACAAGACCACTTGCTGCCATGTATTGAGCCGGTTGATGTCGACCGTATTCAGTCCGCTCTGCGTGGATGCCCCACTGGCTAGGAATAGGGCGTCGATGTACCTAACACCTCCTCGTATGTACAGGCATATGGAGCCAAAAATTGCCATTCCAATGATCCAGAAGTCTGCGGGGAAAAGGTCGTCAGATGGCAGAACAGCCTGTTCAGGGTTGTAACTTACAATGTACAGTAATGAAGTTGAAATGGGGCGTCTTTGAAATGAAGGCAGGCTTTAAAGAGGCAATATGATGCCACACATCGAGGAGAATTGAGAACATATTGGCGGTTCGAGGTGACCAGCACACAGATGGCAATGCTGTCTTCGAGTTGAGATCTCCCCACCAGTATCGTGGCCGCGAGCGGTTGCAACGGTGCTATGGATTGGAAGGGTCTGGCTCGAATGGATGCATTGTCGCCATGTTAATTTGTTGGTGCGAGGTTAATTGGCCATGGGAGGCGAAGAAGAGAAGGGAGAAGGTGGAGGGAGTTGAGGTCCAAAGTGAAGTGAATCGAACAAGGTGGCTCGGATCTCGGGCCTGGACTTGGTTGGCACCACGATTAAAAAAACGCCCTTGTTGGCTTCCGCGATAAGGTCTGCTGCGAGTGTGGTCCTCAGTATGGTCGAGGATTGAGTGAGGTGGCAAGCCGGTGCAGTCAGCAATGCAGGAGTCGTCAATGGAGTCTTGACTCCTGCTTCCTCCTCTCCTATGAGAGGAAATTGAGGCCGAAAGCGGCGCGAGATTTTCTTCAAGAAGGTTTGTTTGGATCGGAGGGGAGCTCTTCGTTGGGTTCAGATCCGACAACCCCTGCTCTCATTTGCCGCGCCCATTTTAAACTTTAAAGTCGTCATTGGCTCGGGCATTAGATTCCCCGGCTCCGAGCATTTGTTCTAGCTTTCGTCTCAACTTTTGATTTTTGATATCTTATTCTTCAACGCCCCTTGGTTTGCTGTGTGCTGATTTCAACACTTTACCAATCCCGAAATTGCTGTTGGTTCATGATCTAGCCAGCTGTTCAATCTTTGTCATCACCTTGCAGGGGATATGGCTTTGAAGGGAAGGGACTGCAGCCTCAAATCATCTGAGAGCCATCAATGACATCTTTGCTTTCATTTTTCTTCTTTCATAAATAGCCTTCTGCGAGTGCAGCTCCTGCATCTAGGCCACTTGATCTGGTACTAAACAGAATAATGTCCCAGAGAAGGGTACGGATTGTGTGGCACACTGTGGTCTCGTCCAGGGAACGAGCACAGGGATGTCTTCTCCCGGCGAGTGCTGCATATCTCGTGAGGGTATCTTTTCTTTGTGTACTGAAGGGCGCAGCAAGTGTTCGTTACATCAAATTCAATCCCGGAAGGACCAGGTATCTTCAAGCAAAATCATATCTCATCAACACACCCACCATCATCTCAACTCATATCCACGGCAACAACTGTATCTAGACTCTGAACATCCAACTGCATTCCACGGTCACCTTCTTCCACAGGCACATCCTCCTCGGTTTCTTCAGGCATCGCCTCCTCAGCAATTATTACCGGGTCCAATGGCTTAACCCTCAATCTGCTGTCGAGCAGGTCAATTTCCCGTGCAAGTCCTCGAATACCAGCAATTAAAACATCGGTTCTTTCCCAAGGAGAAAGACCAGATTTCCCTGCCGCTCTTTGCGCAAAAACAACATCATGCTTAGCATTCGCCCATGCCGGGCATACGTAATCACCATCAACACCATCACTGCCGAACACCGTCACAGCAACCCGCCCTCTCGTCCTCTTCTGTTTCTCCAGTACTCCCACTTCCTTGACGGCAGCAGCCCAGAATCTTGCTGCACCCTCTGGCCCTGGCAGCCACGCCAGTTGGGTAACGTCGATGATCTCCGGGCGAGTCAAGCTATGCTGGGGACTCTTTCTCCTCATAGCACTACACACCAAGCTCAACAGCCCCACGGGAGAATCACACAACGCATAAGCAAATGTATTCGGCTCCCTCAAACCCACCATCCCGACCGCACCGTACCCTCCAGCAGTTCCCACTCCCAACAAAGGTCTCTCCTCATCGTTGATTCTTTGTCCATTCTCGGTCTGCTTGGCCACCTTCGCACTTTCCCTCAACGCCACCCAATCCGCCTCCTGATACCCAAACAAACTCATATGAAAGAACCTGGCCAATGCAAACTTCGCCCACCCCCAAGTCTCCCTCCCAAACCTCGGCCTCTCTACACACGGCTCCAGTAGATGCACTCCCAAACAGCTTCCCGGAAACTTCTCCCCAACTATCCCCGCGAGATGGTAATCAATCTCACTTGGGCTTTCCCTGCCTGATCCGGTTGCGGTTGCGATGTAGAATTCATATCCCAGCCGTCGCATCAGGGTATCGAACACCTCCGCCGTCTTCTCCAGCAGACCATTTTCGCATTGGAATGCGTCGCTGAACCCTAAGCCGGGGATACTGGGGACTACTAGATGGAACGGTTGTGTGGATGTTGGGCTTTTCGGGTGGGTGAGGGGCGCAAAGAGAGGGGTGAGCGAGAGATTTGTCAGTGGAAAGGCCGGAAGGAGGAGGAGCGGGACGGCATGTTTGTGTGGTGATTTGATGTGCAGGAAGTGGATTCGGAGAGGGACGCTCGTGCCTGATGACGGGACTTGGATTGCAGTGCGGTATTGAGGGAGGGTGGCGTTGAGATGTGATTCCTGCGAGCGTCAGGTGTAATGTTCAAGCCTGGATGGAACATTAGCACGCGAAAACGCAACTACCCACTGGTGGGCTCTTGAGGGAGAAAGGAGGGGTTACTGACCAGAAGTCTATCAGCGGTTCAATCTCCGCCTTTGGAGTCCCATACTCCCATTCCCTCGCCCTGGGAAGCAACAACTCATGCGGCAATCTCGTCAACTCGAGCTTCTTCCTCGTCAGATCCAAATACTTTGACGACACCTGTTCCAGTACATGTTAGTCCCGTCATTGTGTCTCTCTCTCCTCCGGCGCATCCACATGACGAGACAAGCACAAGCAAAGAAAACTCACATGTATCTTGTATGGACGAATCTCCTCGCCCATCCCAAGAGTTGCAACACTGGCTTCCATCTTCACTTGAAGTCTTAGCTCGACTTCTTCTACCAAAGTGGTTCCTCAAATTTACAAACTTCGAAAGGCTTATTCAGACGTCGTCGGAAGTCTGTGTGAAAAGTTGCCTGACGCCAATACCCTATTCATTCCCCGTCAATACGTGGCTCAACTGTGGCTCACGCACTCTTTATCCCCATCTTCACCCCTGCCAGGGCCTGGAAATTGCCCCTCACGAACCCTGGAAAACTTGTGCTGGGGCGCCGCTAATTGGAGACGGGAAATGATCGGCAGGGCCAGGCTGCACCGCAACACAGCTCCCCCCAACGTCGCGAGTTTTGATTCGCTGCGAAAGAAGCATAAATCTTGGAACGAAGACCATTGCTGCATGGGAAAGTGGGAGAGGGGTCGAGAAAGGAGATAGGTCCGAAGAAAGTGGTATGATTTGCCGCGCTGGCCGGAAAGGCGAATTTGAGCGCGTGGCACGCGGCTCGCCACAGTTGCTCTTGCCTTTCGAGCCCGGTCAACCAAAGAGGCGAGGCTGGGCTCTCGATCTTCGACTTTAAAGTATCATTCCGTTCTGACAGATGCGTCAGCAAGGGGGCTTGTTATTGGCAGTTGCCCCTGACTTTCCGGCAATAGTTGCCTGGGGAGAAGAACCGATCGAGTTTTTACCCGACGTTACACGGACCAATACCAAGCCCCAGAGGAAAGTGCGCATCAGATAACCCCTCCTCTTCAAGGATGCTGAGCCTTATCTTCAGCCTCCATTCATCGTGAAGAAAAGCCTCCCTCTTCACTCACATTTCATGCTTTCGCCGCGCGAAAAACTCGTTGCTGTATCCTTTCTTTTCCACAACTGCAGATTAAGCCCTCCCGTCCATCCTTACTTCTCGCACAACGCTTCGACGAGGGGGCGCCTTGTGAGTCCCATGGGACCGTGATTGCTTCATCTTTTACCTTGGGGCTACCTGAAGTCCTTCTGCGCAATACCTCCGATTGAACGACCCATGAGCATCAATGGATCAACTCTGCCCCGGCTGTCGGTATCTTCTCTACGAGTCACACTACAGCGAGTTAGCGAGATGGGCGAGTACTTGGGCTCAAGAACACCACGGGAATTGCCAAGCCTTTCGGGCAGCAGCAACTCAGGGTGGTTGCAGAGTATGCGCATTCTCGAGCTTTCTTTTCCCATTTGAATTTCTCAAGAATTTTTGAACATTTAAGGTCAAGATCCGCGAGTTGTGCTGGTGGATGGCCATCTAAGGTTGACGATTGAGCAATGCTGACTTGAGATTGTCTAGGATTGCATTTCAATATATCGGAGTTTTTCCAAGGAAGGGCTATCCCAGGCAAACGCTAGCCCAGGAAAACGGATTTATTGTTCTATCCCTCGATCCAGCTCCGGAATCCCATATTCGTACGCTTTTGAGTTTCATGGGCCAGATATTTGGTTCAGCAAAGTATTTTGTCGCTCATCCCTCGATGGTAGTTCCGTTCTATAGCCCTGTTGAACAGACACTGACCCAGATAATTTAGCTTCAGAGAAGGCACTCGTCGAGGAGCAGACACCCCAAATCGACACAGTGGGGGGGGGTCGTTTTACTTTTTCCCCGTTGAGTTGGGAGACAGTGTTATGGCCTCACCGCTCAGGCACCAAATCTTGCGGCCCAAACAGGGCTGTTTGAACCTTGATTCGATTCCCCTACTCAAACTCAGGAAATCGATAATCTCAACTCAACGGTACACTGTAAGAAGCAGCCATTGATTCACTCCACAGCAATCGTCCGCCTTGACCACACACACTGTCAAGCCACAAGAACGATCCCAAGATATCTTCGACACCTTCCCAATCGTCTATAACCAGCCTCCTCACAATCCAAGCGAGTTGCGAAGCAAACCAGTGTCTCTCCGGGGTATCTAACGCGGCTATCCCTCCTAATACCAGCATCCATAACAGCACACCCCCCAATTCAGCCCCGAAAGTTCTGATGTCCAAAATTCCAATCGCTATCATAAGACGGCGAACTAATTCTTGCAGCACACTGTGAGAATTGGGGACTGGAAGGACGACACCCACACCGTAGATTAGAGCCGTTAAACGGCAGCACTCATAAATATTTGGTTTTGGTTTCGACGAGGACGAGGGTATGCTGAGTTCTTCCGCGGTTTGGAGTAATAATAGCCTTTGCTGAATTGCAGTCCGCACTCTAGCTATTGCGCCAAGTTTGAGGCCAAACGGCTTGCCTTGGAGGTAATAGTCAACCGCAAGGGTAAAAGCGCTGATCGAGTCTAAGACTTGAAGCATGGACTCTGTTATCCCGTACTCTTTCAAGCTCTGAAAAGCGGAAGCTTGCGTTTGAATAGCCGGACGAGGCGGAGATATTGCCCAGGCTTTGAGGCTAGGGATGGAGGCTGTGTGGATTCTGAGTGGAGGGAAGCGAGGCTTTGCGAGAGAATTGGTTGATGAAATGATGTCTCCTCTAACTACAATTAGAAACCAGCACAATAGAATAAGGGAGGAGAATTCCACTCACGAGACAATAATCTCCGCCAAGCCATAGAGTTCGAGGTTTTCGAGCCCGCCTCTCATTCTGATGATGTCCGCGACTGCCTTCGCGTGCTGTGGAACGGGTTTGTAACTCCCATACATGTTCAACCACCTGAGGCTTCTGAGCGGGGAGTTGAAAGGACTACTGTTCCCCTTCTTGCTAATGGAAACTTCTGAAGCGAGGATCAGGATCGCGAGGATAATTTCGTCGCGCGAGGCCTGGCGGGGATCAGATAGCGCCTGGCTTAGCTTTTGGATGACGATGAGTTTGTGGGAAAGGGGTTCGGGTGCGTTGGGGAAGATGTTGGACCAGCGCATGAAGTCGAGGTGGTTGGAGCCTACGTAGATTAAGGCGTGAAATAGTAGAGGTGTTTGGAGGCCGGATGCAAACCAGGCTTTTGAGAGACGGTCGACTTCGCCGGGTGCGACCTCATCAGGCATAAGTCCGGGGAGGAAGCAAGTGACAACTGGAAGTGTATGAGTCTTCAGTCTGAGGAGATCGAGGTATGAGGTTCGCTTAAGGGGAAGATCGCACGCACCGTGGTCTATCAATTCTAGTGAGGAACGGCTCGGCTCATCCATGGGGAAGCTCGAGAAGGGATCAACTCTACCAGCGCCAAGAGCTTCGACAGGACTAGGCTTCAACAGTATTTTCCACATGGACGTCCCTGGGATCAGGCTTCCATCTTTCGACAAGTATCTCTGCTTGAGCTTTGGTCTGCTGAGGGGCTGTCCACAAGCCTTGCAATATGTTGTAAGGCCTCCTTGAAGTTCACTTGGCTCTAGAGTTTCGGTAACAGTAGAAGGCGGGATGCTGTTACAGGGCGATTCGTTGAGCTTAATCAGTGTTGAAGCTTCAGATAGGGAGCCCGAATCCCGAGTTGAGAACCTCAGTCTTGTTTTGGGAGATGGACAGTCCCTATTGTGTTCTAAATAACAGGAGGTATCAGATTCTAGACTTCGAGTCGTGAGGGGAGCATATTTCGGCCGTGATGTGGCTCGTTTTCCAGCAGTTTTGTGAGTTTCCTTGAATTGCTTCGAGTTGTATCTCCGAATATGAGAACGAACATCGTGGCGCTTTCCCGGCTTGTAAGACGGTGCATCACTCGTCTCGTTCACGAATAAGAAGCTAGATGGCCCAGACGTGCTGAGTGGTGAAGAAATAATTTCTTCGTCGTCGGAAGTCCCCGGGACAACTGTGCTGTTCATTTTCAGTCGCGGTGGTTCCTTGTAGGGCGGTACCCTAGATATCTGGCGGCGCAGTTTGTGGTCACGAGCTCTATAAAGCCGTCAGCCAATGGGCAGCATCGTCAGCCCCTTAGCCTAAGTAAGGGTCTGGCGGCTGATAGCTTGGTAGGGCTATCCTCAATATTGCACAATTGAGTAGATAGCGGAGCTTATAACGAGCTGCGACAGGAAGCAGGATGTAGGTTGATGATTCATCAGTCAACAAAGGTAAAGCATTTGACACCATCCGCCGAACACTCCAATCATGAGCTTAGATTAAGATGAGGGGTTAGGGTAACCCTCGCTTAATTAGCACTGCATTCCTGCACCTCCCTGCATGCTCTCGTGAGCAACTTCCCGCTTCAACATGATCTCAAGGTGTAATCTGGTGGGCAAAATCTCAATATCGTCCGCGTGTGCCTGCAGAGCTCTCTCTGTCTCAGCACAACCATTATAAGTGTATCTAGAGAAGCGCGGTCCAAAAAGTGGCCTCTGGGGGTGACGAATGAGACGGGAGGTTCGGGAGCACTTGCATTATACTTAAAATTTGAATTTGAATTTGAGTTACATTAGTTTCTCTGACATTCTTTACTATCCTTTGATTGAGACACTTAAACTATATTACAACAGTTATAGGCTTTGCGACATACTTCTGCTCCAAGAAATTAATATCGTCCTCCGCGAGAAGCCCAGTCTTCGTCTGTGCAAGGCCCTCGACGGTCTGATTGACTCTGTCGATACTTCCAAGTCCAACAATCGGGATTACTCCTTTCGCAACACACCAAGCCACTGCCACAGTCGCCATACTTACGCCCTTCTGTCGAGCAAGCTCTTCCACGCGCCCAATAATCTCGATATCTGCGCTCGTGGTCTCGCCCAATAGAAACTCGCTGTATATATCAGCCTTCTGTCGGGTCGTTAGTTGCGAGCCGTATGGCCGAGTGAGCAGGCCCCGCGCCAGCGGCGAAAAGGGAATGATTCCAATGCCAGTGTATTGACAATAGGGAATCATTTCCCGCTCATTCTCACGGTAGAGCAAACTGTAGTAGTCCTGCATGCTGATGAACTGGTGCCAACCATTCTGCTTAGCGATGTTCTGAAGGGCCTGGAACTCCCACGCGGCCATCTGAACAGGAGTTAGCGTGAAGATTTCAGGTTATAGAAATGAGCACGCAGCTCCAACTGGTATCTTACCGAGCAGGCCCCAATATACCTCGCTTTCCCACTCGCAACAACATCATTCAATGCCTTCATGATTTCCTCCCGCGGAGTCTCGCGGTCCAATCGATGGATCTGCAATACGTCGATATACGTGCCGAGACGGGCAATACTCGCGTCCACGGCATCGAAAATGTGCTTCCGTGACAGCCCGACGCGATTCACCATTACACCATCGTTAACTGTTGTCCTCTTCAGTATTTCCTCTTCATCCAAATTCTCCATATCTTCTGGGAGGCCGGCGTAACATTTAGACAAGAGCACCACGCGTTCGCGAGGGATACAATATTCGCGGAGCGCTTTGCCAATGATACGTTCTGAGTCCCCGTTCGAATATGTGTCAGCCTATATATCCTTAGTCAGTTTCTTCTTCTTCTTCTTTTCTTCCAGGGGCTATGCGGAGTAGGTGGGAGGGTTACGGTATCCCAGGTGTTAATTCCCAGGTCAAACGCTCGTTTGAGTATCGGCAGTGCTTGGGCTTCCGGAAGTGTCCAACTCATCGACCTTGATGGGTCGCCGAACGTCATGGTGCCCAAGATCACCTTGGAGACCTTCAGGCCGGACTTTCCTAGCCTGGAGATTTAGTGTCAGCTTTGCGCCTCGTAAATTTTCTTGCTTTGGCGGGGGTCATTTGGCTGTTGAAGTTCTGACGTCTGCGGGTGACACATACTGGACGTACTCCATTGGGACTGGCAAGTTCTGTTGTCAAAAAGAGGTTTCTCTGCAATGGGGACTACTGTAGCAGTGAAAAAACCTCTCTATTCCGAGCAGGGAAACATGCTTAATATATGTAATTACTCGTGGTCAGAACAGAATTGAATTATGCCGAAGTTTACATATCTGTTAGTAACGGATTCTATTGATGTCCTGCAGCTATCGTAAGCATGCAGGAACTAAACGAGAAGAAAGTAAATCTGGCGCTAGGAATAAGATCGAACAAATTGAATATACCGCAAGCCACCGAGCCAGACTGGTCTCAATACGTGGCAAAAGGTTTCACCCGGCAGGCCGGTATTAGTTACGATAGAGGATTAAACATATCCTTGCCCACGTATTAAAATATTGATCTAGTCATTCGAGCTACCCTTCACCTTGAGAATTGAACAAATAATCATTATTACCAGGGATAGCAAGACCGCTCGCCCCTCATCTCACACCACCACTGCGTCTGTTTATAGATTTCTCCTTCCACACCACCAATCAAGATCCACCACTTCTTCATAAACCAACCTTGCGCTTCCCAGCTCCGTATATCCCACGGGGCGCCCGATCCCATCGCCGGACTCCCACCACCTAGACTTGATCCCCAGCAAATCAAACCGTCGTTTTCAAGGTCTTTGCACAACTCGTCCTCATCGATCATTGGCTCCTTAGCACAAGCGAGTTTGATAAGACGTTCTCGGAAAGTAGGGAATGGAAGCACGTCGATATATGGATGGTGTCTGTGCATTAGCTGCGTGGCACAGGGTCGTAAGTGCGTCTTCAGATCTAGGAAATCGCTGAGGCACGCCCCCTTACAGCGATATTAGTAACAATCGTCTAAATCGCATTTTAAGCGAGGGCCAGGAAGGGCGCGAAAAGGGTCGCGAACACCAAAATCACGAAATTATTTTCTACGATTTCTCAATAACAATAGCCTTAATTGAAACGCTAATAGGCTTAAATTAATGGGGGCATTTGGGGCTTTCCATAGCCTAGAGGGTTCTTTAGCTAGAAGCATATTAATTATATAGTTTAGTAAAAAGCGATTTTACTCCTAATTTTGGTGTAAAATAGTATTAATTCGCCGGCCACGGTCCTAAATCTTATTAAAATAGTCTAAGCTCTTAGAGAGAGTAAGGGGGTATCCAGGGCTTTCTTTATATAAGAGGGCTCTTTAGCTAGAAGCGGATTAGTTATATGGTCTAGTAAAGGGCGGATTTTACTCTTAATTTTGGTATAAAATAGTATTAATTCTCTAGCTATAGTCCCAAATCTTATTAGATTAATAAAAGCTCTTAAAGAGAGTAAGGGGGCACTTATATAAGTTATTTAAGCCTTATAGTACTAAGCCTAGAAGTGTAGTTTAAAAGTTATATAGAGAAGTAGTCAGAGGGGTACAAAAATCGAAAATCGAGGGGCTGGGCTTGGCGAGGCTTGGCGCGCGAGGCTAGAAAATCGCATTTTTGCCCGATCTCAATTAACTTAATAATTATAAGCCCAGAAGAGGACCATAGTAGCTTAAATTAATCGCACCACTGCCCCCATCTATCTTAATTAATATTATAGAGTTTTATTAATAAATGGTGATACGGTCGATATGTGGTTGTGTTGTGGGTTTGGTGTTCCTGACCCTTTTTGCGCACGGCTTAAAATGCGATTTAGACGATTGTTACTAATATCGCTGTAGCGGCTAATTCCGAGACGGAGTTGCGGAAGAAAGGCGACTCGGCGCTGTCGCAGTTCAAACCATCGAGAGAGAGTCCTAGAGACGATGCATTGGCGACACACGCTGCGACGAATAGGACTTGCTTGATTCGGATGTTATTTCTGGGAATATCGGGTACGGATGCCATGTATTCTTTGTTGGCATTTTGCACTACCAATATTTTGTCCGTACGGAGTTTTGTACTATTGGTGGCACACCCTTCTCGGCCGTCGTAAGAGGTAGAGCAATCGGCGTCTACCAAAGTCTCGTGTGAAAGCGCCTTTAACCCAGCTTTCAAAATACCCCGCAGGTCTATCTTCTTCTCCAAGATTTGGAGTCTCGTCTTTTCGTCAAGAACTAAACCCGCTTGTTGAAGTAGCTGACCAATTATGCCACGCTCTTGGGAACTTTCAGAGGTCAAAGGCAGCCCTATTACGGGAAATAATTGATGCTGGTCATCTGCGATGAATAAGCTACCGCGTGACTGCCCTGTTCTGCCCAATGAGCCATCTCTGCTCTCCGCCTCTGTAAAGACTCGTGAATGAGAGCGCGTTAAGGAGGCATTATAAACACCATCTACCTCTGGCGAAGCGTTGGTGCAAATGCCCATCCCAGGCTCGATATTTCGATCACCCTTATTTATATGATCAATAAGGAGGCCAGGTCTAGACCCAGCTATGTCTTGGAGGACCTGCAAATTCCTTCTTTGACGCTCTCCTGACCAGACATGAGATTAGTCTTGCAGTGAAATGCCATTTCCCGCATGCATTGGCTTACGGTAATTTTTTTGTGCTTGCTTATTTTGCGTCCGTCGTCGCTCGGAGATCTGGTTTTTGGGCCCCGTTTCTGCGGACATGCTTTATGATAGTTTGCGCTAAAGGAAAGAAAGCTCTCCTAGCACACACGAACGATGTGGAATTGTTGCTCACCAGATGCTTTGCGTGAGGTGACGTTGAGGATGGGATGTTTGCTCACGAGAGCATGCAGAAAGGATGCAGTAGTGCTGTGTAAGCGAGAGTGCATATGCACCCCCCCGGCAGTGCGTTGGGATGGCTGCGAAGGCACAGCAATAAAGGGACCCGCAATTTAAGTCCGACATCACACCTGCAACTTCCACCATGAATGCCTTACAGACACAGATAGATAGCCATTTCTTTCCTCCCTGCTCCACGCCATATAATCACCACGAATCTCTCCTGTCCGCATATCAGAATTGCTCTTCCCACTTTATTATTCATTCCACTGCAGCCTCGTTGCAAATTCAGACAATGGCACTCATTACTTCACGCTACGCACCAGCCCATATCTCCCCAAAGGGGCCTGGCGATGCAAGACCAACTGCGCTACAAGTAATTAAGGACGAGGGATTACTTGATGGCCTTCCCGGAAAAACTGTCTTAGTGACTGGTGCCAACGACACTACAGGGCTCGAGACAGCCCGAGCTCTCCATATGACAGGTGCCCGGGTCTTTATAACCACACGTACCGTCGAGAAAAATACCACGGCAGTCCAGAGCATCGTTGACAGTAATGGCGGGGAGAAAGGGGGGATTGAGGCGATTACTATGGAGCTTGGAGATCTCTCTTCTGTGAGAACAGCAGCCAATGAATTTTTGTCAAGAAGTGACAAACTGAACATTCTGGTGTGCAATGCTGGTAACTAAAACTCTATCGTTTTGGGAAATGAGCGGCGTTGACTGATATGGTTTTAGGTGTATTTGCACAGAGCCTGGAACGCACAACAGAGGGTTTTGAGAAAGATTTTGGCGTCAATCATATGGGACATTTTGTTTTCTTTCAGCAGCTCAAGGCAGCCCTTCTCGCATCATCCACGGCTTCGTTTAATTCTCGCGTTGTAATGGTCGCTTCCACAGGCCATCGCATGGGCGAAATTCATTTCGATGATATCAACTTCGAGCATCATGAATGGGATCCTGTACTTGCATACGCCCAGAGCAAGACAGCCAACATTTACATGGCCAATTATATCGACAGGAAATATGGCGGGCATGGGCTCCACGCCTGGTCCCTTCAGCCGGGAGGAATTTCCTCGAACCTGGTAGGATCCGAGGAGGCGAAACAAGCCCTATACAACAATCCGGCCGTCTTTCCATATGTTAAGACCACTGCGCAGGGTGCGGTATGTTTTCCCCGATTTGGCTTCTGATCCTCATGTCTCACGAGTTGTGAGGCATTCAAAGTTGCTGGCCGAGCAAATACTGACTCGGAGATTCTGTAGGCAACATCCGTATGGGCTGCTGTTGCGAAGGATCTGGAAGGCAAAGGTGGCAAATTTCTGGAAAGTATGCAAGAAATTGGGGTCTGGACGGGGCCAGAAGAGAAGCGCGTGGATTGGACGGATTCGGGATATGCTCCATATGCTTACAACGACGAGAAGGAGAACCAATTGTGGGAACTAAGTGAAAAGCTTATTGAATACTCGTGTTGAACTGGTGGTGCACAAACCTGGCTAGCCAGGCTAGCTTACGGATCCTTCCAGCACTAGGTTCAACCACTAATTTAGCTGATGCCACTATCGTTTTTACTATCGTTTGACTATTGTTTTGACTATTGATAGCTTGGCACACACTAGCTAGCCTGTTCGGTACAGCTAGCTAGTCATATACGGAGAACACTCTTTACATGCTTTTTAGGCACACACGTTACTGGAGCTAATAGCTATATAAACAATGCTTTGCATCCTCTTCTTTACTCTCTTCACGCTTCATTTTACTTGTATTGTAGCTATTACGCTCTGCTAGTCATTAATCTAATCGTTTTGTACCCCTAATATCACACCCAGTGCAAGAGGTCATGGGCCCGGCCAACACTTAAACGCCTGCAAAACGATTCCAAGCGTTACTCTCTAACCTCAAAATTTCACTGCATTATTTTCGGATTTTATTAAAATCATTACTTTTATTGGATCGCTCCCACTGCCTCGGCTTCGCAATAGCAGTATTCACTAAAAAACACAGCCTTTTTCGGTCGAAACTTCTCTGCGGAATCTAATATACCGGATACCAAGAAAACGACTTATATTACTTATAAAGGAACTAAGGTTAAGCCTCTCTCTAATACTAATATTTATTCCTGGATGGATATAGCTATAAATATCCTTATTATTAAAGATTTATAATAGTATATTAACTTTTCTCAAGTTATTAATCTCTTAGAGAAAGCCTAAAAGAATAATAAAGCTATTATATATTAATTTGTAATAATATAATTAGCAATAATTCAAGAATCTAAATTATATATATTAAGTCTAGACACGAATTTTATTTAAAGCTAAATAATTAAAAGTAAAAAGAAAAGCCTTATACTAATAATAAATAAAAATTATTACTTTTAATAATAAGGAAATAAATGATTTTATTAATTATATTAGCTATAAAGTAACTAAAATTAGAGATATAAATAATTTAATTTTAAATATTATTATTATTAGATATTTAATTCGCGGCTTATTAAAGAAATATAACTTTTATAAACTTTTCTTAAATTTTAATAAACTTAAACTAAAGCTTTTTAAAGTAAATATTATTATTAAAGAAAACAAGCTTAAAATTAAATTCTTTAAATTAAATTCTAATATTACTTTAAAAGTACTAGTTATTTAAATAATAATATTTATTATATATTTTACTAGTTTAATAACTATAATATTAAGAATTCTATTATATATAAAAGGGCTTGAAAATACTTTAATTTTACTAGAAAAAATAATAATTTTATTAATTAAAAGATATATTAATTTTATTTTTAAATACTTATTTATAAAAAATATAAAATATAAAATATTTAATTATATAATAATTTTTAGGAATATTTAATATATTAATTCAAGTATTATAAATTGCTTTATTAGTAATTAAAGGTTTTTTATTACTTATAAAAATATTAACTTATTTTTAAATATTTTTAATAATAAATTAATAATTCTTATTAAAAATAAAGAATTATAATTTTAATAATTTTAAAAAATAATTTTTTATTAATTTTAAAATTATATTAATTAAAGTAAATATTAATTTCTTTAATAAAAGTATTTAAATAATTATAATTAATATATAGCTTATTTATTAAACTTTATTAGCTTAATTAATTACTTTTAAATATATTTTAAAATTATTAAAAATAATTATATTAGCTTTTCTAAAAAAATCTAATATTATAATATAATTCTTATAATATAAATCAAATTATTAAAAGTATTATAATTAATTTATATTTTTAAAAAAATTTATTAGTTATAAAAGCTAAAAAATATTTTTAAAAATATAAATTAAAAATAAAATTAAATATATTTATTTTAATAATACTTTAAAATTTATATTAAATTAAGTTCAAAACTAGTATAAATTAAAAAATATTTAATTAGAGCTAATTACTATATATATATTTAAATAAAATAATATTTATTAATATAGCTATTATTTTAAAAGCTATATATATAATTATAAAACTTAAAAGTAATAAAACTCGAAAGTAATAAAATATAAGTAATAAAATATAAATAATAGAATATAAAATATAAAATATAATTATATAATTTCGTATTTTATAAATAACTTAATTAGTAAACTAGTTTTTATTATATTTAATAAATTTAGGAATTATATATTAATATTATAATATTATAATTCTTATTTTTAAATATTAAATATTTTATATATATTATATATTACTAATAAACTAATAATAAAAATACAAGTAAAATAAAGTATAAAATATATTTTTTAATAAAAAACTAATAATAAATAATAAAATAAAATAAAATCAAAAATTTATATTATGTAATAAACTAATACATTAAAGTAAGTTAAATATTAACTTTCAAATGAAAGTAATAGTTGATTAAGTAAACTAATAAAGTAAGATCAATTAAATAAAAAGTAAAATAAAAATCATATTATTACTAACGTTACATAATCAAATACGAGTCGTTAATAATTAACACTTAAATAAAGAGTCCGGTATTATTAATAAACTAATAATAGTAATAGTTTAAATCAAAATAAAACTAAAAGATATGATTTTTTATAACTAATAATGAATATTTAGAATTAAATTAATAAAAGTATTCATTTGTTAATAAACTAATAAGTATGATTAATTAATTAATATTATAAATTAAACTATATTATAATAATAAAGGGCTGGTGATAAATTATTAAATAAATTAAATAAAAGTTTATTATTAAATAAACTAATAATAAGTGGAGGTGTGAGAAGATAGTTAACTAAAAATAGTATTATTCAATAAGCTAATAATAAATAATTAACATTAAATTAATTTAAATAGTATTTTTGTTATAAAACTAAATAATCAGTAACTTATGTAATATAAAATAACAATATACTTATTAATAACCTAATAAGTCAGATAGTTTAAATTAAATTTAATTAAAGTATATTATTAATAAAACTAGATAATAGAAGAAATAAATTAAGTTAAATAAAAAATAAATATAATAAAATAGAAATATAAAATAGAAATATAAAATAGAAATATAAAATTAGAAATATAAAATAGAAATATAAAATAGAAATATAAAACTAGAAATATAAAAATATAAATAGTAGGAATATAAAGAAATATATATAAATATATAAAGTATTTAAGTAAATCTAGTATTTATTATATTCTATTACTTTATTAGTAAATTTAGTATTATATAACTATAATAATATATATAACTAGACTAGTATTTAGAATACTAAAGCTTTTATATTTAAAAGCTTCTTTTTTTAGTTTAGGAATTCTCGGAATTAAGTTATTCTATTTTACTTTTTAAGGCTTAGAAACCTAGCCTTATAATAATTATTAATCGAATTGAAGGAAATTAATATATAATTAAAAAAAATTCAGTATTTTTAAAGAAAGTTTTAATATTAATATAATTATATTTCAGGAATTTAGTTAGTAATAATTATAAGATTTAAAAGTTAATAAAATATAAATAATACAAACCATAAATAATAAAATATAAAATAATAACAATATAAATAATAAAATATTAAATAATAAAATATAAATAATAAAAATATAAATAATAAAAATATAAATAATTAAAATATAAATAATAAAATATAAATAATAAAATATAAATAATAAAATATAAATAATAAAATATAAATAATAAAATATAAATAATAAAATATAAATAATAAATAATAAAATATAAATAATAAAATATAAATAATAAAATATAAAATCTAATTATATAATTTTATATTTTATAAATAACTTAATTAATAAATTAAATTTTATTAAACTTAGTAAATTTAGAAATTATATATTAATATTATAATATTATAATTTTTATTCTAAATAATTAATTATTTTATTAATTTTATATATTATATTATTATATAATTATAGAATACTATTTATATTAATTAGTAAAATTATTATTTAGAAATAAAAATTATAATATTATAATATTAATATATAATTTCTAAATTTACTAAATCTAATAAAAACTAGTTATTAGTTAAATTACTTATATAATATAAGATTATATAATTATTATTTATTACTTATATTTCGTTATTTCTAGTTACTTTTATATTATATAACTATAGCTATATTAATACTAAAACCTTTTTAAAAATACAAAAAATAGAAAATAATACTTTTTTCTAATTATATATAAATTCTCTAATCTGGCTTAATACTAGATTTCTCAAATACTTTATATATTTATATTACTTTTAAGGTTTTAGTTATATATTAAAGGCTATAGCCTTTTATATATAACTTTTTTTTCTATAATATTCTTGTAATGTGTGCAGGGTCGCACGTGACTTAAGGGCATGTAACGAACCTCGGATATCGCGGGTATTAATTAGGGAGTTCGGTAGCTCTTTAATATCCCAACTAACCACTGTTTATATTATATGTATTAGGCTTATAAATTACTAATTATATATATGCTATCGGGGCCTCCTATTTAGAGGGGGCTTCCCTAGACCTTATAGGAGGGACAGAGATTAGTTCTGTACTGAATTTAATACTGTGGTTTCATAATACACTAATTTATTCTATTATCTTATTGCCTACTAATAAATACCTTATAAGCTAATCTCTTTACTCTCAAAGGAGATAGTTCAATAAGTAATTATGTCTCGAAATCTGCGAAATGTACGACCTCTCGCCAAAGCTATTCCTATAGAGGAAGTCGACTAGATTAACCCCGATATGGGTAATGGCAAAGGCTCGTCTAATACTTTTAACGGGGCCCTTTAGGAGCCTCCGAGAGCTAGTAATAATGACGGAAATAATCCCGGTAATAATTAAGATACCGAGATTAATGCCCGAGTTATTATTGCCCAAGCTACGGAATAGGGCTTGTATACTAAAGTCGAAGCGCTCTAATGAAAGCAAGAATTAGTGGATGTAATTAACTAGCGTATCCTATAGTTAGAGTAATATAAGGGTACCCTCAGGAATACCTTGCGGTTTATTATATCTCGTAGAAACTCTATTTATAAGTCTATTCTTTCTTCCTTAGTAATTCCTACTAGGGAACTTCCTGAAATAGGGTTGGAACTCACTCTCTTTCCTAATATAATAAGCTTTGAGAGTAATCTTAATACTATCTATTAGGAGCCACTATATAATATCCTAAAGATGTATTTGGACCAAGAGAAGCTTCTTAAGGTCTAGATACCTGACTTATATTATAGAAAGTTCCTTAAGAAATAGAGGATATTCGTATTTTTCTAGGAGGCGGTCTTTAGAACCTAGCCTTAGACTTATAATAGATACTTTTC